CTTTTTCAGTTGTGATTCAGAAAGTGTCAATTGAAATTCAGATTAGCTAATTGAAATTAAGAAAATATCAATTGCAATTCAGATTAGTCGAGTGAAATTCAGAAAACTTCAGCTGTAAATCAGATTTTTCAATAGGAATTTAGACACCGTCAATTCGAATTCGGATATCGTCATTTGTAATTCAGAATGCAACAATTGTTATTCAGACTACGTAATTTGTAATTCAGATAAGTAACATGAAATTCACAAATTATCAATTGTAAATCGGATTAGACAAGTAAAATTCAGAAAACTTTAATTGTAATTCAGATTATTCAAGTGGAAATCAGAAAGCATCAATTGAAATTCAGATATCATCAATAATTATTGTAATTGAGAATGTTTCAATTGTTATTCAGACTGATGGATTTATGAAGGTATTCATGTAGAACCAGCAACTTCAGAATTATGAAATCATTTTCATTGATGATCAATTGAAATCAATTTCAATAGGGAAAATGGAGAAGTTATAAGAAAGCGTAAATTTCTGAAAAAAATATTGCTTTGTAATTTATTACCTACATTCATTATGCCATATACGCTTTGCCAAACAAGCAAAAGTATATCACTGTTCCATATTTCTGAATTACAAATGAAGCTTCCTGAATTCAATGTACTATTTCTGAATATTAATTGGCCAATCTGAATTAAATTTGATGTTTTTTGAATTTCAATAGACTAATCTGAATTTCAACTGACGCTTTCTGAATTTCAATTAACCCATCTGAATTACAAATGACGTAGTCTGAATTACAATTGACCCGTTCTGAATTACAAATGATAAATTCTGGATCACAAAATACTCTTCCTGAATTTCAATTGACGTATCTGAATAACATTTGATATTTCCTGAATTCCAATTAGCTAATCTGAATTATAAATGATGTCGAATTTCACTTGAGCTCTTTCTAAATTACAATTGGAAAAGGTGCAGTTCCTTTCAATTCCTATCACAAGTAACTCCGCCATCAAATTCGTGGTTGCGAATTCGAAGAATAAAATTTCTACGAAATTATTGAATAAATATACACTACAACTGAGATCTTTGTTACTACATCAATTCTGATGGAGGTTCTTCAAACATTTCATCAATAAGTCATCAATCACTGGAAAATGCTTAGCTGCTCTAAATTCTTCAGATCATACTGCTATATAAATAATAACGTGAAAAGTTTCCTAATCCTCGTACTTAATCTTTATGTTTTATTTATAGGCGTATATATGATCTTCGTATCGGGAAACCGTTAATCCTAAAACCCATCCAGTTAATTAGAAAGATAAGACAATACTCAAGAAATGAGCGAGAAAGCAAAAATTGTAGTAGTCGCCACTTCGAACAAGGTTTGATGATTTATAATAACTTGTGCAGAATTAACGCTATTATTGGTCGGTGATTCTAGTAGTTCATAAATCAGGACCAAAAAATCAATTAGGTAACTATAGACCAATAACATTAGTGAGTATACTATCAAAAATAATAGAAACTTCAATAAAAAATAGAACAATAAATTTCATTGAAAAACACACCCTTCTGGACACATACCAATATGGATTTAAAAAAAATAGTGATACACAAAGTGCTACTATGGACTTTGTGGACTACATTTCGTGAAACCTTGATAAAAAACAATATATAATCGCAATTTTCGTAGACTTGAAAAAAGCCTTTGATGTTGTTGACCATGAAAACTATATTTAATGGGATTAAGAGGGTTAACTCATCGAATATTACAATCATTTCTAAATTTTTCATAAATCAAGTTTTATCGGTGAACGAAATAAATAGTGATAGCTCATATATTAACTGCGGAATACCACAAGGTTCTGTACTTGGTCCACTCCTCTACTCATCACATGTACTTAGCCTAAAAAAATGCAATCTACAAGCAAGATACTTCACCTTTGCGGATGATACTGCACTAGTCTATACTTAAGATGCTCGAAAACCTGATCAACGAAGACCTGAATGTATATAGAAAATGGATCCTGACAAATAACTTGAAAATAAATGAATCAAAAACTGTTTATATTTGTTTCCAACAAAGGAATATGGAAATAGATGACACTTACATTAAATTAGGTATATATACATTGGCATTACCTAGGATTAATTATGAATAATAAGTTGAATTGGATTGAGCATATAGACAAAATTAGTAATAAAATAATACCCATGGTAGGAGCACTTTAAAAAATGCAAGTTTTGCAAGACAAGGTTTTAAAAATGCTATTCAGTCTGAATATGAGAACTCCAAGTGAGGTCCTATACAGTAATGAACATTTAATAAAATTGGATGGTATTTTTAAAATCGAACAAGTTGAATATGCATATAAAATCGTGAACTCACTACAAAAATCCAATGGAAGAATTCAACATGGGCACAACATACATGATTACAATACAAGAAACCATAATGACAAAGGCCTGCCCAATGTACGAACCAACATTGCTTCAAATAATCCCATTAGTCGAGCTTTACAAGAGTATACTCCATATTCAAGAAATATGCCAAAGAGATATACTCATAATTTTACATTTTTTATGTCCAATATGGTCTCTGTACAGTTCATTTGCATTGTATAATTACTGGAAGAATATCGAATAATATCGATATTTCACATCCTGTGTAAGGAAGGTCCGAAATTCCAAAACCATTTCGAGATATTGACTTGGAGATTGAAAGTTGATTCGCAGAAGGACAAAAAAATTCCTGGAGAATACGCGAGCTCCTAAACTTGTTCGCTTATGTAACACTCTTCTTGACCACTTGGTATGTGATAACTGGAAATCTTCGAAAAGTTTCGAACAATGAATCCTAAACAAAAATGGCGCATGTTTTGAACACTTCGGATTGACAATCGATTCATTTACAAAGAATCGCATTTTAAAATACGTCGAAAATTTGAATGATCCACTTTATTATCGACGCATTGTATGAAAAAATTTTACTAAATTGTTTTCAACGAATTGTCTGATTTTTTCGATTTTTTTCTATGGGAATCGATTTCTGAACCCTGTCTAACATATGTTTGAGAAGCTGAAATTAGGAGGGTGTTGCGAGTTGAAATCGCACACGCTGTTAGTTGGGAAAACAGTGTTTCCGTTATTTTTTAAAATATCAATAGGAGCAGACCTTGAATTTCCTGCAAAATTAATGAATTACCCTGTATATTAAATTACTTGTTTCCACATCACCTATGAGGTAGAGTAAGTGACGCGTTTTTTTTGAAATTAAGTGGTTTCCCCAGTAGTCCTAATCCACATCTCCACGATTACTAGGCTATAACAGAAATGGGGAATATGTACATGGGTGTTGAATCTTAAACATACCTGAATCATTCTCAACGGCGGTAACTGGATTGCAATATATTTGTTTTCTTCCCGAATAGTGGTTTTCTCCGTTGTCATCGTTCACATACATTTCCATATCATGCCAAACACTGTGCTGCTCGGACCTAAAACTAAGTATTAATATGAAATTAGAATCGTGAGACGAACATGGGATCAAGAGTCGGAATATTGTTTTCAATATTCGTAACTGGAATGCGATATATTTTTGTAATTTATTGATCAATCAACTATCTCAATGAAACGAGGCAGGCAGGATAAACAACAATTTTCTCTGCGATGAATAACACTGTATATACCTAACCCATCTAGCGCCTACCTCCTTTGCAGAGAGGGTTTATGAACGCAAAGTTGGTACTCTCCCCTCGTAAGGGTACCTGTCGTGTTTCCATAGAGACATAAAGTTGAATATCTGTCTATCTGTTTGCTTGAGAATCTGGAAAATAAATTAATATATCGCCTTCCGTACGAACATGGTGATCTGAATTCTGAAAAGTATACTCTCCATTTTTCTTTGTGGATCGTTTCTTCGGTTCGGCTTGACTGGATGGTTTTCTCGGATTTGTGTCGAGTATCAAACACTGTGCTTCTCGAATCTGCAACTAAACATCACATATCAAATATCGAATCATATGAATAAAAAATGATTATTATCAGATGCGGTACATGGACGTTGAATTAGAAACTTAACTGAATATTTTTTGCAACGTTCGTAGTTGGATTGCAACATATAAGTTATGTTTCCGAATAGAAGTTTTCTCAGTAGGCTTTTTTTCCACATTTCCACATTACGTGTGTTATAATCAAGACCTGGAATGCCAAACACTGTGCTGCTCGGACCTAAAACTAAGTATTAATTTGAAATTAGAATCGTGAGACGAACATGGGATGAAGAGTCTGAATATTGTTTTCAACATTCGTAACTGGAATGCGATATATTTTTGTAATTTATTAATTAATCAACTATCTCAATGAAACGAGGCAGGCAGATAAGCAACAATTTTCTCTGCGATGAATGACACTGTATACAGTGTCTCCCAAATTCGATCCTCACCATTGGGATCTCAGTAACTATGAGAGATAGAGAAACGGTTAAATCTGCAAAGTTGTGGTAAATTTAATGTTGAATCAGAATCTATCAAGAAATTCAGGCTAGCTTCAGTCATTCTTGAGTTATTCGAGATAAAAATGAAATCTTGTATTTCTGTTGTTCTCGAATATCTCGAATGAAATTATACGGGGGAAACAGATATACAGGGTAAGAAATCGAAGTTTCTTGCAATATTAATGAAACACCCTGTATATGGGTATTCTTCATCGTCTACTCCACATCCTCTCCGAATGTCAAGGAAAAAATCATCCAATTGTTACGCTACAAGTTTGTTCCGAATAATCTCAATCAAATTGAGGCAACAAAAAACCCAAATCGACTGCTCCTCAATTCGGCGTGAGTCAAATCATCAATAGACACCTATACATCCTCTCCTATTATACCGTGAAATTCAAAGGCAGGATACGAAACAGCGAAGGCTAAGAATTCCAATTCCAATGACCTAGTCGTATAAAAACGCTAAATGCTCCTCATGCCGCTTCAGTCAGTGGCAGAGATTTTCTGTGAGATGTGTCATCGGAATTTTGGAATAGTGGTATTTTCGTTGGTGGTGTTGGTTTGTGTGGGGGCCAATCCCATTATCATTAGATCGGGGGTGGTAAAAACTCAAGGGCAGAAGCAGGATGCCAACTCGTACGATGCCACGCACCACAAAGGTAGTTGTTTCTGCGAACACTGAATCAAAAGTAGGATTTTGTATCATTCATAAAGTCGGCATCATATGGGAAAAAACTTTTATTAATGACTTATTTTGGAATTCGAGTTGGACGTTAAGTTTTGCTCCAAAAAATATGAAAAATGGCCTACTCAATCGGGGTCACGTGACTCTCGCTACATGTCAAAAGTGACATTTTTTCAAATTAATCGCTGAAAGTAGGTTTATTTGTTCGAATATCAAAAAAGTTCACTTGAAAAAGTTTCTATTTCAATCTTACATGCTTCTCGAATTTGATCTCTCTATTGCAACTTTTAGATTTTGATTTTTTTTTTATTTTGAGAAATTTCTGTAATATTTGAAGAATTGTTAATTCCACGAAACTACTTCATGCCAGTAGCTTTTTCATGCTACTTACTTTCAATTACTTATTATCACTGATTATGGACAGAAATATGATTTTCTTCAGAAAATGATAATACCCGCTTCCAAATTCTGTTATGTTTTATGCAAAGTTGATATATTTGATGCAAACATAACATCAAAATTCTATTATGTTTGAGTCAAGCATTTAGAAACGAAATTCATTTAAACTGATCTTTTCAGTACTGCAAAAATAAATTTAAATGAATTTCGTTTCTAAATGCTTGACTCAAACATAATAGAATTTTGATGTTATGTTTGCATCAAACATAACAGAATTTTGAAGCGGAGATTATCATTTTCTGAAGAAAATCATATTTTTGTCGATAATTAGTGATAATTAGTAATTGAGAGTTAGTAGCATGATGAAGCTACTGGTATGAAGTAGTTTTATCGAATTTACAATTTTTTTAATATTACAGAAATTTCGAAAATTCTTAAAAAATATCGAAATCTAAAAAATGTAATAGAAAGATAAAATCTGAGTCACATATGTAAAATTTAAATAGAATCAACTTTTTCAAGTGAACTTTTTCGATATTCGAACAAATAAGCCTACTTTCAGCGTTTAATTTGAAAAAATGTCACTTTTGACATGTAGCGAAAGTCACGTGACCCCGATTGAGTAGGCCATTTTCCATCTTTTTTGAAGCAAAACTTAACGTCCAACTCGAATCTGAAAATAAGTCATTAATACAAGTTTTTCCCATATGATGCCGACTTTATGAATGACATTGTATAGTTATGGAATTCGAATAAGTGAATTGAAGTTAGATAGACTTGAATTTTTTCGTCTGGGTAAAAAGACCCCGATTCCTGATTACAGGAGAATTTCAAACTATCTTGAAAGATTTAAGATAACTTCTTGTTAAGAAAAAGTTCTGTTTCAAGCTACAGTTCATATAATTCGACTCTTCTTCGACGACCTTCATGTTTTTTAATAAATTGACTGATTTTCATGCAGTTTATGAGATGTAATATTTTATCAACTTCAAAGAAAGCTAGAACATTCTAGAAAAGTCCACAGAACGAAACTTACACAGGATGTAAAGTGGAACCATTTCACTATGGTCCACATTTGCGATGCTGCCAGAGTAAGCTATAGCGGATATATATAAACCATTATTCAAACGATTCAATATCTTAACACTAGCCTCATGCTTCGTATACGAATGTCTCATCCACATGAAGAAAAAATGTCTGACACTCGGTCTGGAATAACTAGAAATGAACATATACATAAACATAATACAAGAGGGCAAATGAATATAAGATTACCAAAACCTAGAATTTCAAAAACCAAATCTTCATTCAAATATCTCACTATGAAATTTTTCAATGTTCTTCCAGACAAACTCAGAGGTCAATCTTTGTCAAAAATTTGATGAACATTTAGCATTTTTTCACGTCGAAACTAAACTTCAAACTATCTTGCCATTGTTTCATTGTTGTCTGTAGTAGTGATGTCAATTTTCTCAACTATTTGTGATATACTTTTATATGTAGCTCGTAACGATTTATATTATTCAATTCCATCTGATTTTATCTTATTTCAACTATATCTCTCATTGTATTTATTTCATTTTATTTATTTATTGACGTATCCACAAAAACTATTGTGTAGTTAAGCACCATAGTAAAAAATACAGGGTGGAAGGTTGAAAGGAAAAAAAGAAAAACTCATTTCAGTGAAAAAAATCAAAAACCGTGACTTGAACAATGGCCCATTCGATTCATGATATTCAGAAACGAACTTCTCGTTATCCATTATTTATATAAGACCACTAACTCGAGACGTTTCCGAAAATTCACCTCTTATTGAAATACAGGATGAGATTTTTCATATTTTACATTCATGAATTATGATCGGAATTTCATTGTCTTAGGACCAATGTTAATAACAAACTCAAAAAGCTTTGGAAATTTTTCATGGAAACAACAAAAATTGGAATTCCAGCATACATACACATAAGAGACTTTTTTTCATCAAAGTGTCGAAATATTGTATAGTATCTACTATTTAAAAATCAGAAGTTGGGGTTGCTTCCAGTTGAACCAGAAATATCTTTCAGTCGCCGTATTTTCCATATGGGGCAGTTGAAATGATCGATTTTCCCAATCTGTTGGAGCGCACAAAAATAAATCCCTATTATATTCATGAAATGTCATGCAAGGAAATGTATAGATATTGTTTTTTTTTTCAATTTTTGAATGTTATAAGTTCTTGGGAATCGAAGCATCGATGATGTCTTGTAGGCAAATGAGTTTTGATAGAGAAATGTTCGACGTCGTACCTCGAAGTTGACGACGAAAGAATGTGCTGACTGATCTTGTGGAGATGCCAATCGCTGATGCCGATGATTTTCCCACAGGCATAGCCAACTTTGAAGGTGACGAAGGTTTCAACAAGGGCAACGAAAAGAAGTATCTGAGTTCCGTGGACTCTGGAAGATACGGCGAAGAAAGTGACAAGAGAAAGGACCATCTGGACCAGAATAGCTACGACAAGGGATCTTTCTACCAAAACGGGGGAGGAGATGTTTCGGATTTCGCAGACAAGAAGGCACACAAAAAAGGGCACCACAAATCCGGGTTCCAGAATTCCTATCATAAGGACGAGCAAGGCAGCAATTCGAGCTATTTCGATGATGGAAACGATGAAGGAGATGAATATGTTTATAAAACGCATAAAGGTTAGTTTGTTGTTCCGGATAAATTGTTGATTATCTATGATATGAAAGGTAGATTCGCCCGGTGTGGCCATGACCTCGTATTCCGGATCTAAACCCTTCATAGATTTTCTAGGTCGGGATTTTCGAAGGAAATACGGACCGTGATTATCATACATACACAGAAGAAAATATATACCTATGAGCTATTGAGGATTAATGCATGCACAATAAATTGTGCAAGATATTATGTGCATTTCCATTCGTCGGACCATCATCCAAAAGCTTTACCACCCTGTATCGAAGTAACAGAGATTGGGCTGAACTGTGGAAATTCTCCAAGTATAACCTAACTCCATCAGACCAAATTTTGATATATAGTAGATACTTCATAACTGATAGATATTATCGGCATTTCAGAGATCATGATTTTTAAAGAAAAAATTTGTATTTCGAAAACGGTAACACTATGAGGAAATATTAGAAGGAGTTATTGTGAAATTGTTGGATATTCTAAGAATAATATCATATACAGGGTGTTCCATTTGAAAAATCAAAGCTGCTAGCGACATTTTCGATTTCTTCGTCTTGTAGCCATCTGATTTTCTCTCAAGAAATGCTCATCTATTTGACAGAGCTTTCATTGCTTGAAAATTGACATTCTATGGGCGATGAGTTTTTTTTAATAATAACACAATGGAGTCATTGTGATATCAGATACGGAAATAAGATTGATGACATACAAAGTAGCTCATTGATGTGTTTTAGCCGTAATATAGTTCATTGTTTAACGAGCACGGAATGATAGTGATTTCCCACGAGAATGAAGTTTGCAGCAATTTTGTGAATATATCCAATCTCACAGTTGCATTTCCGTACCCCTTATCCAGAAACATCAAACATCTACGCCTGTGAGGAGACATAATTTTGGCAAATAAGTAGACCATCGTTATGGATCTGACCATATCTGACGATCCTGTTAAACTTTTGGTGGAGGAGCAATACTTGAATTATTCTTGTCCGCCAACTTTATTTCCTCCACCAAAATTGAAAACGACCAAAATTAAATCCTCCACCAAAATGAAAAACATAGAATTCTATCATATTCCTTGCGACTCAGTGAAGTACCCACACGAATAACTAAATAAAATAGGAATGTTATTATTGTTAACAAACCAACAAAACGAACATCATTATGTTGTGTTGAAATTATTTTAAACTTTTAAACTTTAATCACATAATACGTACAATTATATATCTTATTTTACTGAAAAATATCAATTAAATCTTCATATTTCAGATCAGCACCAAACATGCATTTTTTTCCATGGTGGCTATATCATATTCGCTTTTCGATTGTGTTATAACAAACAGCAGAGGGTAGAGAAAATTAGTATATTCAGTTTTTCCAATATATTTCGAAAAGATGTTTTCTATGCCTGTTAGCATCTAGCAACTAGATGCGCTACTGCTCAGTGGAATGTGCTTAGATCAGAGCCTATGACAGACGTGTGTGAAGACTGGTTTATTTAGTATTCGGTAGGCAGCCGAGTTGTGAGCAAGTGTAACCCTTGTCCATGTCATTTGTGCTCGTGTTTATTATATTATGACCATAATATAACAATGCCTAGTTCCCAATATTCAATTAGTTAGCATAGGTATAGTTTATGCAAAGTCAGTTGAAAAAACACATCACCGCAAGCCGTCGGTCCCTTTGAAAGTTCAAAGAGTGCGGCAGCGCGGCCCGACATTCGTTTGATAGTCTGTTGACTTTACATAAACATAACCTGAAAATAAAATACATCTTTTTATGTCTTGTGAAGCTGCCTCATATTAGGCTGCCTCGGAATAAGGTGCTAATGCAATATGTGGAACACAGCTCATTTGAATTCATATGATCTTACTTGCCTCTTACATACCACCGACTTATTACTACTTACATACCTGATGTGTTATCATGGTGGAAATATGAATTGGGTGCTACTCAGGTGTCTTGATTTCTTCTTTGCGAGTCTATACTCGCACCAAAATGATCACGGCGACTACTGCAAGCTCAGACTACGAGCAATTGTTTTACTTGCAGTGACTTATACGCAGAGCACACCAAATTATTATTCCACCATGCGTGTGTTGCACCACATCTACAAGATAGTCTGCGCCCTGCATATGAGATTGATATCCACCTTGACTCACGTCGAGTCATACGATTATGCAAGGGTACAATCATCGGGGGATAAGGAATGTGGACGGTTATCAGTTAGGTAGGCAGTCTTTGCGAATACGTGGTGTAGTACTGTGGTATTTCTCAATATAGTGTGCTTTAGTTACAACCGTGTTTCAATACCTTACATCAGAAGTGGCGAAAAAGAACATACAGCTAGGATGGCTGGAAAGCGTAAACGTCGTTGTTCGTCTAGTTCAGTAGCGAGTACTACGAGTTATCACGGGGATACCGATACAGAGTCCTCAAATCGCATTTGTGATGTTCGGCATCCTAGTAAGATGATGTCGAGAAGTTCCTATGGAAGAAGTGATTCTGCCAACTTCAACTAGGTACAATGCAGCGGGGGTAAGCAACGAATGGCCGCATACTGTATCTAAGCAATCTCTGAGCATATCTGCAGTGATTCCCGAATTCAGCAAGTGCCTTGAAATAGTGGAACACAATTCACGTATTTATGGCTGGAATTCAGAACACACAATATACCAAGCAGTGGGTAAACTGAGGGGCACAGCTAAGATATGGTATGATAGTTTAGTAATAAATGAACTTGGTTGGTCTCAATACACGTGGGAACAGTGGAAACAAAGAATTTCTGAAACATTTTATAGCAGACGTGATATGTATTTCTTGCTCAGAGATTTGATGAATTTCAAACCCAACAACGGTACTTCCTTGTATGAGTTTTTCTTTCTCTATATGTCAAAAATTAATAATTTAGGCCTCAATTTTTCTGAAGAAGATAAAATTTCATTGATTTTAGGAGCAATTAATGATACAAATATTTCTGCTGCGGCAGAAGGAATCAGAAATGTTAATGATCTGGGTACCTATTTGAGGAATATAAAAACCATTTTAATCAAAAACATGACGCGAGGCTATCAGGCAATACTGATTTACAACCAGGGCCTAGTAGATATCCTACTTTCAGAAATAATATCAATAGTCAAACATATAGGAAATGTGTTTCGTGTGGAAGTAATGGCCACACTAGGGATACATGCCCTCATAAGCATGAAAATTGTAGATTTTGTGGGAAAAAAGGTCACATTGAATCAGCGTGTCTCAAGAAGCAAGGTCCCAAATCATACTCTGTTAAAATGATCAGGAAAGATGACTCAAAAAAGTTTTACAGGGAAGTGCAGATAAATGGGAAGGTGACGCAAGCGTTCATTGATTTTGGAAGTGACTGTTCACTCATTGAAAAACAACGTGCCGACGAACTAGAGTTGGTCGTACAGAAATTGGATAAACCAATTAATCTATTCGGATTTGCAGGTCACTCTATTATTATTTTTGACTATGTTACTGCTGAAGTATCAATTGGCAGGTGTTCGTTAGTTACACAAATTTATGTTACTGATCACAGCTTGAGAGATACTGAAATAATAATTGGACGAAATTTTACTGAAAATGAATCAATTTCATACTTTCGTAATAAGGATGAGTTGATTTTCATTCAGTCTAATACATCCAAGAATATTAACGTGACCAATGCCGGTACCATTTCAATAACAAATGATATTTCACATGGGGCGTTATCACAAATTGAAAATCAACAACTCTCCGAACTCATTTGCGAATTCGAGGGTTGCATGTACACCTCAATGAGGATGATGGGCAAAGCACATTCAGTATCTTTGAAAATTATCACAAAATCTGTTATTCCTATACGTTATCGTCCATATCGGTTATCGGAAAACGATAAAATCACAATGAGAACACAAATTACCGAACTTTTGGGAGCTAATATCATACGAAAGAGCAAATCAGAATACGCTAGTCCAGCAATTCTAGTTAATAAAAAAGGTGGAGAGAAACGGCTTGTGGTCGATTATAGATCATTGAACAAAATAACGGAAAAAGAAACATTTCCACTCCCATTAATCGAAGATTTAATAGACGCCTTAGGAGGATTTCAGTATTATTCCACTTTGGATCTAGCAGCAGGCAGGCGCAGGTACCTAGGGTGCGTGACGAGCTGAACTTCTTCTTGGCATAAGGCTCAGAACGGATGGAGATCGCTACAATATGGAAGATGAAGACATTTTAGATGTGACAGAGCTGAGACGTAAAGCAAGTGAGAGATTGGAAGAAAACAGGTGTTATCAAAATAACTATTTCAATCAAAAGAGACGGGTCTCAGATGGATTCCAAGTTGGAGACTTGGTGTTGACCAGAATTTCCAGCCTTCCATCCAACGATGGTCAAAGTAAGAAGTTATTAGCTAAATACAAGGGACCATTCAAAGTAATTGAGGTGTTACCTAAAGATCGCTACAGGGTTAAAGAGGACATACATTCAACTCGATCAAGAATACCATACGAGGCTGTAGTTTGCTTGGAACATATGAAACCTTTCAAAATAAGATCTTGAATGGTGAGTAGACCATACCAGGGTTTTGAGATTGCCCGTTTGCTGGCAGGGGTGGGAGATTGCCCGGTTGCTGGCAGGGTTGGGAGATTGCCCGTTTGCTGGCAGGGTTGGGAGATTGCCCGTTTGCTGGCAGGGTTGGGAGATTGCCCGTTTGCTGGCAGGGTTGGGAGATTGCCCGTTTGCTGGCAGGGTTGGGAGATTGCCCGTTTGCTGGCAGGGGTGGGAGATTGCCCGTTTGCTGGCAGGGGTGGGAGATTGCCCGTTTGCTGGCAGGGTTGGGAGATTGCCCGTTTGCTGGCAGGGGTGGGAGATTGCCCGTTTGCTGGCAGGGGTGGGAGGTTGCCCGTTTTCTGGCAGGGGTGGGAGGTTGCCCATTTGCTGGCAGGAGTGGGAGGTTGCCCATTTGCTGGCAGGGGTATAGGAAGCGAAGCAGGAAATATTAGTAACCCTAATTTTGTTTGCATTTTTCAGATTGATGTCGCGATCGGGGACGATCGCAAAATCCAGGATGGCCGAGTGTTGCACCACATCTACAAGATAGTCTACGCCCTGTATATGAGATTGATATCCACCTTGACTCACGTCGAGTCATACGATTATGCAAGGGTACAATCATCGGGGGATAAGGAATGTGGACGGTTATCAGTTAGGCAGTCTTTGCGAATACGTGGTGTAGTACTGTGGTATTTCTCAATATAGTGTGCTTTAGTTACAACCGTGTTTCAATACCTTACACGTGTAATGAGACTTTACGTAACGTAACATAAGTTCTGATACTTATCGAAACACTCCCGGAATTTCACAAAAATTCCATCAATGATAAGTTGATAATAATCGAAGAACAGTAGGTATAGGTAGGCAGGGTAGGCAGAGCAAATTATGAACTTATACCATCAGGAACTACTAGACGAATTCGATTCCTTTGGGCTAATATGACTGTGTTCCAGACTGAAATACTTGCAATACTTACCTGTGTTCGAAAAACCTGAACTTTAGATGTCGAAACCCAATAACTATATGTTCGGACAGCAAAGCTGCAATACTGGCTTTGCGATCCAATAGGACCAATTTGGTGTCCGAGTGCGGAAACGCATTGGAAAACCTTGCAAAATCAAGAAAAGTGAAAAAATATCTCATTCTGGCTGAAGCCTCCGGATATAATCTTGGTCCTTGGGTAATAGTGACATTCTCTACTACCTTGATGTATGAATAACTATTACCCAACCATATGCCACTTGAGAACGCAACACATATTTGGTACAAAAGCCATACCTATAATAAATCATGCTTCATCTAATAATTTCTATTGGTAAATTCATAATTTACCTGGGTATCTCATGTTCACTATCATTATTTTCTTTCACAGGATCTTATGGAGACGCAGAAAAGGACAACAGAAGAGGCGGCAACACTGACGCCTCGCACTATTCAAACGAAGGCGGCAAGCGCGGCCAATACGACAACGCCGGCAAATTCGAAAAAGATTTGGGCAACCGCCAAACGTACAACAGGAACAAATACAACAACGACCGAGAAGACGCCAACAGACGAAATTTAGCTAACGCGTACGGCTCAGGAGGCAGATACAACGAAGAGAAGTACGTGGAAAGGCGACCCTACTACAACAACCCCTACGAAGATCCCTATTACAACAGTTATAATCGATACAATGAAGGATATCCCAAGAAACACATAACTATCTATGAGGATCCGAGGTATGATGGCAGGTTGTCCTACAAGAATTCCAATCGGTATGGAGATGATTATGTGGAGCTGGATGTGAGGCCTCCATACAGGGATGCTTATCATGACAGAAGACCGTCTTACGACTATTACTAAATGGTTGGTCAGCTGATGCAATATGACCAAGAAAGAAGTGGAGAGTACAGGGGTCAATCAGTGAAAGATCTATACCTATTTATTGAGAATAACTACTAGTCGAAGATCCGAAGTAAGGTCGACCTTCACCCATCTGAAAAAAGGATGAAAATTATTTTATAAGTAATCTTTTTCTACTCACATATAACTAAACTAGCATTTAGCGTACGGATATGTACCACGCTGAATGATCGATTAATAAGGGATAGACGATCTGTGATTTATTCAAAAAATCAAACACGTTACCATGGCAACACAGTTTTTCAAACACACCTTCACTCGTTTATTTTCGATTTTGCAATTTGCAATCGGTGACAATCAGAATGAAAGCTATACAATCAATTTCTGTTTGTATCAGAATTCTTCATTAAAAATGTATGCGAAATGTAGACGGAAGTGAAATCGATGATGTTTTAGGTACTTTTGCATATTTAGAAGAACGCATGCAGGCTAAAGTGGGGGAATCCCGGCCCCTTAAGCATTTCTCGATGTAGCGATGATGATTATTGTTTTTTTTCTGTGACGGGAAAAAAGTTTGGCATTTCATCTCTGTTGGCAGGTTATAAAATGTCACTTTTCATAAATTACTTTTTTCCCGTGGGAAAAAAGTGAGTACTTTTTTCCTGGATATATATCACAAATATACTCTGTTAATGGCTTTTGTTGTGCTATAGTTCCGAAAAACGAGTCGATAATACCGTCTCCGAGAAAGAACTGCAAGTCCTTTTATCTTCCATTCGACTTCGCGGTTTCGTATATTACTAAACAACTACTGAATTCGCAATTTTTTAAAATCAAATCACAAAATTGAACTGACAGAAGTGACATCGGATATTTGATTACTTCAAAAGAATGATGAAGATGTCTATAAAACGCAGGTGTCCCTACTGTTCAAAACTTGAAATTTCACGTCGATAATTTTCAGATTTCGAAATAATGTAATATCTTCTCAATATTGATTCGTCCTTCCTTCTGTCTCAGAAAAAAATAGTGTATTATACACGGGAAGAATATTAGATTTTAGCTCACGGTTTTTTGTCTCCCTCCGCTACGCGTCGGGAGACAACACAACCTGGAGCTAAAATCTACTACTTTTTTCCCTTGTATAATAAATAACTATTTATTAACGATAGATATATTAAGTTAAAGCTCAGATATCATAAAAACAGAATATATTCTCGTTTCCAATGAATACATAAAATTATGAAATTTATGACAATAAAAACAAAAAGTCGTTTTGGCCGGCATTACCCGCACCTTGGGGGTAAATACGGCCAGAGGCTGGTTTTACCCCAGATGAAGAAATTAAATTACTTCATTGGCAGAAATCGCAAATGAAATTCTTGCTTCCTTTTCTGCCGGTACTATAAGCTGTGAGCCCATCCTGCGCACATCACAAACCTCAACCAGAGCTCACGATTTTTCCCGAACTCCCTACTATGCTCCACTTATTCCGTTTCTTGAACCTTTTTTTAAGTTCTGGTTCCCACGAAAAGGGATATTCTGTGATGTTCAGAGAACATCGTGAGAACCAACGGAAATAAGGTCGGAATTGGTGTTCTTCTTAAATATCTGGAGGTTATATGCCTCGGGGAACACATCCCTTGGCAATGTGTTCCGGAACCTCGCTGTTCGTTGGATGAACGAGTCTTTGGAGAGAGATGTTCTGCAGGTCCCAAAGTGACCACGAAGGGGTACGAATAAGCCCCAACTCGACGGGTTAATCTCGCGGGGACTGCCAAAATATCTATAAAATAGAGCCAGATCACCAACTTTTCTACGGTGTTCCAGAGAAGTGAGTGAGTTTGTGAGAGAGGCATCAGCCACGAGACGAATTGAACTTTTTTGGACAGAATCCAACAGTTTCAGGGTATGTTTGGTTGCTGCACTCCAAATATGGGAACAGTATTCCAGGACAGGTCGGATCTGTGCCTTATAGATTATAATCAGCTATAACTGGAAGTGAAATAGCTCCTGGCTCGAAACAGAAAAGTTTTTGGGATGCACTCTCAGCAATTGATCTCACGTGATTTTCACAGAAAAAAACTGGTGAACGTCCAAGCTTCGGTTTTGAAATATTGTGGTTTCTCTGTCTATCTTGTAGAGTCGCTCTTGGAATACCAAATCTTCTTGCAACCTCGTTCAAAGCATTCATAGCAGCTTGCAAACTTTCCGTAGTCCAAGGAGCTTTCTTTAGTTTTCCTCACGTATTTCCGCGGCATCTGAAAATAATAATAATATGTTGAATTTGATTTCCTCAGGGGTAATGCCGGCCAGGCTGCTATTACCCGCAAGAGCATGGCCGGGATTCCCCCATATGCGTTGTTCAAGTGAAACTCTTTTTTCAAATATATTTGTGAGGTTATTGTTGATGAACAGCAATATCATGATATATCTAGCTCTCCTAAGTCTATGAATATTTTTTTCACTATTCCAGCACTTACTGACTAATCGATACATACCTCTGAAAATACTTGTTCCTTATAAACGAGGAGTGTTTTTTGAGAAAATTCCCGATAACAAAAAAACACGTTCACTTGCAACTGTGAAACTCGAGATGAGTGCCGTACGCGATCAGACAGTGGCGTGTGGTTTGTTCGGTAGTTCGCAAGAGATCAGAGTACCGAGAAAATCTATGGCCGGTATTTCCCCCATGTCCGGTATTCCCCCACTCTACCCCATCACAGTTGTTCTCAATTCCCATTCCCTTCGAATTAATTTGTATGTTAGCGGGTGAGATGTTTATAACTATTAGCGGGTAATCTAATTTGAGTGCGTAGAAAAAGTAAAGTATGTAACGCATTTATAAACTCTTATAGACACTCGTTTATAAACACTCTCGCTCCGCTCTGCTGCGCTCGTGCTTAAAATACTGTTCTTTTGAATTGACTCTGCTGCTGTTAAAGTGATGGAAATTCATGGCAAATGTAATAACTTCAAAAACGATAAGATTTCTACAAAATTCTTAATCAAACGACATGTTTCGCTAACACAATAGCTTCATCAGGAGAAATACTGGTACATACAATGAATAGTTCATTGTAGCAGTATTTTACCTCTATTAGCGAAACATGTCATGTGTTTAGGATTTTTGTGGAAATCTTGCCATTTTTTTATAATTTCTAACATACTAAATGGCTTACAAAATAATTTTCATCCATTAAACATCAGATGGGTGAAGGTCGACCTTACTTCGGATCGTCTACTATACACCAGCTTAGAACAGTCAGATTACAGATTAAATTAAATTATTTATTATTATTTATTACAAAGTAGGGATACAAACAGACAAAGTTTCCCTATTTCGTGGGTATCTCGAATGGGTGTGAGTTAACTTAAACAACCATTGAAGCAGAGAAAAATGAAAAAATATCCCAACCTTCGAAATAACTAGGGGGTACTTTATGATTGTTTTTTTTTTGGCTTCTATTACATACTTACTCGCGAGATTCACGAAGTGGGCGACATCTAGGTTACATAATACGAACTTAAAAGTGGGGGAAAACAAACTGTTGTCTATGGATAAAGTGTATAGACTACATTGCATACAGCTTGCTGTAGCTGTATTTGTCAAACTTGTCAATGACACTGTTAGCACTGTTGGTAGTGAATTTTTTCACATTATTACATTTTTATTAGTTTAGTGAACAGTGAACGGGTGAAGAATTCAAACTAATTATGATGAGCAAATCAAATAAGTACTGCTCAGTGCAATAATTATATTTCGGAAAGTGTGTCTATGCATTTTTTTCCAAAAGATCCAAAGCTAACCCAACAATATCCATCAGATTGTCCTGCTTTGCAAGAACAAATACAAATCCATTGTTCTACAGGAGTTCTTTTGGACCCCAACTTCAATTTTACTTCATGTGGGGAAGATTTCATCGCTGAAGTTTGTAGACAAAGTGCAAAAATGTGCCTTTTTGCATCTCCTTCCACTGCTGGTCGGCTTTTTTCATCTATGTTTCATCTAAATAGAGCAAAATATCTGCCGAAAGAACATCTACAACAGGCATTATTAGAGTTTTCGATCGAATATTGACAATCAATGTCAATAAATTTAAAAACTTATCTCTCTTATCAGTACACAGTACACAAGATAATGGCACTAATGGGATTGAGTGAGGATTGAGTATTGAGTTTGTTTTCCCCCAGTTTTGGTTTTGACATGGCTTTGACATGGAACGATGAACACCGAGCGCCACCTGGTAACATTTATGCCCGCGAATAGAAATTATGAATTGTGAAAATTGAATTGTGTTATGAATATTTTTGTGCTATGAGATTATTTCATAAAATGAGTAATACCAAGTATACAAATAAAACTTTATTAGAAAAAAATACTTGAAACTTATAAAATCGCTGTAAGCTTCTTCAGATAATTAATTGAATATCATTTATACATTACAAGTGATTACACACAATTATTGTGAGCTAAGACAAACTCATTTCGGAAATACACATTACTTTTTTTCTCAAAAAAGAAAAAAAAACAGTACCTATAAGTAGGTCCATAATCGCAACTGTTTCTAGTACAGTGAAAGAGAATGACATATAGTTTACATCCAATACAGTATACAATACTATTAAAATATAGAGGTTTGGATTATAAGCGGATTAAATAGATGTATCATTGTAGAATATGTAGAATATACAGGGTGTTTCGATATTAGACCGACAACGCTTGACAAGTGAAAGCCCTGGTGATGTCATAATTACTGAGATAGGGATATAATGTCTCCAATTGTTCAGTTCTCGAGATACAGGGTGTTGAAGTTGAGAAATAAAAATTGTTATTTCGCCAATAACTCAAAATGATTGAATATTTCTCATTCAAATTGCGTATTTGGTATTATCTTTGAATGGGTAATTTTTTGGCCAGAAAGTCATTCCGGACATCTTATCAATGGTTTATGGTTACTTTCCAACCCATATTTTGTACGCCACTGATGAGATTTCGATTATTCTCAATTTCTAGATTTTATTGTTCAATCTCATTCAAAAAATGAATGCATGGCCTTCATCAACAGAGTTGAAATGATGAGTTTACGAGCGAGATATTAGACCCAAAATAGAAGTTTGCATATTAATTTTTCGTCATTTTCAGTAGAAGATATTACAATAGAAGGGAAGAAGAAGTAGATTTTAGCAACGCGTCGTCGGGAGACAAAAAACCGTGAGCTGAAATTCCCCGGATATAATTACACTAATTTTTTTCTAAGACAGGAAAAAGGACGAATCAATTTTAAGAAGATATTACATTATATCAAAATCAGAAAATTATAGACGTGAAATTTCAAGTTTTCAACAGGAATTACATTTGCGTTACGCTCATCTCTATCATTCTTTTGAAGTAATCAAATATCTGTCAGTCTAATTTCTGTGATTTGATTATAAAAAACTGCGAATTTAGTGGTCATTTAGTAATCTGAGTAACCGCGAAGTGGAATTGAAGATAAAAAGTCTTGCAGAGTTCTCTCTCGGAGACAGTGTTATTGGCTCATTTTTTATTCGGCAAAAATGTACTCACTTTTTTTCCCGTTGGAAAAAAGTAATTTATGAAAAGTGACATTTTATAACCTGTCAAGAGAGATGAAATGTCGAAAATATGTTTTTTTCTTTCTGCATGAGATATTTTCTGTGTAGCTACAGAATGAGCTCTGAAAAGTATCTAATCCACTCATCACCTGAAAAATATTTTTGTAATTTTCTACTACTAAAACTAATGAAAAACTATTTAGCAAAGTCTATTTTGGGTCAAATATCTCGAAAACTGGTTATTTTAGCTCAGTTGAAGGTGATGCATTGTATGAACAAAATCGAACAATGAATTCGAGAAATTGAAAATCATCAGTTTCATCAGTGGCTAGAAAGAATGGGAGAAAAAGTAACCACAACCTCTTGTGGCTCACCACTGGAATAAACGTCCGAAATGACTTTCTGGTAGAAAAAAAAATGGCCCATTCAAAGATGAAATCATATCATAATATCAAAATATTCAATCATCATTGAGTTATTGCAAAAATTCTATCTTTATTTCTCAAGCTCAACACCCTGTATCTCAGTAATTATGAAATCACGATGACTTTACCCTGTCAAGCGTTGTCGGTTGAATTTCAAAACACCCTGTATACTGAGCAAAGTGAAGAAGAAATCAATCATTGAAAGCCTTCCTGGTTCACTTGTCTCAGGTACAATTTTATAAAAATGTAGCAAAAAGCTATTGTATCATAAGGGTACTAATAGTTCATTCACATATTTTGGCATATTATTACTGACAGATAGATTAATGGAAATGAATAAAATTTTATTAACTCACCCAACACATGAATAGAAAGTAGGGTATTTCCAAGAACTGTTGCCACCATGAAATAGTATAGTGGGTGTTGCATTTGAAAAAAAAAATGCTTCGTTCTCACTATTTCCTTAAAAAGTACTGGACAAATGACAAATGAAATATTGGTTTTAGATGGTCGAAACGATTTACCCCTATTTTTTTAAACTATTACTGTGGTGGCTGAGATAATGAAGCTGTTGAAATAAGGAATATTGAGAAAATCTGGAATGAAGAACAAGTTTTTCTCAGTTATGTTATAATAATCAATAATGGATATTTGAATGAAGATACCCTGTTCATGTAAAGTGGACACGTGAGAAATTGAAATGAATCAGAACTATAATAACATGAGCAAAACCAATCACATGATTTTAATAAATATCTAAATTGAAATTCGTATCACAATTTTTGATAAAATAGTCTCAAAATAACTTTGGTTCTACCTTCGTTCATTTGGATGTGAGCCAATTAATATAAAAAATGTAAAGCTGCAAGAAGGTTTCAGTCTCAAAAATTACATACAAAAAACATAGCTAAGTACTTATCAAAAATGTATAAATAAATTATTCAGTAGATATAGCCTAAAGCTAAAGGTGAGTTATATACAAAACACAAATACGTCATGCCTACCTAGAAAGCTATGACTAATTTACTAATGGTCTCATTCAAGATGATTTCAAAAATAGGAAATGCACTAGAAACTCTAGAAACTCGCTGCAAAGTCAACGCAGCAACTGTTTTACATGTTCCAAGTTGATTCAAATTATTGAATATTGCATGTATCTCTGTAAATATTTTTTGCAGTACAGGGTGGTTACATCATATTATAGTTGAATTTTGAAGATTTTCCTCTGACATTGGTTTGTTTTATATTGTCAGAGCATCATTTTCTACTTTCAAAAATGTGGGACCTTAGTAAATGAATCACAGCAAATCATGTAAGTTCACACTTAGTATGAGTTAAATCATACTTCATTATTCATATATGAGCATTGAAATTTTCAAGTGGCGATTTCAACTTCAACCATAAATTGATTGATAATTGACACCATAGAAACTTTTTCAATCGTGCCCATGCTAAACTGTTCCACATTTGAAGTGAGACAATAAAAAATTTCGTCTATTTCGTAAACGCCATATCTTGACGTCATGAGCAGGTTGACCGATTTTCAATGCTATTCCGAATCCGTTTATTGGATACAAAGTTTTACTACCGTTTAAAAATTACGACCTACAAAATGGATGAAGAAGAAGCCTGCTGTGTTGTTTGAAACGGTTTCTTCAAAATACATCATGATATATGCAATACATTACATTTGAATCCATGTTTAACAACTGTGAACAACAAATTCAACACTTTCCAATTTCACCATGCAAATCATAATTTCACAATGGCGAAAAAACCAGACCCGACAAACTGAGCTATCAGATTCTCGCAAGAAATATTCCCTTGTCCCACTTCAAATGTGGAGTAGTTTATATAAAGCAAGTATGGAAAAAGCAATGGTAGCCAAGTTACAAAATAAATCATGTATTTAAAATATTCGTTTTTATATATTTTGTCAGTGTGGTTTTTATCAAGTCCAAAATTCAAAATATGTATATTCACAAATTGCAGGTAAAAATGAGTATTGGCAAGAGTATATTTGTCAGATCAATGAAACTTTTATAATACCCACACTATGAAAGTAAAACTTTGAATTAGGTCTGAAATACCAAATCGTTGCTTTCTGGTGCGTTTTTCTGTGTGATAACTGGGAGTATCAGGAACATTACAATAATATAAAATATATATTACTACACACATACTTAATTTTATTCAGGTATTTCAGAAACTATATTCTAAACTTCAACAACGAAAGTTGAAGGTACTAAAGGCATTTAAAGACAAATTAGGGTTTTCCACTATGTGGTACAATCTGTGAGTACAATAAGCCCTTTAAAAGGAAAAATAATGACAATTATTGTTGTTGAGTTGAGAACATAATTTCCATCCACCAAAAATGTGTGTCATAATAGCTTCATTCTATTCCAATAATAAATCACCTACTACGATAAAAAGATTTTTCAATTAGGAAGCCATAAAAAAATTCAGTTGCTTCAGTAAACTGGATTAAAAAATTCGAGAACAGTCTTGAACGAGATCAACTAAATAAATGATTTTGGCATTGGACTCTCAATGCCAAACAATTTCGTCAGTCTTTGATATTTCACTGAATGAAATGTAAAAACAAAATTCTCAGCAGTATAATTACCATAAATAGTTTAGCCCATTTTTGATTGTGAATTAATCAAGAGCAGCATACAATGCCCTACCAAGAGAACCTTCCACCCAGTGATCTCCCGATCAATGGAAATAGTGAACCGAAAATTCCATTAAAAACACTAATTTCACGCACTTGATATGAAAATGGTTATTATAGGTCATCTTGGCATATACAGGGTGTTCCTTAAGGACATGCTAATATTCAAGGGGGTGTCCTAACTTCTAAGATACAGGGGGATAAAGTTTTGACAAAAAAAACAGTTTTGTAATAATAACTGAGATAATATTGTAGACATCTTCACCAAATTTGGTACATGTCTTCTATGCATCAAGGTGCATTTTCTGATGTACACAAATTTTCATTTTCTCTACCAGTGGCGCCGTTTGGGGGATTTTATTGTTTATATTTTACTCAAAAGTGAGCAACGAAGAAAATTTTCCAAATTTCATACAATTCTGTACAAAAAAGATCCTCTTGTTGATACTCGATAGAACGCTCCTTTTTCGGGAAAAAACGGAAAAACGAGACCAGACTTCAAATTATGATGTAAATACTAAGCTGAGTACATCAATTACTAGATAACCACAGTATGTAACATATTGAAATTTTTGCACCGTTTCAGTCACATAGCAGACTGAATAATTCCATCTTGAAAAGCTATACAGGGTGGACAACAAAATAATCTATGCATATTTTCAACTTTGATACCCTGTATCTCAAAAGTTGGGACGTTTACGACATAAGCTCATTTGAAGTTTCAATCTTAAAATGGGTCCAAGAATCGCCACCTTGAATATTAGCATGTCATTAAGGAACAGCCTGTAGATAATTTACTTCAAGTTGAGAACATAATTCCTATACTCCACTAATGTAATTCATAATGGCTTCTTTCAATTACAATAATTAGTAAGCTATTCCAATACAAACAGTATATCCAATAGGTAGCAAAAAAAAATTAGTAGCTTTCATGAATAAAAAATTCGAGTAGTCTTCAAAGGAGATCAAATAAATAAATGATTTAGACAATGGATTCTCATTGCCAAACAATTTTGTCAGTCTTCAATGATTCATTGAATGAATTGTAACAAAAAAACGATATTTTCACGCAGCTTATTTGTCATGAAAGTTTGAACTTTGTTGTAAATTAATCAAGAGCAGCATACAACGGAACGATATTCTTCAATATCCAAAACGTGCAATGCGAATACGTCGAATTAGGCAGCACCTCCGGCCCTACCAACAGAACCTTTTGTCCCGTCATCTCCTGGTCAATCACCCCACGATTAACATAATCATAAAACAACTTTTGCAACGACGAGAAATACCTACTTTCCTCTGCAACCGCAGGTTTGTAACCACCCAAAATGACCTCAACATCCGAATCCACGTCAGCATAGCCCAATCCGGATCTAGGCTGGGTAACCACGTAAAAAGGAACTTTGGGCATCTGATTGGACAGCGAAAACAACGGACAAACCGTCCTGATGTCGGAAATCAGAGAGCTCAAACCTTTGTATGTGGAGGAGTACATTTTTGATGCGGTCTCGCTGAGATTCTTCGTGGACAGAACGGACCTGGAGATGTGCTCTTTGACTAGAGCGTCGGTCCATTGCGTGTGCTTCATCAGCAGCTTTTCGGTAGCGCCGGATTGGGCAGTGGTACCCAGTACCAGCGGTACCGGGAGTCCCTCTTCTTTGCTCCATACCTCGTCGGGGTATTCTCGGAGGATTCGACCATCCAAAACCTAGATGGGAATAAATACCTATACGAAGCTCCAAGTCTTCCGCAAAAGTTCATAAATGAACGAAACTGGTATATAACAAGAGAAAAACAACTACTTTCCTGGCTATATGCCTCGCAGAACATTAAATTACGTCCTCCCGAAATACATGCAAAGATTCGTATTATCGAATAAGATCGCAAGTGTTTCTTTCCTAAATGCTTAATTGTGCAAATTGTTCAGGAACGTTAGACTACCTACAGACCGGTTTCGAGATTTTCGAGAAAAACTCAAAGTCGTCTCCAAAAGTTTAATGGCAAAGAAGCAGTCAATTCTGCTTCATTACTTTTGAAGAATGAGACATGTTTCGACAATTCGCGAAAATCACGAAGTGTGCGGCCTCTGGTGGCTAACTTTACAAGCCTTGCGAGTATGAACAACAAATATGGCGACCATTGTTTTGAGTTTCTGTGTTTTATTTGAAAATAATTTATTTGTTGAAGTGCATATTCCAGAACCTCATTTTTCCCTGATAAAAAAACTCGAATTATTGCATTAACTTTTATTGTTTACAATGAAGAAGCCAGCACCTACCTTATAATAATATAATATACATTTTCTGAAGCACAGTTAGAATCCTTGTATGAATGTTGGTTGCAATGATTCGATCTTGAGAATAACTTCAAGTCTTCAATTGCTGGAGATCCTTTTATATGTAAAATCGATGAATTGTTCATTCTGAGCAGCCTCTCCAACCATATCTTCTTTTCCCAGCCCCTTCACTAGAATTCCATCTCCTACATAAAAGCCAGTGATATTTCTTGATGAATTCAATTATTTCTTCATACCTATACCATATTGTTGTAATAGCTGATTGCTTATATGGCTCCATTCCAGTCCATGCAAGTGTTGAGTGGACCATTCTGACCATTCCATATGTTTGAAAACTGTGGAATTGTAGTGTGATATCAATGATGAATACCACCATTGTCCACATCAAAATGGCAATTTCTCTGCACAAAAAGTAATTTTTTCCATACTGAAAACCTTGTACGTATTTCACGAAGTCAACTCATTATTCACTATTTTGCAAAATGATTTCGAAATAACCAATTTGCAATGAGTGCATACGGCAATGTTTTTGTTGTTCATACTCAGTTCGAAATTTGACGTTGATTTGACGTTTAATAGAGCCATTTATTGGTTCGTGATTTTCGCGAATTCAAATGACATTTTGCCATTAAACTTGTGGAGACGTTTTTGAGGTTTTCTCGTTGATTTATTCAACATTCCATTCAACTTTGAGCATATTGGCTTTTTCGTAGTTGAAATTACGCCTGCCTGGCAACCGGCCACTCTCATTTTATCTGAAATAAAAATTTATTTTGGAGTGTTTCCATCTCGCAGATGTCGAACGCCTCGTGGGTATTAAATGCTGATATGTGTTTACGTTGGGACAGGTTCGCACCAGATGACGGCCATGAATGCCATCTGGAGGACACCCTTGCACTGATGAGAGCCAAGAGCTCGAAACGCGTCTTTAGGTAGTCAAGCGTTCGTCAATACGAATCGATGCATAAATTTCGGGAGGATGTATTTCAATGTTCTGCGTGTCATATAGCCAGGAAAGTAGTTATTTTTTTCGCGTTATCTACCAGTTTAGTTCATTTATAAACTTTTGTGGAAATGACTTTGTATATTTATTCAACATTTCATTCCTGTTCGAGCAAGATGGCTTTTTGTAGTTGATTGGAATGATTGTGTTGTACTCGATTGTGAATTGATCAATGAACGAAATCTATAACCACAACTCGATGTAATGAACGAGGGAGACGCAATCAAGATTTCTATACAGAACAAATGCACTAGAAGGTCATTTCGAGTTAGGTATATGAACTGGAAATATCTTCATAAAGTGTTCCTGAGGCATAGATAGAATTCTATAATGAGCAATAACGTGAATGAACTCATATTAGGACCATATAGTCTATCTTCTGCCTAGAAAATCAGGAACCCTGTAATAGGCCAACGAAGAAAAAGTGGGGAATGACTAATGTACTGAACATTTATCCTTGATCTTCACACTGATGATTCCAATTTCATTGTTTGAAAAATTTTTGGAATGGTTCTACAACGTCTCTATATAAAAAAAAGTCACAGTCCCATTCAAACATTCTGCCTCAAACCAAACCCATCAACCAAAAACTCACCAGCCACTGATGCCCTTCCTCAGGCTTCTCATCCTCCATCGGCAAATCCGGCTGAGCCTTCCTCCAAGTATCCTCCACGCTGGTCACCAACTTCTCTGCCTCCAAACCCCTTAAACACCCAGCGTCCTCGCACTGCACCGACTCCATGTAACTCTGATTCTCCGCCTCCGCCTCAGCGACCGTCTTCTTCGGGAAAACCGCCCCACCGGAAGAAGCCCAAGCCCTAGCGAAGTACTTCTTAGCGTCCCTCATACTCGCCAGAGCGGTCACCAGAGTCGCCCCCGCTCTGTGCCCGAAGATGGTAACCGCTTTTTTGTCGCCCCCAAAGTGCTCGATGTTCAACTGCACCCACTTGAGAGCAGCCAGCACGTCAGACAGTCCATAATTTCCAGAAGTCTTGGGGTAATCGGACTCCGAGAGAGCCTGCAGCGCTAGGAAGCCCAGAGCCCCTAGCCTGAAATTAGGCCGCACGAAAACCACCTCCTTCAATCTCGACACCTTGGGCGAGGCTACCATCTTCCCTGGAGAGCCCCCCATGAAGCTATCAGCTCCTAGTAATACCACCACCGGCAAGGGATTGTCGTAGCTCACGGAAGGAGTTATGACGTCTAAAGTGAGGCAGTCTTCTTGGCCCAATAGGGTACCGTTGCTGAGTATCTGGAGGCACGGAGGGGTCGAGTTGTGCGTTGGCAAAGTGCCGTTCCAGCAGTACTGGAGGCTGTCGAGTTGTTGGGCGTATCTGAACCGCAGATCGCCGATGGGGGGTCTGGCGTAGGGTATGCCTCTGAACGCGTAGGCGCCCTCTTCCATAGTGCTAAACAAATGTTAAGGAACGTCTAGAGATAGGCAAGAGCAGAAGATTGATGAGGGTTTCAGGGAAGAGGAAAATGAAGAGGCTGAAGCTGTGATTATGAAGAGGACCAATTTGCAAACGATGGAAAATGTTAGAAAGGGAAATGAGGAATACGAGGATGAAATAATCCCAAAGGGTTCCGTTGCTGAGTACCTGGAGGCAGGGAGGGTTGAGTTGTGGGTTGGAAAAATGCCGTTCCAGCAGTACTGGAGGCTTTTGAGTTGTTGGGCGTATCTGAACCGCAGATCAGCGATGAGGGGTCTGGTGTAGGGTATGCCACTGAACGACTAGGCGCCATCTCCCAGGGTGCTAAACAAATGTCGAGGTTCGTCTAGAGATAGGTGAGAGCAGAAGACTGATGAGGACTTCAGGGAAGAGAAAAATAAAGATACTGAAGATGTGATTTTGAAGAGGATCAATTTGCAAGAGATGGAAAATCTTAGTAGAAGGAATATGAGGATGAAATAACCCAAATGGGTGCGGTTGCTGTGTATCTTGTCGTCGGATTACGTCTTCCGAAATGCTGAACACCTGGTAGAACAAGGTGGATGACAGTGAGTGACGTAAGCGGAATAAGAGACGTCTTCTTCCCCAATAGTTTTGGTGTTCATAAATATCATTCTTACTTATTACGACATACTCCATTGCCTGTGGAGGATAACACTAGTCAACCCAAGCTATTTGGCCTTCTAAGGACAATTCCCCAGGAGGGTTCCGGGAGTTTCGTCCAGAGAATTCTTTTTGTGCACAGGCTCCAGGGCTTCGCCATACAGAAGTACCAAGACATGGCGCCCAACGTGTGGATATTAGTTGTCGGTCTAGCGAGATCGACCCGAACCCAAATCACAGCCCAAATGAGTTTCGTAGTTCTGATATAAAAACTACGTGGCGCCCTGAGAATGCGATTCATCAGCTTGCTGTTCTGACCGAACGAATGTGGAATAAATTGAACAGTGATGAGAAGGTTTCTCCAACAACATTTTGAGGACGCGAATGGGAAGATCCGAATACTTTTTTGACAGACATAACGACATTTATGCAAGAAAGCCATTTCCCAAAATTATCTGGAGGCATGTAGGCGCCATCTTCCACGGTACTAAACAAATGTTAAGGTTCGTCTAGAGATAGGCGAGAGCAGAAGAGTGAAGGGGACTTCAGGGAAGAGGAAAATGGAAAGGCTGAAGCTCTGATTATGAAGAGGATCAATTTGTGAAAGATGGAAAATGTTAGAAGGAGAAATGAGGAATATGAGGATGAAAAAACCCAAAAGGCTGCCGTTGCTGATTCTCTGGAGGCAAGGAGGGATTGATTTGTGGGTTGGAAAAGTGCCGTTCCAGCAGTACTGGAGGCTGTCCAGTTGTTGTTGGGCGTATTTAATATATTACCTTCAGAAACAATATTATAAATAATGCAATGCAAATTCATTTATGAAATACTTAATAATCAACAAAAATGTAACAACGCAGTAACCCTAGAAAACCAAATACATCTTTTGATCTTCATGAGACAAGAGCACAAAACCAAAACCAAATTTACTTACCACAAGTTAGAACTACAGTAGCATTGAACAACCCAATTACTAAAGCAACCTAACCTGCCTATGGAAATAAAAAATTAAGAGAGTAATTTATTATTCAAAGTGAAACTAAATGAATACTTCAATTCACAAACCCGCCCATTATGAAACTTTGTTCCGTTAACAGCAACCCAGCCGAATTGGAACTGAGTTAAATCAATAATAATAAAAACAAATATGTCTTGAAATGTTTTATTGTATATGTAAAAGGAATAGGTTGTATGATAGTTCATTTACCCATTTGACGTGTGCTGTATTGTATGCTATATTGTATATTCTATATTATTTGATAATAAAATTATAGTTGTAAAAAAAATCTAAAACGCAGATCGCCGCAGGGTATGCCTCTGAACAGTAAGCACCCTCTTCCATGGTGGTAAACAAATGTTAAGGATATAAGGTATAAAATATAGAAAATATAGAAAAAAAAATCAAATAGATTTATTCAGATTTAGAGAATTGATGCATTCCATTCACCAAAATAATCGCCTGCCTTCTAGATAAATAGATACTGCATTGTATAGTGAACATGCTAGGCTGACTGAACTTACAATTTTCTTTGAAATTATTTTTTTTATATTTCAAGATTTTTCCTGAACTGTGAATTGTTAAGCAAGTTGACTCTTGTGCATAGGTTGTCACATTTTCATTTTACTCTTTCTCAGTCTTTTTTGCTAAAAAATTCTGTGCAAAAGTCAACTCTTCATTAAAGCCTTGAATTGAAAAAATATATTCACCAGAAACAATTTGCAAACATACACGTTACTAATTCACAAAATATGAGTTGGTGACCGAAGGAATTGAAAACATTTATTAGTGACTTTTTGTAGTACTTGAGTAATTTCATTTGTTTCTTTGTCCATTAAAATCTAAAAATTAATAACGGCGCTATGGCTTTGGGTGCTTTTTATCAGTCATCTGGTATTCAAAAGTACATACATTATAGTGTTGATTCATACTTACTCATATTGTAGATTAATAAATTATATAATAATTTGAGTCATGTTGATATGAGTAAGGATAGGACAAGACATTAGTCTTGAAGATATTCTGTGAGAGTTTGGATGTGCATATAAACATGGATATTTTATGAATAGATGTAATAAAAATGAGTGCCAACATCATCATTACTGTAAGTGTTCCTCAATTATTGATGTATAATGTATTTGGTATCCATTAAAAGCATTTTTGAAGTTCATTCCATTCAATTTTGATTATCTATCTCATTCAAATGGCTTGGAACATTGCATAGCAACAAACTTTTTCTGCCTAGGCAGAAAAAGTACACCTTTGCTGCCTGTTAAGTGACATAGAAAAGCCACTTTCTATGCCATTTGGAGAAAAACTGATTTATTAATTAGACTTCAAGGGTTTTCTCAACTGTCATTGTGATGCAACATTTTAACAATCAGTTATAAGCAGATGCAAATCAGAAAAATGGATGGTTATTTATTTATTTCATTTTTTGCTATAAACATTACATTGCATCTCATATAAATATAATCATTAACAATCATTTACTCAGGTTTGATTTTCTCTTTGCAAGAGGATATGTTTCTTGACTTTGATTTTGAATTGGGTGATATTTGTGCAACTTTTGATATCATCAGGTATTTCATTGAATTTTGAGATAGCTCCGTGAGTGAACTTTTTTTGACCAAGTGTAGAATTAGCAGCATCAAGATGAAACAAGTCATATTGTCTAGTATGAAGTTATTAAATTTAAAATTATAGTTTCCCATTATTAGAAAAAAATATATGGTTTATTATCACTTCAAACATCATAGGAAATTAGAAAATAGAGATAAAAAAAATCAGCTACTTCTGGTAGACAATTATAAAAGGATTTTTATGAAGATTCATTTTGCAGAAACATTTTTTGATAATGAAAAAAAGAATTTTGGGAAAATGGAGGTTTTATATGAGATGATTCTTACCCTTCAACTTGTCCACATCCAGTGTGTGTAGCAATGAATTTTCCATCTCTTAGTGGGCGAGATTTTTCTGAATTTTTTCCAGGCAATGCCATGATAATAATTATTATAATTGTGATGATGAACAATATTGCTATGCCTAAAATATATCAAAAATATATATAGTATTTCAAATTAATTCAAATTATATCAAAGTTTACCAATAACAACTTTGTAGTCTTTCAATTTTAGAGTAAGTGGCAAATCCTTTGTTCTATCTTGATTTTCTATATCAACTTTATCATCCAAAGCAACATTTTTCATATTTTTCTCATCATTACTCTTTTCATCTGTGCTCTTGTCATCCAATGTTTCCATTGAAGCTAAGCCAGCTTGTGCCTGGTTTTCTAAATTGTCATCCTTTTTCTTTTTTGGGAAAACAGACACTAATGGTAACCTAATGGTGTTCAATAACTTTTTCTTTTCTTTCTGTTCTGTAGTTTTATCACCTAGAAGTAATGTTCAATATGAAACCTTATGACTGCAACATGTCCATGGGACAAAACTGAATTATTTTTCTGTGAAAAACAGTGCAATAAATATCCATTTTGACCTCACCATCTTCTTCTACTTTGGATTTCCTGAAAGGATTTGGTAATTTAATCTTTGTCTGTGAATTACTGTTATCATTATTTTCTGTGCTCTTCTGGATCAACTCTACTCCTTCAACTTCAACAGAATCATCCTCCTGAAAATCAACCAAATTTTTTTCTTAAATGCTTTACCTACATATTATTATGCTGGATATTATGTACATCTATCATGCTCAATAATTGACTTTGAATACTCAAAGATAGGATGGAATAGTAGGTGAGATAATTAATAGGTATGCCTAGTATACAGCCATCATATTGCTCACTTTGCATCTTTCTTTAGATTTGCTTCTTGTAAAAAATCCAGGCATCTGAATCCCCCCAATAGGAATTTTTTTTGGTTTCACTTCCATTCCCTCTTTCAGTTCTGTAGGAACTTTTTTCTCTTCAGTTTTCTCTTCCATTACTTCTTTGTTATGAGCTTTATTTTCAGCATTCAGCATCTTTTCACGTTCCTCCAGCTCAATATCCTTTTTGTCCTCACTCTTTTGTTCACTGATATCTGTTTTATCACTCATTCTCTATAATTTTGAGATGAAAATCACAATAATATATTATTTCCACAAACCTCCCTACATTCAAAAAGTATGGTAGGTCTTGTCTATATTGATTTTTCAAAATTCAACTCGCGCTGAGACTCGCGCAATTCCCATTAGAAAAATTGGTACATTGATATAATATTCAGATTGAATATATATTAATATATTACCAGTTTTGGCAGCTTCGCATCACTTTTGAATTATATGGTGATAAATATCAATCACATCACAATTCACAAGTAAACAGTAAACACAAACAAAACGCTAAACGCTCCGAATCCAAAACAAAGCCCAACAAATGCAATATGGCGTCAATCCGTTTATCGTCGGAATGTCAAGACAGTTGTCAATGGATGACATTGACAATTGACAAAGGAAGTGTATAGACTGCCGACCAGTCAGCAATCTATATTTTTTCTTGGTTGCCTACCGTTCGGGAGGAAGGAAAAACTAGATTAGAAAAAAAAACAAAATAATTATAAAAAGATATTGATGTATATTCAAGACAGACATAATAAACGATCAGTGAATCAAAAATCTAGTAAAAAATACTATTCCATGTGGGATTTGAACACGGGACCTAAGATGCCTAGAGACCACAAGATTGACAATCCAATAATATGTCTCTATCCACTGTGCGACTTACCGTCTTGGATCTTTTTGTTACACAGAAAGAATGTATTTCACTGACGGTACTCGGCAGTGTAGAGCAAAACAACCAACTTCTGTCTCTATAGGTAACGAAATCGACCAATAGGCGTTGATGCCGACATGCCGACGTAGGGAAAAAATAATACGAAACTTGTCAAACCAATATGGCGTCCTTATATATTCAAAAAGTACCTCTCATTTTGGTTCCATTTTTGTTGGGATCTCGTCGTAAAGGTGATGCGCTATATATTCGCGATAGAAAATAACACGTTGCCCCACCTGACGGCAGCAACTTGAACACTTCTGAGCGGTTTGTTTTGATGATATGACCAATAAGCACAAACAAAAAACAAATGTGAATCAATGAGAACAAAGTTAACATGCCACTTTGACAGCTTTCAAGAACTTATAGATATTTGAGTCCACTAAATGGTCGGCAGTAAAAAAAGTATAGTTTGCCGACTGGTCGGCAGTCTATACACTGTTATTGACAAATGCAATTGACATTGACATCTGGAAAATGGAAATGGAAATCCGAAATTGAAGGTCATTTGTGTTGTTATTGTTACTTGTTAGCTTTGTGAATTGATAATAAATACAAGTATGTATTCATAAATTTAAACTATAGAAAATATGGCTTTCAATAACATAAATGTGAAAGAGGGCAATAGAATTTTGGTAGATAAAGTTTTAGAACAGGGTCAGAAATTGAGAAATGCAATGGTAGAATCAATTTTGAAAAACGACCCATTTTATACAGAGGTTATTTACAATAATCAATTCAATACTCCTTATACTAGTAGCTTCGAATTGACCAAAGAAAATCGAGATCAAAACTCAACGTCCAACAAAGAAAGGCTAGAGGCATTCATTAAAGGAGAATGTATGAGTAGAGAAGATGAAAAACTAGCCTTAGAATCACTGAAATCACTATCAGTACCTGATTTATGTAAAACTACTGAAAGGAGCCTCAAGTGTTCCACGGTTGGTAGCTGTAAATGTTGCACCTGTGAATTATATAACTCAGAATATTGGAAATGGAATTCAGGACAAAAAAGCAAATCTAGTTCAGAAGAAGCTGCTAATGGAAATCATAATGAAGTTACAAATAGCATCAGAGACAAGCATAAATCAGAACTCATTCAGGTTCTGAAATTTGTAGACTCTTTGAAAATATCTGTAAATTGTCTTATCCTTAATGATACTGGACAACAAAAATTATTATCCACCATCTCTGACCCAACAAACTGGAACAGTTTCAGTCAAAACTTCTTTTTAGAATATACTCTACCTGAAATTCTAATTTGTACAAGTCACAAGCAACAGTTGAAAATCCATTCTAGTGTGGATAAAAATTATATCAGATTATTTTCTAGAAGAACAAATGATGTAATCAATTTCAAAAAAGTAACACTTCATGATATAGAAAGATTACAAAATATTGACTTGAGTTGCTGTAATATGCAGTTCAAAATTAGTTTCAGAAATGTCAGACAAAAATCCACTATACTGTTAGGATATGCAAACTTTAATTTTGGAGAGTTTCTATTGACCAAAAATGCTACTTGTTCTAGAGGTCTGATAGTTAATTTGAATGACTATTCACCAATTTCTGTTGGCACTCTGAAGGTGTCATTACAATTAGGTTGTGGTAGATTATATTTTGGACAAGAATTCATAGGTATGTTCATAAAATGACTCCAACTCTCTAATTTCTACTAAACTAACACCATGCACCAGGTTTTCTATGACTTGCCCTAAAGTCATCCTCTTACATTTCAATAGAAGCTTGGGTATCTTATTTTATTGTTTTTGCAATATGTAATTTTTGCAGATGCTATCAAAACTAGCAGTAGAGAATCTATTCCATTAGATAGTGATGATAGCACAAATCAATTAGTTTGTGAACCAGAAGAAAAACTGGTCCAAAATCAGAAAGATACCACTAAGTCATGTCAAAAAAGTACCAGTACAAGTCAAAAAGCCTCACAAAAAGCACTAGGGAAGGCGCAGTCATATATCTCTTTCACTAAAAATTATGAGAACATCAAGGTAGATGAACATTTGAAGAAACATTCACACAATATTGCCATAACTGACAAGTCTATTCCTGTAAAAAAGACAAATGGAAGTTCTTATTTTGAAAAACAAGTAGAAATCACTGTACCAGAAGAGGTAGGTCGGTAGGTGTATACCATGATAATGATAGTATTCTTTGTATATGACTAAGTACCTACCTGATGAAACATGTTTTCCAGGAACAAGTTTTATTTGGATTCTTCTACATATCTGAAGCCCACTATTTAAGTAGACCTATAAACTCTTACTTAACTTGTAGGCCATTTACCCAAAAGGAAACATCAGTAAGCCAACTGATAACAAGTAGTGAGAATCCAGTGTTCAATTTTCACCAGGTAAACATGATAATCAATCAATTCAATCTCTTCTGACACTTTTTTTTTGTAATTTAGATAATTCCCTTGGTCTTTGAGGATGATTTACTTGCCAGGTTGCGTGAAAATTATATGGTAATTGAGTTTTGGCTAAAAGAAGACACAACTGACACAGTTATTGGTTTGACTAAAATACCTTTGCACCAATTCTATCTGGCATATAGAAATGTGGTGGTTTTGAAATATTTGATGAAAAATAGGGTGAGCATATTGATTCTACAAGATTTTTCTTGGTATAATATTATAGTCACATTAGAAAATATTTTTTTAAAAATTAGTATGGATTCCCTTTCGTGCGCCCCAATAGATGAAAAAAATAATAAATGTTTTCTGTTTCATTTGACACCCCTTGTATGTTGTATGAGTACCAATACTCATAAAAAATGCCAATAAATTATACAATATTTGATGTACAGGGTGAGCAAAATTGGGCGTTTTCTTGGGCCATCTCAATAACTAAAGGAGTCATGGAAAATTACAGGTTAGATTTGAGAGAGACCAAATATAAGATACAGGAGGAAATTGAAAATTTGAGACTATCCAACTGTGACAAATTTTACGGGGTGTTCCATAAGAAAAAATGTAATTGACTGCCGTATATCTTTTTAATGTCACCCTGTATAAAATTTCTAATGATGCCAAAGGATTGTTCCCATCATACTATATAAATAAACGTTTGAAATTAAATTTTTCAATATCCCTCACCATTAGGTACTCAGAAAATAAAAACGAAATTCCCCCGTATTTCTGAAACGAATTATAATTGCTCCATTTTAGGTATCTCTAAAATCGAACTCATAACATGTATATCGGTTTTTCGGTAACTCATCTAGTTATTGAGATAGCACGTGAAAACGCCCAATTTTGCCCACCCTGTACATTTCTGTACATTTTGATAGCCCTGGTCAGCAATAGCCTTTGGGTGTTTTTTATTGGTTAACAATGTTCAATAATTTAAAAAATATATCAGAAACAAATATTTCTCACAGAGGATTCATTTTTTTAGTTGCCAATAATTGGTACTGATTGGTGGGAACCCATATATTCAGTCAACAATGAAGATATAGTTGGTCAAGTACAAGCTTTGACTGCTCTTGGGACTCAAGAACAAATCAACAATTTGAAAGCTGACCGAGGCTTTGTAGGTAGCTTTGTAAAAGCACAATTCACAAAGCCAACGGCAGATTATAGAAATAAAGAAACCAAACTTATTTCTAACAAAGAGTCCATAGGAATTCAAAAAAATTTAGCTATCCCCAATAAAAAAGTCATTTTCAAGAAAGTCAATTCCAAATTGGATACATTGGATACTATTGAAAAAAATTCTCCAAATCTTGAGAAAGGTACCAATACAAGTACAATTCCTGTGTCAAAATTTGATGCTGCAACCCAATCTGAAGTCATCATGGAAAACCAAGCTGAGAAACAAGAAAATAACAATGCCACTACCAAAATGTTAGAATCGTTTTTACATCAGCTGATGGCTACAAAACCAGGAAATTCACATGTCGAAAATAGTACCAACACTGAACCAGTGCAAGAAACAAATGATGGGAATTCAAATTTGCAGCATGCTCAAAATAAAACGAATGTGGAATTGAGGAAAACCTCAGATTTATTGGAGTCCCTTCAAAAGGCTCTTTCCAGTGACAATCAGTTTTCTAGCCCTTCTAGACATATAGGTATGCCTGTGTCAAAAAAATATTTGTTGATTGTTTGTTCAGGCTCTCCCATTTTCGATGATATCTCAGTTATTTTGAAAGATAGATATTTTCAGTTTTCGCGAACGTTCGCTACTGTTTAGTAAAACTCACGATACCGCAAACAACATTTTCATAAGTCACTTAGTTTTTGAGATACAGGGTGATATTGAAAAAGTTGCATTGTGGGACCCCCCTGTATCTCAGTTATCTTTCAACTTATCGAAAAGGTGAAAACTGTCGCTCATACATTTTTTTACGTAGAATCCAGTGGCGTAATCGGATTTTCAGAATAAGCAGTAATTATTCACATATAACCCAAAGTTATGTTCTTTAGATGAAACACCCTGTATATTTTTTCATATTTGAAACCATCGACAATGCTTTGCGGTTTCTAAAGATATTTAACACTCATAATTATGATGTTTTGGGTATGAGCCATAAAATTAGATAGTTTCTAGTTTTCCAGCAGATTTTCCATCAATGGGCCTTGTAAATATGTGGCAACATTGTTCATATCACTTTCCATATTTGCCTTATTGCTGACACAATTTTGCGGACACACTGGTTTCAATTTCAACAACATTCGACATTTACAAATATCATCAGCACAATTTATCAACTATAAAAGATGTAGCCTTATCAGTTGGCTAGGAATAAAAAGCGAATGTGCCTATACAATGTTTTTTAATCCATGTCACCTACCTGTAGAATTTTGAAATTTTTCATAGAATGGTGAATAAAAAATTAGATGAAAGTTGGGATATAAATTTGTTTCTAAAATTTCCTAGTTTTGATATCCTGGATTATCATTTGCCGTTGTATGAACATTTTGAAAATTTGACAGGTAGGTGACAATAAAGATCATAATATATTATGTACCTACTTTGTTTTTCATAGCCATACTAATTAGGTCCACAGCTTTTATAGTCAATAAATATAGTGCTGAATATTGGTAAATGTTGAATGTTGGTAAATACTGAATGTTGGTAAACACTGTATTAACAACAAGGTAAATATAAAAATTCGTGTTATGGACAATGTTGCCAGTGGTGCCACATATTTACAAGGCCCATTGATGAAATATCTACTGAAAAACTAAAAATTATCTGAATTCATGACTTATACTGGAAGGTTATCACAATTGTTGTTATATTTTTAGAAAGTGCAGAACATCAATAACTCAAATATAAAAAATATACAGGGTGTTCCATTGAAAAAAAAAACATAACTTTGGATTATATCTGAATAGTTACAGCTCATGCTGAAAATCTGCCACTGGATTTACGTAAAAAGTTGAAAGATAGCTGAGATACAGGGGGTCCGAAAATGCAACTTCCTCAATTTCGCCCTGTATCTTAAAAACAAAGTGAGTTATGAAAATTTCGTTTGCGGTATCGTGAGTTTCACAAAAAAAGTACCCAACGTTCGCGAAAACCACAAATCTCTATGTCTGAAAATAAGTGAGATATCTTGTAAGGACATAAAAACTGAGACACCCTGTACATACAGCATAGTTTTCTAATATTGTAACGATTCTGAAAACAAAAGTTCTCTAGCTAATACAGTGACATCTTTTCATTTATTATTCAAAGAAATGTTATTTATAGGCTCTACATTCAGGGCAATGGTAGCTATCAATAATGCCAATCATTTGCCTAGTAGAAAGAAATGCAAGTCTAGAAAATCAAGGAGTAGACCTATAAAAAGTGAGGAGAGTGTATTGCCGAGCTGTTATGTCACTTTTGAGGCGTCCTCTGAGGGAGATTTGAAAATCACTCCTATTGTTCCAAAAAGTACCAGTCCTGTGTGGAATTACAAGTGCAAAGTTAACCTACCCTTGGATTTGTTGAAAAATGTAAGTAATTCAATAATAATTGTGTAAAGATTATTCTATTTCAATCTTATTAATTTTGCAATCCAGAATGATTGTGAGATTCAAGTCAGAAAGATTTGCTTTATGCAAGATAGATTTCTGAGACAAGTAAAAAAAATGCCTTTGGAATTCTGACTTGTGTCTGTGTGTCAGAATTCTGAGTTGGATAAGAGTTGTTTTTTTTTTCATAATTTGAAACATTGATCAATTTGCAGTGATATTGATGACCACAATTTTGATGCTTTTCAGGGACAAAAACGTCTAATTTTCAAAGTGTGGAGAAAGTCTACAAACACCGTCAGTTTCCCTAATATGCAAACTGACATTGTGCTAGGTTTCGCGGCTGTAGATCTGACGGTTCTCTTGGCAGGTTTCCCAAACGTACAGGGCTGGTTCAATATCGTAGACTTTTCGGGAAAATGTAATGGCCAAATCAATGTGAGGAAACTTTTTTTTCAGTGTGTCCACCCCGGTAAAACCTTCTTTTATCCATATTGATAAACTCTTGATTGTTTGGTGGGTATTTGAAATTCACATGCACCAAGTCGTTGAGTCAATTTTTGTGCTGTAATCATAGCCAAATACGAGTCCGTAAATGCGGTCGTAATTTTCGGCAACTAAAGGAATGTTATTTCCACATACCTATCAAGAGAGAAATAAATTATGATTTATGAATATTTATAGCCAGACAATTTCTGATATTTCTGAGCTTTGCTGTGAAGATGACGATTGAAAAATGAAAAAAATAATAAAATATAAAAAACAAACTTTTTAAAGGCCATCTTTTATACAAATGCACTAAAATGGAAGAAATAATTTCTTCCATGTTTGATATAGGTTATTCTGTAACAGATTCAAAATCTTGCCGCGCAAGATTTCCTACTTTGTATACTCGGCAAGCTTTTGAATCTGTTAACTCACAGAATAACCTAGATCAAACAAGAATGAAAACACTTTTTCCTTTTTAGTGCATTTGTAAGTAAGCTTGTTTTAAAAGGTTATTCCATTTTTTTTTTCATTTTCAACTCTGGTATTTTTCATGAATTGTAGAAATATCCGTCAACAAAAAAAAAATCCTTGGATACCAATTTTGAATATAATCGGACCATAATCACAAAACTCATCCGCCATTTTGAAGCCGTCATCTTGAATTTTCCAGTTTTGATGAAAGAATCATAATCTCCGACCCCTTAAATCGCCAGATACAAATTTTGTCGGATCATAATTACAAAACTCGTCCGCCATATTGGAGCCGCCATCTTGAATTTCCCAGTTTTGATGAAAGAATCATAATCTCCGACCCCGAAAACCGCCAGATACAAGTTTTGAATAGTATCGGATCATAATTACAAAACTCAACGGCAATTTTGAAACCGCCATCTTGAATTTCCCAGTTTTGATGGAAGAATCTCTGACCCCGAAAACCGCCGGATACACATTTTAAATAGAATCGGATCATAAATTACTAAACTCCTCCGCCATCTCGAATCTTTCAATTTTGACAGAAGAATCACAATTGCGGACCCCAAAAACCACTAGATACCAATTTTGAATACAATCGGATCATAATTACAAAACTCTTCCGCCTGTTTGAAGCGGTAAAGCCGCCATTTTGTTTTTTCTATAAGAAAAATGTCATGATACATTGTTGCCAGAATTATGTACACCTGCCAAATTTCAAATCAATGGGGACAATTAGAAGTGTCATATTCAACTTGCCTGATATGATTACAGACAGACAGACACCGGGACTGGTGAAACCTCAGGGTGAAACCATTTAAACTATAAAAGATTGTAATAATGTAATTTAAAAACATAATAATCCGCACCACAGAACTTGAAAAGAGTCTATCAAGATCGATAAAAATATTGAAGGTTTTACATCAGGCGTGGTAAATCCTCTATGTGGAAACACAGTATGTGTGCAAGAGTTCAATATTTTATTTGTAGATACATGTAACGCCTCTTGACAATTTGGAAATACATCAACCACGAAAGGATGACTGCGGTTGTGACATTAGACCGGCTGCTGAGGTGAACGAGGTGTCCACCTCGAATGAAGCCTCAGAAAGTCTATCTAGAGCTCTGAAAAGGAAGTTCACGGAGCTGGACGAAATTACTCAAAGGTTGCGTTTGCGCCTCTCCAAAGTCACGAACGATTCAGACTCTTCTAGCGATGGATTCGCAGACGAATTCGAGAAAGATATCAGCTCTTTCCGCGACGAAGACAATCTCGATGATTTCACAGAGGAAGTGAGGAAATTGAATGTTGAACGAGTCGCTGGAAATGTTGACAGCGAGAACAGAATGGACAGGAATTCGGTTGGATTTGAAGACGCACAGAAGGCTACATCAAGTAGTAATTTTGAAAGTGAGCCGGGAATAGCTTGTAATATGATTGATGAAAACGAAAGTCCCGTGAAAGATGCAGGTAAGGGATTGAATGGAAACATTTCAAAGGAAAATATAATTTGAATTGTTAATATTATTCAGCAGTAGCTAAATATTCATCATATATACTCAGTCTCAGTATTTATCATGTTTAGAACTGCTGCTAGTAAAATATTTGATATATTCATTATTCAAAAAGTACTCACTTTTTTCCCGTGGGAAAAAAGTTATTTATGAAAAGAGACATTTTATAACCTGTGACCACAGTCTAGATATTTAGCTGTCATTTACGGAAGATGTTCGCGGAGTACACCGCACCGATCCTACTCCAGCTCTGTGATGCAAATGGAAAACTAAACGAACAGAACTCAACTGTCATCTGTCATCAATGATTCATGTCATTAGTTGCGTTTGTTTCATGTCAAACCGGTTGGAGAATATTCGGGTCACCAAACAAACGCCAAATATCGATGAATGACATTGTGTCAGCCCAACTTGACCGTAAACTGTCATTCCGATCATTCTGTCCATATCGATGGAATGAAAAGTGGCAACCGGAAAGGAATGTTGTGTGCAATCAAACGACAGGAATGACGAAACCGGTAGCGGTTTGATATGAAACAAACGCAACTATTGTCGTTTCTATCCTTATCATATGTTTGGCGGGAAAAGGGAAAATGTTCTAACCTAGAATTCACTTTCGAAAAAGAGAATTTACAAAAATCCAAAAATATTTGTATTAATACCAAATCCTGCTGAACTGAAGTAGACGTAAAGATGTCTTCAGCAGTATCTGCTGAAATAGCAGCTACATGCAGTGCTCTAGGGTACTTTGATGATAAAACAAACAAATATTATGCAGACTCCAATACTTTGGAAACTATCAAAGATCTCATACGTTACTTGAGAAGAGACGATGAAACTTATGAGATTCGTAGACAACTTGGTGAAACAAAAGTCTTACAGACTGATTTGCTACCTTTATTGAAAAATTATTATGAGGAAAGTGATCTATTTGATGTCTTGTTGAGGCTTATCATGAATTTGACTACTCCTCCTTTGTTACTTTGGAACTATGACATACCCAAAGATAAAACTCTTAGAAACCTCTATTTGCAAATCGAAGACCATCTGAAATCCTATAAGGAAGCATTTGCAGATGAAGGTGTTTGGTCAGTACTAAGCACTAGGCTAAGTAAAATACTAGAGGTAGAAGGTGCAGAACGAAGTGATGAAAATACAGTGAAAATTGAAAGAATTCTAGTGCTCATAAGAAACATACTCTTTGTGCCTGCAGACATTATGGAAAAGAGGCCTGATAATGATGCCAGTGTTCATGATCAAGTACTTTGGGCATTGCACCAATCTGGAATGTTGGATATCATCTTATTTATGATGAGTTCATCTGCTGAACAAGCATACCATATGTACACTTTGGAAATTATTCATTTCATGTTGAGAGAACAGCAACCAAATGAATTGGCAATAGCTGCTTTACAGCGTAGCCATACAGAGAAAATCAGAGATGAAGCAGAGTTATTGGCTATAAGACACAAAGAAACAACTCAAAAGCAGATCAAATCAAAAATGTACACAAGCTCCAGACATTCCAGGTTTGGTGGGACTTATGTTGTTAAATCAATGAGATCTATCAGTGACAATGATCTTATTTATCATAAACCACTAAATAAGCTGGATTCTTTGGATTTTGATACAGACAAGAGGAAATTAAAAACACCAAAAAACAGAATGCCTATTGTTGATACCTCACTAGAGCGGCGTTCAGCATTCACTATTAGATTATTCTTGAAAGACTTTTGTATTGAATTCCTGAATGGTTCATACAACATCCTTATGCATCATGTGAAAGACAATTTGGCTCGTGCAGGTGGTGAAAGTCATGATGAGTCCTATTATTTCTGGGCTGTTAGATTTTTCATGGCATTCAATAGAAGTTATAAGTTTGAGGTCAAACTTGTTAGTGAAACTATGTCAGTTCAGATGTTCCACTATGTCCAACAACAAAGTGAGCAATATTTTGATTTGATGCAGACTGATAAAAAAAGATTGCTCATATGGTCTAGAAGGCTCCACACTGCTTTATTAGCCTATAGAGAATTATTTCACACCCTTTGTGCCATGGATAAAGCACCAGATGGTACAGTGAGAGATTCTGCCAAAGTTATCAAGAGTAATATCTTGTATGTTCCTGAGTACCGAGAATTTATACTCACTTTACTCATAGCCTATGATCCATTGAAAATGTCAAATTTATATTTGAAAGATCTCATAGAAACCCAGCATGTTTTCATCAAAATGTTTGAAAGTTTTTGTGGCAAGGAAGGTTCTGTTGTGGTGCAGAAAAAGGCAAAAACTAGAAGGAAGAAAAGCATGAACCCCATGCAGACTGCCAAGGAATCTCAAGGACAAAAATTAGAGCAGAGTTGGGATGAATCTGGACCACAACTATCAGCTGTTCTAGAAGCAGGTGGGGATTTTTTGGTGGATGTAGTACCATTTGATGCTGCTTCTGATGTTCCCATAGATGAACAAAAGGCAGATGCCATGAAAAAAATTCAAGTCAAATTGAGGAATGTTGAATTTGAGAATGCTATCGGCCTCCTGCGTGCAGCAAGGGAAGTTTGGCCAGAAAATGACAGCTTTGGTAGCAATAATATGTCTCCAGAGGAGGAGTACCTAGCTTTGAGAGAAATTTTTTTTGCTGACTTAGGTGATGATGGAGCTGTTCAACAAACCATTGAGGATGATACTGATGAAAATGAGGAAGATGAAGATGAAAATGAAAATCAGTATTCTGAAACTACCCTAAGTTTTAATGAACTGATAAAGAGGCTTCCACACCCAAAAATAGTGAAGGCTTGCTGTCTAGCTTTGAAATCTTTTGAAACCAATTCTGTTAATACAAATCACTGCATTTTAAAATTATTGCATAGAATTGCTTTTGACTGCAAGATGTATGTAATGGTTTTCCAACTTAGCATGTTTCGAACTTTCCAAAGAATATTCTCCATGAAAGAATTGTCTCAGTACAAAGAACTTGTGAAATTCGCAACTTATATTATGAGACAGTTTTTCAAAGTAGCTGAAATAAATGATAAAGTGTTCATAGAAGCCCTATTTTGGAAATCCAAACGTGATGCTTGTGAAATTGAAAGTGGCTATGGCTCTTATTCAGAACAGTCAAAAGCTGCTGCTAAGTTATGGTCAGACCAAGAAGAAGATGAATTGCGTAAGCTTTTCATAGAGCACAGAAACAACCAGATTGAAGAAGATGTTGTAGATTGGATCACCAGCAGTCTCATTGACAATACTAGAACCAGAAGAATGGTATTGAAGAAACTAAAAGATATGCATCTTTTAATGGACTACAAACTTAAAAAGAATGTTAAATACAAGGCTCCTCAAAATTGGAGTGAGGAGGAAGTCACACAGTTGAAAGAACTTTTTGAGGAATTCAAAGATGCCATAGATCCCATGGGTTGCATAATGCCTAGACTAGAAATTATTCGTCCAAAAAATAGAGTAATTGAAAAAATGCTTGTATTGGGTCTTGTGCAAGACAAAAAAGAGTTGAGGAAGAAGAGAATGAGGTCAAATAAATCAGGAAAATCAAGATCAGAAGCACAAACATCACAACAAGACAATTCTATGGACAGTGATACTGACTCAGATTCCTCATTGCAAAGACTTCAGACAAATAAAAACCCTGCAAGGAATAGAAAAGCTCCAGTAAAAAAGAGGCCAGTGCCTATTAAAACTAATAGAACAGAGTTGACTAAGCTACTTTTGGAAAATATGGAATGTGAACAGCAAAGTGCCTTAGAATGGTTGAAAGACAGCATATCTGATGCTATTGAGGATTTAGAGGATGACAGTAATGAAGGAATCCCCCTAGTACCCATCATGGATTATGCTGAATTAGCAATGGAAAATCCCAAGTTCCAGAAACTGTTGAAAGCAATAGGAATATGTGAACCATTTGATGAGCAAGAAACCTATTGGAGGATCCCTGGTGATGTTTCTGTTGAATCATTAAAAAGTTATTCTGATTTAATCCAAAGTGCTCTTGATAATACTTTGAACATTGAAGAAGAAAGTGAAATCAACTTGAATGGAAATGAAATTGTACAACAAAATGATGATGATTCCTCTGATGATGATTATTTGGAAAAGTTAATTCAGAATAGAACCAAAGTAGCTCAGAAAAACACAAACAAATCATTAGAAGAAGATATTCACAGTCCAGAAAAACCAAACTTGGAAAATGAAACAACAGTAGCTCAGGAAAATTCCAATAAATCAAGAGAAGAAAATATTGAGAACAGTCCAGAGCAACACAACATTGATGATAGTGTTCAAAATGAAATTATGGAACATGAAAATGGAGATTCTGAGAAACTGAAACCTAGTGTACATAGGAAAGGTAGAGCCATAATTGAAAGTGACAGTGAGGATGAAATAGATCAAGGTAGCACAGATGTATCTGATAAAGTATCTAAGAGGAGCAGATCCAACTCCAATTCTGAATCAGAAAAACCATCAAAGAAAATTAGGGTTATTGAGAGTGACAGTGAGAATGAAAGAGATATAGAAGACTAGAATAACTTCAAAGGAAAATAGAGTTATTACATTGAATGAGGTAATTTTTTGTCAGATGATAAGAACTAATAATTATTCAGTCTGATACCTACATCTTTCATGAAATTTCGCAAGGTTAGTTTGCTCAGGCAACTATCACATCACAAAAATTTAATTGAATCCTGAAAAATATAGTACAGGGTAACAAAAAATTAAAATACCACTTCCCAAAAGAAGATGAATGAATCTTCACAATGTGTGAAGGTACAGAAAAAGTTTTATTCATATCTCCAAAATTTGTTCAGAATCATCGTGACCTCGGGAATATGCCGAATCCTATCAAAATATGCTTCATTTCCAGAGTATTGACATCGAGACACAATAATTGTAGAGGGATAGAGGTCAAGGAATAAAAATAAGAAATACAGATCTACTATCCATCAATTTTAACCTTGAACACGTTTGGTACCAATCAGGGCTATTCCTTTATTCTATTTTTTAGTCTCTTGCATTCAGTATACACAAATATATTTGGTGGGTACAGAAAAAATCCTCCCCCTCCCCCTTTAACTTTTGAAGGGAATGAGCTAGGGAAGTCGGGTAAAATTCAGGTGTAAAAAGGTACCTATTCCACTACTTTTGTCATGGAAATGGTTGTGGTCACATGGCCTGGTGTCAAGTGGGCAGCATCAACTTTTTTTGGCTCATCTGATACCTAGTTTTGAAGGTCTTTCGATTCTCTATTCTCGGTAGCCAAGGTCATCTGACTTTCAGATGGCATGAAAACTACGGGAAAACATTATTAACCCCTGGCTCAGACTGAAAGTTAGACATGTTTTTCCGTAGTTTTTATGTCATCGCAACGTCAGATGATGACCTTGGTTACCGCGAATCCAACGCATTTCATAGTAAGCCTTCAGTGAGAAAATAATTTGATAATGAATAATCAGTAAATTTTAGTATTTTATTGTCATACAGAAATTTACTTCCAGGATATACCCAGATACCGTCTCTCAACAAACATTTGCTACAAGGAAAACAACAAATAAACGCTTTACTGGAAAAGCTGACTCTGCTCACTGCAGATTCCAGCCAAAACTTTAGTAACAGATACGTATCTGGTTGTTCTATCACCAATGATGGTGACGGGAACGTGGAACTTATTGGCACCGGTACCATCTTGAAAGAGTTTAGCCAACCATCTCCACCGATGAGTTCCGACTCTTTGTGGTGTTCCCCATCAATCGGCAATTTGACAACCAAAAGTACCGGCACTGGAAGTCATTTCTCTTCCAACAGTGACACGAGTTTGATTACGAACTTTTCCGATTGTAGACCTGTTCCCGATGGACAAGGGAATACTTCTGAGGAAAAGGTAATGGGGAATAAAGACTAAGTCTTGGGCAGTTCATCTAGGTGATTTGGTGTCAATGAACATTTCAGCTATGTAGATAAGAAATATAATTTTTCATAGATATAATAATTTCATGTTTTGTAATGTGATATTTCAAGTATTCTGTCTACTGTACCAGTTCATATTTGAATTTCTTCAGTTCGTGAACGTTGTGTGCTTTTTTTATATTGAAATATATCTCATAACAACCTAAAATATGATCATAATGTTCAATGGTAATGTTGGCCCAATATTTCCCAGTGATAATATGATCATTTCGCAAATACGATCTTATAGGTAAATGAAACATTGGTAGAATTGTATAGGTTCCCTAGAAAGAACTTTGCATTAATAAATCTAGTAATTGCTTTTGTTATTTTTCTACCTGTGGAATGGGGCATCTACATGGAACTTGATTGTCTGTGAATAATTTCGGGCAAGTTTCATTCATGGATATTCCAAATTCACACAAATCTTCATAGGTACAAGAGCCTATGTTTTGGACACATGGAATATCTAACCAAAATCCGAGTTCATCTTTTTCAACTTTGACACGAGCCTATAGAGAACATCCTGTAGGATAATTTTCTAAAATTTGTATATTCGTTTTTACCTTCAGAGGGCTTGAAAGGTCCTCCATTGTATTCAGAGTGCCAGTGATTGATAATTTTTTGTCAATAATTTTCAAGGACACACGAGACACTGTTAATGGATATACATGTCCATCACATTGTTTAATGCTTGATATGTTTATCATATATGAATCCTAAAAAGAACAAACTTTGTGAAAAGATAATATCATGTCCTTGGGTGAATAATGCTTGATAAAAATATCTCAATGTGAATTCTGAAATTGAAAAAGTCGTTTTTTCCAATGCTAGATAAATAAATGAAATGAAGTATAAATCATATAACAGAAATGGAAACTCACCGTATTTTTCAAGTACACATAATTTGGAAAAATCAATGATAAAATTGTAAAAAACTTCATTCTGCACTATTTTCAACATGAATAAAGTGATATCAAAAATAAGGAAATCCTTATCAACCATTTGTATATTTTCCTTAATGACCTCATTTGCTTGAACATAATAATATTTGATTCAATGCAAGATTTAGATGATATGAATGAATAGAAAAACCTAGTATAGGGTGATGTAAAAATATAATTGTATTCTCAATGTTGAAAGGGCATGAACCAAGGTATGAACATACATGCATGATTCAATATATTTTGTATGTTGTCTTTACATAGGTGATAAATAAAAAACATTGATCATTGAAATTATTATATTTTATTATTAGGAAAATTAGAAAATATTATACATAATTAAAATACACATCTATTATTTCGAATAGGTATATGCAATGGAAAATTATTTGCCTCACTATAACAAAAAACAAATTCCTTTTAATAAACATAAGAAAATAACTAAGTCTCAGTTTTCTAACCAATGATATATACTAACCCCATGGGTCTCTCTTAGGATATCTTCTAATAACGTTTCCTTGTCGTCTTTGGTGATATATTTCAGGTCCTTCATAACATCTTCTGAGAAGAAATAAATCCATGTAGCAAACAACAAACACATTTTCTATCTACAGTTTTACTCTAAAGACATTCAAGCAAAGTGACCCATATAACATCTAGGTTGATCAGGTATATTGTGAGTTGGTTTTCTCAAATGAGCTTCTTGATGGCGAGCAAAAGAGAAATCATCTAAAATTAATTCATACATAGAAAATCATATACAGGGGTGTTCCGTAACTCATCAGTCATAGAGCAACAGGTGAAAATATCAAAAATATGTTTAGGGTGGAGGAATCAGTTAATCACCGTGTATATTTGTTATATATAGAATATTCAGAAGAACCTTGGGGGATATTTCATTCACATTCCCGGTTAGAGTATTCAGTTGTGGGAGGCAACTACGTCATAATGACGTCAAACATTAACAATATTTGAATTCCTATTTCTTTCACTTTAACCACTTCCACAGTTTACCTACCCGTGTACCTCTTACTTTGACATCCACTCCATTCGTTTTCAATTTGAATGTTCCCATCATATCCTCCATTTTCACATTCATCATTTGTAAACAAATATTAAAGTTTACCATTAACCACCTATACCAACTCTTGAGTTGGTATACCCAAGGGCAGGTAGGGGAAGTGTACCCAAACGGAAATTACGTCATGGTTGAACACAATAAAATGGGATTATCAGCTTCAACCATGACGGTAATGTGAATGAAATATCCCTTTGGTGTCCTCCATCTGCCCTTGCTGTATGTGCATTTCCCAATGAATCACCATGTGTCAAAATCTGAATCTACAAAATGTTTCAACAATTTTGTGGGTTTTCAAATACCAATTTCAACATATTTGTATCTTTTTCGTGACTAACAACATTTTCCAAAACATATCATCATAATTGTGATTTCTAGTTGCACTTGTTGCTCTATTATGGTGGTTGTTATGGGACACCATAAGGTGATGGAAGTGGTGCAATACAATAATTATAATACCTGCACCGGTGATGTAGCCACTGTCGATTTTGAATCTAATTATAATTATTAGGTTATTACTCATGTTTCAAGGATATAATTATTGTGGATTATTTAGAATGAAATGAATGATATCAATATATAATCATGCAAATCAGAGTGACTTTCCTCCAATAATGTTAGTGCATTCACTAATAATTATTAGCACTAAAAACTTACGACTTTCGCGCCTCTTTTTGGACTCTTGGAATTCGTCAACATGCTCCCATTGGCGTTTTTTTATATTATTGACTTGCCGCGATGGTACACTATTTTCCACTTGCATTTTTCCAATTTCCATCACATTACAGACTTCTATGTCCATTTCAACCCTCTCATTTGTTTCTGGCAGTTTGTCTTCATTCTTCAATGTGGAACGGTGAATTCGAGGTTGATAACCATAATATCCGTTTGAGGAAATCAAACTGGTAGATCCACCGTTGAACAGGTGTTCATTCAAATTTTCACAAGGTAAAGGTATCATGTTATAACTTCTTGATGCGTCTCTCATATTTATTTGGCAACAACTGCTATTACTTCCCCTATTTCGTTGGATTGCAAACAATGCATCAATGCAAACAACCAAATGCGTTGGTTGTCGGCTCGTTTTTCACATTTCCGTGACCCGTTCCCGCTCCGCTAGTGAGCTAGTTCACTCCCCTCTTGCCCCTCTACCGCGGTCTATAACGGTTTTTAGAGTTTCGAACCATCCTCTATCCATAGATTATCTTAATCTATGCTCTATCTAATCCTCTGAATCCTCATCTAATCCTAATCGACCTAATCTAATGCTGATGAGAGGGTGTGAGGTTTATACCTCATAGTGGTTTATCCACCTACTTTAATTTGGAATCAAGTAATATCACTTTAATATCATAGAGGAATCACTGCATTGTAGTAGTGGCTATTAATCTGTCTAGACGGACTGATATGTATTATTTCTTGAGATTTCTTCTGCAGTTGTCAAGAAAAATTGGATTCGCTTACGTTGTTGAATGATATATTAACCTTACGCTGGGCATAGATTCGCTGGGTAAGCCTAATATATCTTTATAGGTATCAATCAACGCTTATGCTTGCATGCACCTTGGCACCTTAAAAAATGAGCACCCACTATGTTAATTGATTTGGTTTTTATAAAATACTGAATATAGATTACAATGATTACATCAATACATCAAAATACAAAGGAATTGATGAATTCCATCAAATTTCATTAAATATACCTATTATCATAACAATAAAAAAGACTAATCTTCTTTCTCATCTGGTTTCACCAAATGTTTTACTTTATCAGCTTCAAAGTATGCTTTGTAAATATATAAGCCTACTGCTACATGTAAGATAATAACAGCAAAAATTGCAGACCAAACATTACTGGCGATGGGCCCAGCATTGAAGATTCCTACAAAGTAAAGTATGAGAAACTGTAATCAGATCTCGTGATTTATGATACTCACCTTCCATCAGAATAATTTTGGAAACAAAAAACATCAATATAGGCGATACCAATATAAGAGCGGAATAACCGAGTATTGTTTTGAATACAGAATATGAAGTGGGCTCTTCCATATTTGCTATTTTGAAAATATTGTAAATTTTAAAATGGTTCACATAGAGTATATTGCCAGAATGCAGTGAAATTTATTCATGAAATATAAACATAACCTGAAATGTTCATTTTGGTTGTGGATAAAGCCACGGTCACCGTATTCTTAATAGGGTATCTATTGATCATTCTAGAACACGTGATTTTGACATGGTTTCTTGAGGGGCACACAAACTATCTGTTACCTTTGATGAGCATTGCCCAGGCCGTCCCTCTGCCACATCCACAAAATAATAACAGTTTAACCAAACAAAATTATGAAATCTTTCTGGTTCTAACTCGGATTCCAAGGAAAATGATCCCACTAATTCTGGTTTTCTATGACAGACCTTGACAAAATACAATGTTTGCCCCTCAGCAACCTGTCAAATGACGTAATTCTGAAATGATTAATTTCCTCCTATAATAGTTGGTGGAAAGTGACCATTACCCTTGATTATTTACACTCCATTTCCCACAGGTGTGTGAATGTAAAATAAAAAATACCCCAATTTCTGATAAAATTGATGTTTGACATATACTTGGAAATGGAAAGTTATCTCTTTTTAGCAGTAAAAAGTTAAGGATATGACAAGTAAGGGAATAATTTGGCTTTTATAGCAAGTATTTTATTTCAGCAATGATAATTAATCATAAAAAATATTTACTAAATGTTACTTTCACATATCCTCAGTGTCTGACTCTGAGTCAGCTTCCATTGCTTGTTTAGCTGCTCTTTCAGCATCAGCATATACAGATTCTGGAACTTTGACATGTAACCCATTACTATCTTTGCACACCCAAGACAGTTCCAATTCAAAATTTTTGTCTTTGAGTTCATCATGAACAATGTAAATTCTACAAATAAATAATAAGTGGGTATTATTCAAATTGGTCATTTGTGTGTGGTGTTGAGGATATTATCCACTCACATTTTTGCTGCTTCCTTAACTATATCTTTACAAGTCATGTTGCCAAGTTTCAACTTCTCTATTTCTGTTTTGGCTGATTGTTTAGCTTTACCAGTAGCACATCCATGAAAACCCTGAAAAAATTTAATCAAGCATACAGTGAATGCCCATATGTATTTCATGAATCTATGAACCTGCAAGGCTGTGTTCATAGAATCAGAATGAAGAAGATGGATTGCCTCAGATGGTTAGAATCATATGAAAAATGTCTTACATAACTGACTCCAGATGGATCTATCAAATACATTTGAGGTTCATTCTCATCATAGCTGGCTAATATAACACTGCATCCATATGGCCTTACAGCACTGTATAATGTGTAAGCATGCATATACATACTGACTCTATCATTCAAGTATTTCAAAGGTATATTAGTGCCATACTGACTCCTGTAGTTGGCTGCTTCCTTCCTAGCTATTTCCACTATTTGTCGGGCATCTGCTATCAACCCTGAAAATGCCTGCAGAACATCAATAGGATTATTGTTAAAATAGGAATTAAACCATCTTACCATGCCTATGTGTCTGTCAATGTTGAAGATCCTCCTGTTGGTAGAGGGTTCATGAAGTTTTGATAAAATAAGTTTTTCTGCAGCTAGTACGATTCCATCAGTCCCTTTAAGTCCTATAACTGTACCACTATTTTCCACTGCTTTCATCGCATACTCAACTTGAAATACCCTTCCGTCCGGTGAAAATTGAGAAGCTGATAAATCATACTGAAAAACATGAATCAACATTTTCCCATAAACATTCTTAAAATAGTACTCACCCCTGTTCCTATTGAACTCATTTCTGCTGTTGTTTAATGAAAATTTACACTATGATAGTGATCTCTTTTCTCTTTATTCTCTTTGAAAAACTACAAACGACAAAATTCGTGAGTTTGCTATTTTACAAGACAGTTGACATTCTTGAATTTGTTAACAGGACAGACAAATGACAATGTCTAATATGAAAGGTCTGTTTATTTATGGTGTTCGGAACAGGTATTTGATCAATGACGGCTAAATATCTAGACTGACTGACAGGTTATCAGAAATCAGTTCATTGACGTCACGAATCTTACCCGACACACTCGGCTACTCTCAGTGGACTACAAACTACAGAACAGAACGAAGCCTAACAAGGCCTATTCGTTTTGTACTGCTGAACCAAAGCCTGAACTTGCTCAAATTTTTTTTTTCTTCATTTTGTCTCTGTTCATGGCATGATGTAAGCAGACTGCAGAGAAAAAAATCAAGTTCAGCAGGTAGAGCAAGCACAAACGAACAGGCCCTTATGTGTCACTGTTGATTGTCACCTTACCCCAATGTCAATGTCAGTTTTTAATGTTTAGTTTTTACCGCGTTTACCAAACTACAAAAGTCGAATGTAATAACGATATTCAATCAGAAAATATTTATTTTTGTAAAGAATATTACATTGATAAACCAATTTCAGCTTCTTCAAAATGAATAAAAGAAAAGATATCTCCTATCAGCATGCAGCCAAACGAATGAAGACCGAAAATTTCGTTCGCTCCCAACTGCCTTCTTTGGACCCAGCAAAGGACACTTTGATATTCCAAGAACTGGAACTGGATCACTATATTGGCAGTGTTCATCCTGGAATGCCTGGCCCTCAAAATGGTATGGTACCAATTATCAGAATGTTTGGTGTGACCAAATCTGGTAATAGTGTTTGTTGCCATGTCCATGGCTTTTCTCCTTACTTTTATGTGAATTTACCAGATGTATTCACTGCTGATGATCTAGTTCCATTCAAGGTAAGAGGGTGTAATAATTTTTCATACCCATTATACAGACCAAAACAATTTGATACAAGCAAACTTACCTCAGTACAAAGTTGCATAGTTTGAGTACTAGAAGTTACAATTTTCAAATCATTTCTGCTTCATAACTATGAAACTGCTCATGAGATTTCAATCAGATTTGGTACATTATTAGCATTAGTTCAATTGGGCAAAGAAACACATTACTTGATATTGACAAATATCATTCCATGCCCCATGGAGGTAGAATTTAATTTTTTTGATAAACAAACATCTAAAACTTCTATAATAATGGGATAATGGAATTTGAGTAAATTCTCATCAGCCATTCCAAAGTTATCAAGTGTCTAGTGCCCAAACTAAGCAACTTTGTACTGAGGTAACTTTGCTTAATTGTATCAAATTGTTTTGGTCTGTGGAATATGTGGTGAGTTTCTGTAAAGGTCTTTTAGGGACACCCTGTATATTATCCTCTCATATGATGAAACCTTATGAAAAAATCAAAAATTGTAGTCTTTTATTGTTTGTACTCAGAATAAACTCAATGATGCTGTGCTGGCAGATCAGAGAAGTTCAAATAAAAATGATGTGTATGAAGCAGTTTTGATGGTAGAAATAGTAAAAGGCAAATCTTTGGTAGAATACACTGGAAGTGAAGATGACAATTTTGCCAAAATAACACTAACCCTCCCAAAATTTGTACCTGCTGCTAAAAGACTTCTCACTACAACCATAGTTTATCAAAAGTTGGCTTCTCATACTTTTTTCGTTTTTGAATCCAATGTTGACATAGAAACAAGGTGAGTTCTTTATAATAACTTCTGTCAATATAATTATTCTGGTTGATATTCTAGGTTCACAGTAGACACTCATATCTTGGGATGCTGTTGGATTGAACTGCCTCCTGGAAAGTGGTTTAGGAGGTCTCAAAATTCTGATTTCAGAGTTACCAGTAGGTGCCAGTTGGAAGTTGATGTTTCATGGGTAGATTTTGTGGTACATGCACCAGAAGGGGAATGGGCCCCAGTGGCTCAGTTCAGAATTCTTAGCTTTGATATCGAATGTGCTGGTAGAAAAGGTAAGTGTGTGTGAAATATTGGTCAATTTAATAACAATAACATTTATTGATCCCAAGAAACATACAATGTTTATAGAGGGAAAAATGCAATACAAGGAAAGATGAACAGTGATCAAAATTAATTGATACAAGGAGAGAGTTAAATTGATAACATCTATTTCTTCAGTTCACACTTGAATTTTTTGATGAACCTAATAGATTTCATTCTGTTGGGAAGACTATTATGAATATTTATTCCACAAAAATTCAATGATTTTTTCCTGAATTGGGTTTTTATTTTGACATTTTTCAAATGTTCACTTTGTCTGGTGTGATGCTACTGGGTATCAGAATTGATGTTGAAAGTAAGATTCCAGTGCTTTTTCTTTTAGTGAAATGAATGAAAATGCATACTTTCATTTTGAAGAGAGAGTCAATATCTAGCAGATCCCTTGGTTTGCATAATCTAGATGTTGATTCCAGAAATGGTAGTTTATAAATACATTTTATGGCTTTATTTTGAAGAGTTTTCGGAGGTTCCAAAACACATTTGGCTGCAGTACCCCAGATCAATATTAGATACTGCAATTTAGAGTAAATCAAACTGAAAAAAATCAATCTCAAGTATTTAAAAGGTATAAAAGACCACAATTTGTATAATATACCAAAAATGGATGATATTTTTCTTCTGAACAATAGAATATGTGATGACCAAGATAGAGACTGGTGGGTACTTGATAATGTGAATAAACAACAATATACCTATACCTACTAGCAAACCTGGCAAACATTGTTTTGCCATAAACATTATTCTTGGAAATATTTTTTTAGCTAAATATTTCTCAGCACACTTTCATTATTTTATTTTCTTTTTAGTTTGGCTATCCATGAAAGCATGTTTCTTTAGTTGTTCAAACTATTCTATACATTTCCTACTTTTCAGTTTGGCTATCTATAACAGCTTGTTTCATTAATTTTTCAAACTACTGATGATTACAATAGCTGACCTGGCAAATATTGTTTTACTATATACCTATATATACACGTGCAATAACTAATGAAAATTCTCACTAATGCCAAATTTTCAGCAACTCAAAAGCACATCTCATTTACAGCACCTAAAATCATAAATTTACTACCACGAAATTTGAAAAATAGACATTTTAAAAGTATAGCCAAGGATTTATCAGAGTGGATCTGCCTGAGGTATACATTCCTTTGTCAGAATCATTAATTTCTACTATAGTTTCATACTATTATTATCATACTCAGATGAAATTTTAGTCTCATGATGTTGTAGAACATTTCAAATCCATTGGAATTATTCAGAAATGGTTATGAATAAAAAGTCATATAAATTGTACATGGTACTTAAAACATAAAAATATATTATTGTAATGTGCTCACACAAATTCATCAAGGATTTATCGGGCACCGTTTTTGACAGCATATCATTGATCTGAGTTGTTTTTTATGGTTCATGTAGTTAAGTAGGAGGATGTCTCAGAACTTCATCAAATATATTTATATTCATATCTTATTTTCTCCTAGGAAGTGACATCATCTTGTAAACCGTATGGTGTTGAATTTTGGGGAAATACTTAGCAGAAATTATTGTTTCAAGGCTATATTAGGAAATTATAATAATGGTTGATTCAAATCTGATTATGTATTGTACCCCATATCAGATTTGTACAAGTATCTTAACAAACAGTCCAAATTATTAATTCTAGAATTCATATTACATAATGTAATATTATGTTGAATGTTAAGACAAATATTTATTACTAGAAAATATTTTATCAGTTGGATATTTATCAATACACTTGGTGTTATTTTGTTTCCTACTTTTTCTAGTTTGGCTATCATTATATTTTTGATTTTGAATAGAATCAGATTATGATTACAAAACTCGTCCGCCATATTGGATCAGCCATCCTTAACGTCCTAAGTTTGACGAAAGAATCATAATCTCCGACCCCGAAAATCCTCAGATACCAATTTTGAATAGAATTGGATCATAATTAAAAGAGTCGTCTTTTATATTGGATCCGCCACCTTGAATTTTCAAATTTTGACGAAAGAATCATAATCTCCGACTCCAAAAACCAACCAGATATCAATTTTGAATAAAATCAGATTGCAAAACTCTTCCGCCATGTTGGATCCGCCATCTTGAATTTACTAATGTTGATGACGGAATCATAATCTCCGTCCCCGAAAACCCATAGATACCAACTTTGAATAAAATCGGGTTGCAAAACTCGTTTGCCATATTGATTTTTCACACCTACAGAATAAGCACAAAAATGTTCATAGGAATGGGTCAAGCCGTTTTGGAGGATTTTGGCCCCTTGACACCCTGACAGGGACAGGAGAATTTTATATAATTCATAAATTGGGTGCAAAACTTGAGTTTTTTACTATTTTCCATTCCCGATTTCATCAGCAGTATTATTAACTTTGGATTTTCAAACGGAACACCTTGTATTTCATTACATTTTCAAATTCTGCATTATTATCTGAATCCAATGATACCACATAAGTGATATTCCAAAATTCTTAATTGATTCTAATTTCATTTTTGATTCCCCATCTAAGTGTGCTGTGACTATTCTGATTCACTAATGCAGCCTTATCTGAGTTCAATAAACTACCACATAAAATTAAAAACTGCAGAAATGGTCCGGTAGTTGATGAGGAATTTATTCATAATAGACATGTTGAAATTTTCTATGAATTCAGTTGAGATTACAGTAGAGAGAAAAGTATCGGTTTTTTCCTAGATATGTTTCCAAATGTTCTTTCCTAAAAATAATCACAAAACTGGAAAATTTATAGAGTTGCTTGTTGAAAAATACAATCATTACACAATGTGAAAAAAGTTGATGGAAGGCATTCTTCTAGGTATATTTCCTGAGCCAAATGTTGATCCAATCATCCAAATTGCAAATGTTGTAAAACTACATGGTGAAAAAGACGTACTTTTCCGTAACATTTTCACTCTGAATTCATGTGCTCCTATTGGACATGCTGAGGTAAATAAATGAATTGACAATAGACCTTATATTCAAATTAAATGTATTTCATTTTTTCCAAGGTGTACAGTTTTGCCACAGAGGGAGAGATGTTGGAAGAGTGGTCTAACTTTGTAAGGGCACTTGATCCAGATATTTTCACAGGTTACAACATCAACAATTTTGATTTCCCGTACTTGATAGACAGAGCTAAGCATTTGAAATTGAAACAGTTCCCTTACTTGGGCAGACTTCGAGAAGTGGTGTAAGAATTCAATGTCCAATGTTTGCTTTAAAAATTAACCACAACGCATTTTCAGTTCTGTGGTGAAAGAAACGGTGACTCAAACTAAAATCGGTCGAAGATCATTCAAGTACGTTAATTTTGAAGGCAGAGTTCCTTATGACATGCTTGTGGTGATGAAACGTGATTTCAAGTTGAGGTCTTACACTTTGAATAGCGTTTGCCAGGAAATTTTGGGTGAACAGAAAGAAGATGTGCATTACAGTATTATTACTGATTTGCAAAATGGTGATGAACAGACTAGAAGAAGGTAAGACTAGGTGAAACTGTACTGGAATTCTTATTGTTTTTTTGTACTTTAGATTGGCTGTTTATTGTCTGAAAGATGCAGAATTGCCATTGAGGCTGTTGAATACAGTTCTCAGTTTTACCAATGATATTGAAATGGCTAGAGTCACAGGTGTTCCAATTACTAGTTTATTGACCAAGGGTGAACAGGTCAAAGTAGTAGCACAACTACTGAGACATGTAAGTTTGATTATGTTTTTTATTTATAAATACCACTATCAGGATGAACAGAAAATGGTGTAGAAATTCCTATCAAATCCTATATACTGTTTTTCGGTCAAAGTTCTTGACCTACGGCCTACTTGACAGAAGGATTCTTTTCAATATCGCGGAAATAGGTCGCATTCTACCCGTTAGATGGTGAAATCTCAACCAAAATTCAAGGTTATTAAAATTCCCTAAAAATACAGTTTCGTACTTTTAAATTTAATTTCATTTGATTTGAGGTTATGTTATGAATGTTATGATATCATTAATTCCGGTGCAAGCGGTGTGTGAGCGCCGATTTCTGTTTTCTGTCATGAAAGAAATCTGTAAAAAGTGTCGCCATCTTGCGGACAACCGAGAACTAATAGGCCATTATTGTGGAATCTGTGGTCAAGCGTTTTGTGTTTTATAAATTCCACTATATTTATGTCCATTGGGTTTCATTATTCTGTGCCAAATTTATTCACCAGGAAACCAGGACTCTTAGCTGGAATTTGATGATGGATTCATTTTCTATGGATTTGAATCAGGGATGATGATTTTTTCAGTAACTGATTTTTTAAACCTTTTTCATAAAAATGAATATTCCTTTCATTTCGATTCTGTCATCCAATGGGGAAGACCACTGAGAGAAGAAATCCGTGCAAACCTCTTTCAATCGACGAATCATGATTTACGTTTGATGTACAATCAATATTATGAGTTAAAGTTGAAAGGAATCGAATCTATATCGTTTTGAAATCAGCATATTATTTCATTCGATATTTCAGACAGCCAAATATGATGGTGGAGTCGTGACGTATTAGTCCCGAGCTGTAGCTATCTCTCTCTGATACCTCGTCATTCTGCAGTGTTGCAGTGTGATTGGTCAGTTCAAGGAAAATAGGCGTGTTGGGAATAAGACGTCGCACCAGTCACACCAATGAATTGACAAAATTTCAAATGGCGCAGGAATTGTTTGTTTTGAAATGGACATATTCCAATTTATTTTTTCCATCGTCTTAGGCATGAATGAAAAATTCAAAATTAATTCGCTGGTAGTTTTTCAGTATAGAGTTCACGATAATGTCATTTTAAAAAATCAGTGGTCTCCCCCATTCTGATGTTTTCTACCTATAAAAACAATTGAGGAGGCCCAAGGAAACGCACTCCAATTTTTGAAGAATTTGTTTTTTTTTTCTTTGCATTTTTAGTAGTTGAAATTCATATGTTCCGAGTTCGAATTTTTTTGAGAAATTTTCTTGAAGTGCGAATTTTCTGAAAATTTTGATGACCCGCCAGCCATGGTAATATTTTTGTCAATTTCCTACGGAAATTCAAATCTTCCCGTTTTCCGCATACGATTTCCATTTTCGATCCAAAAATATTAATATTTTGAGAATGTGCTGGAGAGTAATTTTTTGTGTGTAGGCAAAGAAAGCTGGATATTTCATGCCAGCTCATCATGGGGCACCAGGTAATGATCAATATGAAGGGGCAACTGTGATTGAACCGATCAGAGGTTATTATACTGAACCGATAGCCACTTTGGATTTCAGTTCCCTGTATCCAAGTATCATGATTGCACATAATTTGTGCTATACGACACTGTTGAAGGGTCCAGAGAAAGAAAAATTAGGGTAAGTAGTTCTGTCGATGAAAAAAAAAAAAGTTTCATGGATATTTTTGTTTTAAACTTCTCCAAAAAAATGTAGGCATTTGTGATTTTATTGGAGATACCAAATTTATCAGATTATCAGTCAGTTTACAAATACTAAAACAAAAAGACAATGATATAGAATAATGGTTATATCTAAAATACATAATCAATAATTGATACTTAAATATTTTTTGGAAACTGAGGAATTCTTCAATACCACAACACCATTGAATATATTTCAACCCTGTGCCTGAAGTTTCTCCATTCCATCAAAACAATTAGGTTATCTCCATTTCCAGGAATATGTCCGGGGATAACAACAATAAAAAAATAACTCAACGCCAGAACAAGATCCCAATTCGCTTGATAAGCAAGAAATAAAAAATATGGCATAGAAAGTACTATTTGAAAAATTAAAAAAAAATAGTTCACTTGCCTATTGTTCTTATAGCAATGATGGAATCCTGACATCAACATTTTGGTGGTCAGAACCTCGAAAGAATTAATTGTATCTGAGATTTTCACAGCATCTTTATAGGCGACTTTTGGTGAAATATAACAAATTCGACATCCTGTCGAGAACATGCCACATGCCCAGGCAACATCTTCGCTCTATAATTTCACAAGAAACATCCATCGCCGTATTTTAGGTTGACTGACGATCAAGTGACCGTCACCCCGGCCAACTGCATGTTCGTGAAGTCCTCGGTGCGCCCCGGCCTGCTGCCCCACATCCTGCAACACCTGTTGGCGGCCAGGAAGAAGACAAAAGCCCTGCTGAAGGACGAAACCGACCCCGTGGTGCGGACGGTGTTGAACGGCAGACAGCTGGCCTACAAGATATCGGCCAATTCCGTGTACGGGTTCACCGGGGCGCAAGTGGGGAAGTTGCCCTGTTTGGAGATTTCCGGGGTGAGTTGGAGTTACAATGAAAATGATTCGCTATGAATGTCCCTCCCCTTGTAACTTGACATCTTGAATATATTAATATTAGCGTTCGGACACTGAACAAGCAGTGAAAGTTTTGATAAACAAGCTGTGGCCCCACGTTGGGCGCCAATTATAGTAGTGGTTTCAATTAACTCCCAAGGATTAGGAAGCACTGAGTAAAATTTCATTATCACTCCACCGCGAACAAAAAATCTCAGTGAAAACAATGAATACAGATATTGAACACATTACACTGTTTACCACCAACTGGGTGCCTCACGTTGGGCGCCAATTTTAGTGATGCTTTCAAGTACCTTCCAAAGATTAGGATGTACGGGGAGTATAACTTGATCATCACGTGGATACACACCTCACCGTGTACACAAATGGTCAGAGGAAATAATAAATGTATACTCCTCAGTTCTTTCTAATCATTGGAAGGTATTGAAAAGGAATTTTCACAGATATATTATGAATATGGAAAATTGGATATATAAAGAAATTCAAACTTGAACGATGGAAATTGGTTATTTTTAGACAGATTCGTGATTGGGTTTTCTGAAATCAGAATGTTTCTCAACGTCCTGTATATAACTTTGTCATACATCTTGACATTGTAAGGTAATCAAAAACACTGCTGTGTGTCCCACGTTGCGTTCGGCGCCAATTATAGTGGTGATTACCTTCCAAAAATTATACGTCTATACACAGATCATCGCTCGAAGAGAAAGTCAGAGAAAACAATCAATAAAAATATTTAACCTTATGGGTGAAATCGGATCAGAAAAATTTATACCCGTTTCAGATTGATGACCTTTGCCGATTACTTTTCTGTTCTGTTGGTATGCTTATAGACTGGTTGAAATTCTCCTCTCCATAATTTATTTATTTATTTATTCCAACAAACAGGTTTTACCCCAATGTTTTGTGTGTATGAATGGTTGATTGAAGTAGTACTTTATTTTCTGCATCAATCACAGTAATAATAATCATTCCCTTTGTATCATTTAAACGTCCTCGTATGTGGTATAACATGAACAAAATGGCAAAAACAAAATTGCAGCTAAAGCATTGATAAGCTTAATATTGTGCCTTCTTGAATTGCAACTTGCATCAGCTGGTTTCAATGAAACTTCAGATTAGTCGGAATCGCCTTTTCGATTTGTATCTGGACAATTTCCTCCGTCTGGACTAATTGATTTTCAAGTTACTCTCAGTTCTTTCTAATAATTGGAAGGTGATTGAAATCACCATTATAATTGGTGCCCAACTTTTCACCACACGTTGGGCGCCAATTATAGTCACACGTTGGGTGCCAATTATAGTGATAGTTTCAATTAACTTCCAATAATTATGTTGGTTAGAAAAATTAGACATCTGTTTTATTCTTTAGAGTGTGACGGCTTATGGTAGAACTATGATAGAACAGTCCAAGCAAGAAGTCGAACAACACTACCGAATTGAAAACGGTTATGAAGCAGACGCTAAAGTAATATACGGTGACACGGACTCCATAATGGTGAACTTCAAGAACGATTCTTTAGCGAAGTGCATGGACTTAGGTCGGGAAGCTGCTACCCTTGTCAGCGAAAAATTCATCAGTCCGATCAAACTGGAATTCGAAAAGGTCTCTTTTTATCTACATAGTCGAAGGGTATGACGATTTCGAATATTTTAGGTTTACTATCCCTACTTATTGATCAACAAAAAAAGATACGCAGGGCTGTATTGGACTAACACGGAGAAGTACGACAAAATGGACTGTAAGGGTATCGAAACGGTACGACGTGACAATTGTACCCTTGTAGTTGATGTTATCAATACTTGTCTTCAAAAATTACTGATAGGAAAGTGAGTATACAAACCTAGCAATTTCATTAAATAAACTCGAAATTTGTTGTTTCATTATATTATATCAGGAAGAAATATTAGCCTTCCTTTTCTCCTTTTGGATATTCATAGCATAATATCAAGGACACTGGATCATATACCCTCAAGTATAAGTATTGCAAAAACGGTTCCATAATCAACTAAAAGTTCCCTTTCATTTGAAAAGTTTCCTTTATGTGGTGGATTCGATTCCATTAATTTCGACAGAGCAACTAAAATTATTCAAAACCAAGAATAACAAATAACGAGAAGAAGTGCCAGCAAAGTGTCAGAGCAATCCGATGAATGTATGGCATTTTTTCAAACTTGACTTGACCTGTGGTGAAAAACCACTGAACAATCTGAGGATTTCCCCGCATACCCGGGATTCTACCTGTAAGCCTGTAACTGCCATGTGTCATTCCAGTGTGCAATGATAGAGACTTCTGGGTGTTTGATAACATTTCAGATTTCGTGTTTATAGAGAATTGAGTTGGGAATAGAATCGATATGGCAGCTTTTACTTCGCATAATCGTTGTAATATGAAGATATTTTGGGTGGCAGCCTTCAAGATTGTGTTGAAAATTATCCTTTTAATGACAATGAAAAAAAAGTAATTAATTTTCAGAGACCCAAATGGCGCGGTGGAGTATTCCAAAAGAGTCATTTCGGATTTGCTACAAAACAACGTGGACATTTCACAACTGGTGATAACCAAGGAACTGACCAAGTCCGACTATACCGCGAAGCAAGCTCACGTGGAACTGGCTAAAAAAATTACGAAGAGAGATCCAGGAAACGCGCCCAAACTCGGAGATCGTATACCGTACGTTATCGTTGCTGGTACCAAGAATGCGAAAGCTTTTGAGAAGGCGGAGGTGATTATTCGGCACTTTGGCTCACCATGCGACAAAATGATTATGGGGTTGTTATTTTTTTAGGATCCTATTTACGTTTTGGAAAACAACATTCCTATCGATTCGAAATATTACCTAGAAAATCAGCTGTCAAAACCTTTGCTGAGGATTCTGCAGCCTATACTAGGAGACAATGCCGAATCGGTACTGCTACGTAAGTTTTAAATATATCTTTTGTCGAAGCAGGCACTTCTCTATTTTTATCCAATTCAAGTTAACATTCATCTTTTTTTCTTTTGAAAAAACAGTGTGCAATAATAATTATTGTTCTGATTTATTGTTCACTAGCAGACCTCGCAAACGTTGTTTTGCTATATACTTTATTTCTATAATATATTTTTTAGTTTCGCTATCTATGAAACCGTGTTTCTTCAGTTTTTCAAACTACCATTCATTCAACTTCTTTTTAGTACACTTGAATTTTCCAATTTTGACGGAATAATCATAATATCCGACTCCTAAAACCCCAGATGAAAATTTTGAATAGAATCGGAACATAATTACAAAACTCGTCCGCAATATTGGATCTACTATCTTGAATTCCCTAATTTTGACGAAGGAATCATAATTTTTGATCCCGAAAACGCCCACTTACAAATTTTGAATAGAATCGGTATATAATTACAAAACTCGTCCGGTATATGGTTCCACCGTCTTGAATTTCCAAATCCCGCCTTTTCCAAAATTTGGCAAAAGAATCATAATCTCCGACCCCGAAAACACCCAGATAACAATTTTGAAGAGAGTCGGATTATAATTACAATACTCGTCCGCCATATTGGGCCCGCCATCTTGAATTTCCTAATTTTGAAGAAAGAATTATAATCTCCGACCCCGAGAACCACCAGATACCAAATTTGAATAAAATCGGATCCTAATTACAAAATCCGCCATTTCGGATCCGCCACCTTGAATTTCTCAATTTTGACGAAGGAATCATTATCCCTGGTCACGAAAACCGCTAGGTACCAATTTTGAAAAGAATCGGATCATAATTACAAAACTCGTCCGCCATATTGGTTCCGCCATCTTGAATTTCCAAATTCCGCCCGAATATTCGAATTCTGACGGAAGAATCATAATCTCTGACCCCGAAAACCCCCAGATACCAATTTTGAATAGAATGGACCATATTACATTACAAAACTCGTCCGATATATGTTGTTGTTGTTCTTTATTACCCCAAGAAACATATTTGTTTATAATAGGGATATATAAACATAGATCCGCCATCTTGAATTTCCTAATGGTACCGGGATAAAAAGTGGGTGGCGGAAATTTGATCGAAAGACAAATGATAGAAAAACATTTGATAGAAGTATTTTGATCGAAAGTGTTTTTGATAGAAATGCATTTGATCGAATGTTTCATGATAGAAAACACATTTGATAGAAACATAAATGATAGAAAATACAATTGATAGGAAAAATATTTGATAGAAAATACACTTGATAGAAACAGCATTTGGTAGAAAATTCATCGGGGCTACGCTCAAGATAGGTCAGTACGTTTGTGAAGATATGATCCTTCTTCATATATTTGAGAAGGAGCTAGATGGAAATCGAAGCTCATGAATTTATTGATACCACAAAATTCTAGCTCCTTCTTCTCAAACATATGAGGAAGGATCATACCCAGCGAGCACAAACATCCCTGGGATGTTTTGAAAATGTTGGCATGAAGATGTTATTTCGAGACGTAATATGCACTGACCAAAGAGGTCTTTGAAGGATATTGATGTATTGTTTTTGTTCTTCTGTGGCATTTCTTTGTTTGCCTACTGAGAGGTATCCCTGGGATGTTTTGGGATGTTTTAGAAATGTAGGCATGAGGATGTTTTTTTGAGGCGTAATATGCACTTCCTAAAGAGGTCTTAGAAGGATATTGAAAGTATTGTTTTTGTTCTTTTGTGCCCTTTCTTTGTTTGCCCCACCACAACGTCTCATGCTTACGTCACAATACGATGAATTCTGATTAGTTTTCGATTTTGTTCTTGTTCGCAATTGGCATTCGCGTTTGCAGCGTGTCACGCTCACATCACGCTGCTAACGAACAGAAAGGAATTTGGTGAAGTTTATTGTTTTAGAAGACTTATTTAGTTTGTAATAATGACCATCAGATGCAAGATGTGCTGTTCGGTGCCTCAGTGTAATCAATATATAAAAGTACGAATTCTTCAATACACAGCTTCTCCGCAGTTGCAAAATTATGCATTGTGGAGAACATTTCAAAAATTGGGAAACCTATTTCCAATTATATATCTGTGTGTAGTAAGCACTACTCAGAAACCGATTAATAAGGTAATTTCATATCAAGAAAATATTTTTATGTTCAATCTATTTTTAATGCATTTTTCCATTCAAGGGAAATGGAATCCTAATGCAAAAGTTCATTTCGACAAAAGGCTTCAGAAAAGTACCTCGAAAATGGTTTTTTACAGCGATTTAATGTGCGCAAGACGCGTTGAAAATGTTTTGTTGTGTTCATGAAAAGGCTTTAAAAAGAACTAGGAAGAAGGTAGTTTTGTGACATATCAAGGACATCTCGATAATTGCCGCCTGCGGCGGACATTGGCTGTTCTATAATAGTTCTATTCATGTGTGAACAGAACATCGCAGTGGAGGTTCAATGTCTCGAAATCTCGTACTTTTAACATCTCTGAGATGGTTTTGTGCTCGCTGGGTATCTTCACAAACGAACTAACCTAACTTGAGCGTAGCCCTGTTGAATTTTCTATCAAATGCTGTTTCTATCAAGTGTATTTTCTATCAATTGAATTTTCTATCATTTATGTTTCTATGAAATGTTTTTTCTATTATAAAACATTCGATCAAATGCATTTTCGGTGAAAAGTTCTTTCTATTTTTTGATTTAAAAGACTTCTATCAAATGTTTTTCTATCATTTGTCATCAAAATTCTGCCACCCGTATACAGTACCTATCCCTATTATAAACAACAATATTGTTTCTTGGGATAATAAGGACAATCAATCAAGTGTGTAGTTGGCTGGTCCCAATTTCCTATATTTCCTCGCAATCCACCCAGGTGGCGAACACACTCGCACGAAGACCGTGGTGACGTCGAAGGTGGGCGCGCTGGCCGCCTTCACGCAGAAAAAGGAGGTGTGCATCGGGTGCAAAGCGGTGCTGCCCAAGGGCTACGAGGGGGAGGCGGTGTGCGCCTATTGCAAGCCCAAAGAGTCGGCCCTCTACCAGCAGGAGTTGTGCCATCGGCAGATGCTCGAAGACAGGTATGTTTGATTTGATTTCGATTGTGTGGAAGACGACACCTACGACGTTGGCCAAAGTGGTGATTTGTCTGGTGAAAAATGATTACGACGGAGTAATTTCATTGAGATGGACATCTTTAATGGGCCTGATTCAGTCAAAAGTTGTATTTCATATTTCGAAGTACTAACCCTATCTAGTTCACTGCAATGAACTCTGTATAAACAACTGGAAGGGACCCTCTGTGAACGACGAGTGAGGCAAAAATATTGTTCAGGCAACCCGCAGTGTTTACGGATACCTATCTCTCTCTATCTTATGTTTGCTAATGGGAAGCGCTCGCATTATTTGAAATATTTCCTGTTTTTCGCCTTCATTTAGGAGTAAACGTGATGAAATAAAAATATTCATTTAGAAAAAAGTATAATGTTGCAATCAATTATCATTAAAAACTTATTATTGAATTTATTATTGACTTAAAAATGAAATTTCATTTTTATTCTTGCAGGATTAGGAAGTCAAATGAATACAAAATTGAAATTATATATTTTTATCCAAATGTCACAATATATTATACAGGGTGAGAGAAGCACAATGTCCCAGAACTATCAGAAGAAAAAGAAAAACGATAGGAACAATTTGAAAAGAGGTTCTTGAATGGTATTGAGTACCTAAGGTCCATTTGGAGCATAATTTCCATAGGTTCCTATTTTTCCATTAGGTCACTGCCTACAAACATATTAGAAATTAAAAAAATACAATTCTCAATACAATATCCTCCTCGAATGGAACAGTTTGGGTTTCTTTATTGATGAACTTCTGAACTTGGGAGCTGGAAGTCCTAGGCAAATCAAAGTCCATAATATGAGAAACATCTTCCTTAGGACCCAAGTTATGAACGTCCACAGATGCATCCTGAAAATAAATAACAAGCTAGTTTTTTATTTTAAAGAGGTAACAAATACTTGGGAAATGAAAATATACTGGGTACAGCACCTGGTTTCAATAACCTAGCAGTACCTGGTATGTCTAAAGTAAATAATCAGTTGGCAGGAAATGCTTGCTCGTTTTAGATGGAGCCCAATTCTCTCTACGAACTGCCTTAATCCATAATTCGAAAATGTCTGGTCCTTTGAATGGAAAACTGCAACCAATAATATTACTTGATATGTTTATGAAAAAGTCATGGATGTATTTAACTTTGACAAATAATATAGGTATAGTTTTTGAACATACTCTGCGACTGGGAACATTGTATACTCATTGATGATCATCTCAAGAACTATATTTTCCAAAAATCTGAACAATATTCAACTTATCCATGGAATGACAATTTCGTTTTGTCTTGCTCGTTCTTGCATCCAAAGGCGACACAATAAATCACCATTGTTCATCAATATGAAATCACAAACCTTCTCAACAATCAGTTCACAGTGTTCACACCAACAAATTCAGTCCTTTTGATGAAACAAAACACGCCAAATGAATAGATATTTCACATAACCAAAGACAATGAACTTATGTCTTCACTTTCTTGTCTGTTTAGATGAGAGAAAAAAATCTAAAGTACTTTAATTATTAGATGAAAGAAAACGTAAACACCAATCCACCATTAAACAACACGAGTAGGAAAGAGACAGGTTACAGTAAATCATGCTATCTTTGTTGTAGCTGCCCCTGACACACTTTGTGCTATTCGAGAGAACGGCGCCTCCCTTCCAGGTGTTTATATTGAGTTCATTGGTTCACTGTTGCAAACCGTTTTTCTCCAGAGCCCTGTACATTTCTTAAATAATAATTGAAATTCACGATATTTCATAACATGAAAATCGCGGCAAGACGCGTGATGTAATAATCTGGAAAAATTCGACATACGTATCTATTCTCTATTTCTGTAAGACAAGTGCAAAAATATTTCGGATTGTCAAGAATCAGATAATAACAGGAATATCTTTGAATATTCGCATCTTGATTAGATGAAACAAGGATATGAAGATTACGGTGGCGTTCGGAAGTTAGGTTGACAATGTAATTCGTCTTCTTCTTCTCTTCTTGTACTTCTGGGTACTATAGGCATTACGCTGTTGACAGGGCCACAAAATAAATTGGTTTTAAATAAAATCTCGATCAATATTAGGAATACTACGATAATGGTACTGAAGCATCTTGCAAGTATATAAGTATTCAATAAGTGATTATTGAATGTGAATACTGTGATCATTGGTCATATTGAATCTCATAAGGCAATTACTAGTTACAAATCTGGCAGCGTCGAAATGTGTGGTCCTACTTCTTATGTGAAAGCCAGATTTTAGATAACGACGACTTTCTGTTCGGTTCATGACGTCGATCGAAGGTGGTGTTTTTTGAAGGAATGATCAGTATGAAATAGGTTTGTGGCGTAAATTTGACTAGTGCGTACAACCCCATTCAATAAAACATTTCATACATTAGGAATGATAAGAAACACTTGTTTTTTGCTAAATCATTCAATCCATTTCAAATTTCCAAAACGTATTTAAAAAATCGCACAGTTGGGCAGATAGGCAGTTGAAAAAAAAAAAGAGATGGAAAATGTCTTTGGTCACAGCCCTCGTTGATACAAGCCGTGCTGAACCACACTGACAACACTGTCCGAATGTCCCTTGCCAGCCATAATGCATATACCTAGAAGAAAAACTGCAGTGATGTGAATTCGTCCAGTCTCCCAAAGAAAATTAATGTCAAACGTGTGAAGAAGTCCATACTGCTCAAAGTAGAGTGGTAGTGTTTGAAGGAAGAGTAAATCTCAAAATCATCTCCATGACATTTAATATTTAGTTGAAGTTATGGGCTTATAATAAGCCCATCATCAGCAAAGATTAACGTCCTACAATAGTGCAAACTAGTAACATGAACATGGTAATAGATAATGTTACTTATGAGGATGAAAAAACTGATAGATTAAAAAAGTTGAATTGAGGTTATGTGGAATGATTTCTTATTTTTGGAAGTAATTGAAGTAATGCGTCTATGTTCAAATTTTTACTTTTTTTTCTTTCGAAAATCATATATTGTCAGCGAAACCGCAAAACCAAGTAACTGCAAAAACCAAAATTTCCAGGAGACACTAAAAACTTTATAATTTCGGGTTAACTGATCAGATTCAATAAAAAATAGTAACAAACCACCTGATCATTATTATCTTTACGTTTGTACATTGATCATTGAAAAAAGTCATTGTTTATGTTTGTCAGCGTAAAGATACTTGATGATACGTGTTGAAATACCTCTCTGTGAATAGAAATTGAAACAAAATATCAGAGGCGTGAATCACGTTGCCAACTGTTAGATACTTGTTTTTGACGACCCCTTTTATTTTGTTTTTTAGGGGGTTTTGTATTTATGGATTTTGAAATATTTACAATTTTTACAAGTCGTGACGTTTTGCATACGCATCCCCACCGATGATAGACCGATTGCCGCCAGAATCCCGATTTTCGATTTTTTGTCAGTTACTAGGTTTTGCGGTTTCGTCGACGATATTCAGTTTTATCACTTTCTTATCTTTTTCTTTGTAAAAACTGTTTGAATTAAGCCATTTTTCAAATTTTATCAAGCCTGCTACTGTTTTTTTAATAATGAGATTTTCATTATCATATTGTATAATATGCTTTGTGTCCATGATTTATCTGATGAAACGATTAAGTTCCTATACTTACTTATCTTTCTCTCTTTCAGGTTTGCTTCTTTGTATACAGAGTGTCAGAGGTGTCAGGGTTCACTGTTTGAGGAGATTCTGTGCACGAGTAGGGACTGTCCTATTTTTTATATAAGGAAGAAGGTACAGATGGAATTGGAGTCGTCCAAGTCGAAAGTTGCAAGGTTTGGTGATCCCATCGCTGAATTATATTGATTTGTTTTCTCTGATATTTAATTTGGAGTCTATTTTTTTATTAATATGTATCTACTTTTGAATTTGATTTCATTATTTGATTTACTTTTATTTGTGTGAGATTTCATGACACTTTTATTCTTCGGTAATCGACTGAGTAATCAAATTTGGTTACTTAGCAGTTTATTTTTTCAAAAATTGACATTAGCGTTACTGAGTTTTGTCATGACCCATAAAGTTTATCTGATCAAGTATAAATCTTGTCGAATAAATGTGATGGATTTGTACACAAATAAATGGAAATACTGTATATGGTTAACATTGTACTTCCAAAATGAGAACGCATTTTTGATTATGTACATTTATTTTATAATATACAATTAAATTAAGGCTATCTTAAAAGTAGAGTACTTTCTTGTTTCTCTTAGAACAATGTCTTTGACAGAAATGTCAAACTCACATAAAATTAATGATATGTGGCCTTTCTTCAATTCCTTTTTGCTCTCACTTTTGGAACTCCAGTGTTTCATGAAACTCTGAAAAAAAAATACTTTGAAGAAGAATGATTTTTCAAATGATTCAGAATTTACCATGTAAAATCCTCTTCTGTAATTATCAGCTGCATTGGAATACAATATTCTGGTATTTCATTGGGCTACCCTCCATACATTAGGGGTAGTTTTTTTGGTGAACTATTTACAGTGGACTGATGCACATCTTGGCTCCTCTTGATAATTAATTTGTAGTCCTCGCTATGTGGAATCGCTATGAACAATAGATATCTTTCATAATTCGACAATTTCGGTCTGATCTTACTTCAAACTGTATTTCAGACTGTATCCGTTTGGATCGCAATTCAAAGTCCTTTGAGTCGCAATAGTTGAATTCTTGAGATTGCCGCCATGTAAAACGTCTAGAGCCTCAATCGTCCCCACAGTAACAATTTTCGATAGCCAATAAGGTTCCTTTATTGTAGCTCGTATAAAATAACCGACAGCAGATTGGACTCACTGTTTTCGACGAATTATTACGTGCCTTAGTGGCTATTAAAAATGTTCAGTATGGAGACGACTATGGCTTCTCTTCTATACTTGAACCATCGGATTGTCCCAAGACTTACGACTCAACTGATAAATATCAAAAATGCTTCTCGCTCACCCTTGAGTTGAGACTTTTTGCTTCACGATGAAGTTACATATTTCAACTTTATGTTGTTACTTTGACAGGTCTTTTATCCATATTGAGGTTCGGGCTTGAGTTGAGGTTATAAGCAAGGTTTTGAAAGCGGAGTACCTACCTAATTGCTTTTTTTTATGATTTACTCATCTGATGCAGTTCCATAGGTAGGTATATCTTGCAATCATTTCACTATATTTTCAGTATTCTCACATATTCTCATGATTTTTCAATTTAAACTTCGACCAAAGCGACAAGGAGAGCCGGCTGTAATTTTCCACCGTCATGATGAAGGAAATGTTATATATTTCAGAGACATGTACCGCGATTCAATCTGATCTAAGTTTGTGGCAGAGCGTCAATATTTCCGAGAATATTTCGTTCCTGTCGAAAGATAATATCCGATGGACCAGCGTAAAACTCATGTGTTGCCCGCACTACCAGTATTCAAACCCACATGTAGAGTTTTATACTAGTTCATCGGATATTAACTTTCGAGAGGGGCGAAATATTCTCGGAAATATTGAAGCTCTGCTGCCACTAACTTAGATCAGTTTGATTCGCGACAAGTTTGGGTACTCGCAAAGGGGACATTATCCTCTTTTATTTGTTTCAACTCGAGATCACATGACGGGAGTATGTCCGGAATAACGGCAGGTAGGTTTTCTAGATTCACCAATCGGATGGTTTTCAGTATCATCTCTTTTTCAATTCGCGAAATTAAGTGCAAATTACCGCACAGGAAAGTGCGATTTTTCAATCATTGGGGCATACAGTGTGCCCCAAATTCGATCCTCACCATTGCGATCTCAGTAACTATGAGAGATGAAGAAACGGTTAAATTAGCAAAGTTGTAGCAAATTGAATGTTGAATCAGAATCTATCAAGAAATCCAGGCTAGCTTCAGTCATTTTTGAGTTATTTGAGAGAAAATGAAATCTTGTATTTTTGTTTTTCTCGAATATCTCGGAAACTATTGATTTTATGAAAAAATTACTTCAACATTCTCATAGCACTTTTTGGTGTTCTTTTCAATGGTTCTGTCAGTTTTCCATCAAAATGTCAAATTTCTGAGATATCACCTAAAACTTCGGTTTTTCTCATGGACGCCATATTGGATTTTCATAGAATTGAAATCAGCATAAAATTTCCTTTCTAGTGATGTATCACAGTCACAGTTTTATCTTATAAGGAGTACTGATTTCCAATTTTTGTTATTATTCCCAGTAGGCTATGCGCTAACTTTCATAGAGTAGGCTTGGAGCCAAGTGACATTTCTGTAAACGTCAAGAGAAAATACAAGTTAGGCCCTCCGCACACGGGTCGATCGGCGACATGGGCGACGCGATTGCAATGACGTCACAATTTCTGCATTCGTACGATTCAAGAGACGGGAGTGTGTGTCATCCGCATATGGGTCGACGTTTTGTGTAGTCGACTCGCGTCTGATCAACTTAGTTACATTTTTTGCAACTCTAAAAAAAAATGTTTCGCTAAAAATGAGCAGTTCCAATGGCGAGGAGGGAATATTCATGTTTTTGTGGCACCAGCAGATCAGGAGAAGAAGAATACAACGAAGTTTATGGGTGCATCCGTACATTTCACGAAATTTTCACACTCGACTTTTTGTTACTGCAAGTGAAATGCAAGAGAGTGACAGAAAATTTCTGGCATTTTATAGAATGTCGAAGGAATCATATATTGATTTAGTGGAAACTCTTGCTCCAGCCATAAATTATATGGATTCAAATATGAGGGAATGTGTCAGTGCAGAAGAACATACTAATAACGATGTAAGATTCATATATTTCAAAAAATCAAACAGTTCCTAAAGTTGAGAGTATAAATTGGAAACATAAGATTATATGTTCTAGTTACTGGAAGTAAAGAACTAAGGTAGGTAACACAAATATTCACAATGATTGAAAAATTATTGAACAACTTTCTCCATTGAGACGCAAGATTCACTCGATCAAACTGCTTCCTTGCTAATCGCGTGAGACTGAAAACGAGGAGATCTTAAATCGTACGTTTCTAGACGACCACTAAACGACCCGTGTGCGGGATCCAGATGCTTTGCTTAGGAAGTCGAGTAGAGGGGAGACCGTCGTACGATTCGAATCGCGTCGCCCATGTCGCCGATCGACCCGTGTGCGGAGGGCCTTAATTATTTCGGGGCAAACAATGCCGTTCCATTTGACAGTACAAGGGTTAAGACCTGGTGATAATGAACGTCGTCTCGAGTTTTGTCGCTGGTTCGTCAACCAGTGTGAAATAATCGATATCGATATCTCGAAAATCAATTTGGTGCTAAATTAATTACTACTCATGGACCTGTTAGATGGCCTCCAAGGTCGCCTGATTGTACGCCTCTCGATTTTTACCTGTGGGGCTACGCCAAAAATAAAATATATGAAGAGCCAATTCAAGATATTGATGATCTACGAGAGAGTGATGGACACATTCCAGCACATCAACAGAGTTCATCTGAGAAAAGCAGCGAATCATGTTCGCTCGCAAATATTAAAGTGTATCGAGAACAATTAGGCCATTTCGAGCAGTTCTATTAATTTTTTTTAGTATTTGTATTATCCACCTGTTAAGTTATGCAAGAACATAGAACACAGATTCCATAATCTAAGGTAAAAGTCATGGTGGAGTGAAGTAGTAACTAATAACACAACATAATGAATTGTCATGGAGATAACTTTTTTATTAGTTACAGAATTCATAGCCTACTTGACATAAAAACAAAAATTGGGAATCAGTACCATAAATAAAATGAAACTGTGATGAAATTTTATGCTAATTTCAAATCTGTTGAAATCCAATATGGCGTCCATAAGAAAATTTGAAGTTGTAGGTGATATCTCACAAATTTAACATTTTGATGGAAAACTGACAAAACCATTGAAAAGAACACCAAAGAGTGCTATGAGAATGTTGAAATCATTTTTTCATAAAATCAATAGTTTCCGAGATATTGATTGTCTTTATTACCCCAAGAAACATTTCTGTCTATGATAGGGATACAAAAATACATATAAAAAAATAATAAAGGGTTAACTATAATGAATTCCACTCAGTGGAAACGAATTAATATTGTGTCTTATAAGATTAAAGTTATATTTCATTCCTAAGTAATCGAATCATGCCACATATTTTTCATTCAAATTGTCCTGAGCAAGTATTTTTTAAGGTTGATTTTAAACCTTCTTGCATCATGTATATTTTTCAACTCATTCGGTAGTATAAAATTATTCCATTGTGAAAAACAGATTGTTTGCCAATGTTTGACTTGAATGTATTTGCTATCAAGTAATTCAATTGTCTAGTCCCATAATTATGGACTGTATTGACTCCATTGAAAGCTAAATTTGATATTTTCAATTTATTCCTGGCAAAATGAATAAAGCAACATATTTTAAGTTTATATTACGAAATCAGGTTCAGAAAATGACTTGGTTTGTATAAATTCATCGTTGGTTCTAGGAAATTTAGATGAAAAATGCACTTAATTGATTTGTTTTGTAATTTCATTAGTGATTTCAGACGTGAAATATTTGTACTCCCCCAAATAGAAATTAAATATTGCAAATTTGAATAAATGAGGCAAAAGTAAATACATTTCAAGTATTTTATGGGAATGATATTTCGGATTTTGAATAAAATGCCTATGATCGGATTTATTTTATTTCTCAAATGGTCTATATGTTTAGTCCATAATAATTTTTCGTCGATATAGAGACCTAAAAACTTTGTCACGTCTGTATATTTAATTAATCTATTGTTGAAAGTTATAGCATTATTCAAAATACAAGATTTCAGTTTATCTCAAATAACTCAAGAATCACTAAAGCTAGGCCAGATTTCTCAATAGATTCTGATTCAACATTAAATTTGCTACAACTTTGCCAATTCAACCGTTTCGCTATCTCTCATAGTTACTGAGATCCCAATGGTGAGGATCGAATTTGGGACACACTGTATATCATTTCGTTATCAGATGACTGCCGAAATTGGCACCCGGCTCTTGTACTAATTAGAGTTCCTAAATGAACTTGACTCAAAACTGCAGTGTCCAGTACATTTAGGAACTCAGTACTAATAGACAATTGCATTGGGAACTGAACTGCGTATTGCAAACTCACCTCTACACCTTGTACACTCTCGAATCCAACCCCAACACGAACATGGTGAAGTCGATCCAGTCGACGAACATGGCCACGTTGACGTACACCCCAGGCGTGTCGTGCAGGCCGCACGTCAGCCCCCAGGAGACCACGCCCACCTGCTGGTACTTGCCGGGGCGGCCGGCCACGGGGCACACCAGCGGGCTGCCGCCGTCGCCCTTGCACGTATCTTTGTCCTTCTCGCCGCCCGCGCACAGGAAGCTGCGGTGCAGCGCGAAGTGGGGACCGAGGCGGGCGTCTGGTAAAAAGAGAAGAAGAATCAGTATTGAAGTGAAATAGGAGATCGAATTCGCATACGAATAACGCTCGAGAATTCGCGAAAATCACGAACCAATAGATGGCTCTATTAAACGTCAAATCAACGTCAAATTTCAAACTGAGTATGAACAACAAAAACATTGCCGTATGCACTCATTGCAAATTGGTTATTTCGAAATCATTTTGCAAAATAGTGAATAATGAGTTGACTTCGTGAAATACGTACAAGGTTTCCAGTATGGAAAAAATTACTTTTTGTGCAGAGAAATTGCCATTTTGATGTGGACAATGGTGGTATTCATTATTGATATCACACTACAATTCCACAGTTTCCAAACATATGGAATGGTCTGAATGGTCCACTCAACACTTGCATGGACTGGAATGGAGCCATATAAGCAATCAGCTATTACAACAATATGGTATAGGTATGAAGAAATAATTGAATTCATCAAGAAATATCACTGGCTTTTATGAAGGAGATTGAATTCTAGTGGAGGGGCTGGGAAAAGAAGATATGGTTGGAGGGGCTGCTCAGACAAGTTATTCTCAAGATAGAATCATTGAAACCAACATTTATACAAGGATTCTAACTGTGCTTCAGAAAATGTATATTATATTATTATAAGGTAGGTACTGGCTTCTTCATTGTAAACAATAAAAGTTCATGCAATAATTCGAGTTATCTTTCATTAGGGAAAAATTAGGTTCTGGAATATGCACTTCAACAAATAAATTATTTTCAAATGAAACACAGAAACTCAAAACAAATGGTCGCCATATTTGTTGTTCATACTCGCAAGACTTGTAAAGTTAGCCACCAGAGGCCGCACACTTCGTGATTTTCGCGAATAGACCCCCTGGGGGTTTTCTCTGAATCAGTATTTCTTGGTGGAGCGTTTACAAGACGCGTTCTCGCTTTTTGGCTTACAGTGCATTAATAATAAATAATAAAAAATAATAAAGTTGGAGGGCTAGAGTCACTAGATGGTATTAGTTTGATAAGAGTTCGGACACAGAAATGACAACGGTTCGGGTTTATGATTGTTTAGATTGATTAAGTTACACACCTTGCATTGTGACAAGAGCACCATAGTCGAATTCGACAATGAATTTTATAAACGTCAGGATTGAAATAAAATTTCATAATTATACTTTCGAGAAAAAAGCAGTTAAGGAAATGACTTGCTGTGTAATGAATTGTGCCAATGCTGAAAAAAAATGGATATCATTTATTCAATTTTCTAAAACACATATCAACCATTCGCTTATGGAAGGAAGATATGAAACGGCCTCTGGGTGGAAAATCAATTTGAAGACGAGTAAAATATGTGAGGTACCCATTAAAATTACCTTCTTATAACATCATCTGATTAGAATGAAACTATATTTTAGGCCCATTTCAAAATTTAACAGTGAAAAGTGAATGCAGGGAAAGGTGAAAAATCAAAACAATAAATAAAGCGTAAAGCATTTGCTATCAAATATACTTGTGGTACCACAGGTTATGAACACCTGCTGAAAACCAAGTTTCCTCTTCCGTCTATTAGGACACAATCTAGAAAAATTGAGCTAAGTGAAGTTACTGAGATTTTTACAAAACCAAGTATGTGGTAGGTCTCGTCAAAATAAACTACTTTTATCCTATGAAATGTTTATCGAAAAATGATTTGTTCTCTGTATTTCATGTATTTCTGTTCATGTACTCTATTTCTTGAAATTGTCTCAGGAATACTTCACTTGAACGTACTTATGTTACTTCCTGTATATTGAGAATTCCTACCTTCAATTTAATACTAATATCTTCATGTTTTATACCTATCACTGGAGTACAGTTTCACATACAATAGGGAATTATAGCTATAAGTTTATCCATATACCATATGTGTATATATTTTCTAATATTAAAATGTTGTTACATGCATTCTTTCCATTTACATAACAATTGTTCTGCTAGAAGTGTATCACTATGAATTGAAGTTGGTTTGGCTATGATTGATTTCACAGAAAATATAACCTCTAAAATCGTATCTGACAATCAGGCGCTACTAGGGTAATTGAAAAGACGAAGAGCAGAATATATGTCTTATTCTTTTATTCACTCAAACCATTGTATTATAGAAAATAGAAAAGGACAAAAGTTCAGCTGTGTCCGAACTCTTGTAATCCAACAGATAGTTTGTGCGCCCTCCAAGAAACCCTGTCAAAATCACTTGTTCTATTATGGTAAATTTTCATATTATTTGTCGATTTGTCAGTACGCGCCTATAATGAGGTTATGATACTAGATTAACTAGAGAAACGGTTTCAGTCCTGTTTTTCGCAAAACAAAAGCAGAGCTGAGGATTTGAAATTACCTACTATTGAGCACAAATGAGTCGTAAAATCTACTTTGACAAAGAGTCTTTTATATAGCAATCCATGTTTCATTTTGCCATAGAGTAAACACTGGTAATTAATAACAATAATTGATTCTCCACTTCGTTTCAAACTCAATGATTATCAATTCAATAGGTACCTATTAACAGGAAGGAGATTGCAGTACCGCCAATTTTATTAGGTTATTTTTCATGGTATTTTTCATTTGCATATTGTTTTGAGGAAAAATCAGTGGATTGCCCGAGTTCTTGTGGATGACAAATAGAGTATGATCATCCTAGACAAATATTATCGTATTAATTTGTAAGTATTGAAGACTTTTCATAGATTTACATCTCACGATTCAAATTTCAAATTAATACTCGGTTTTAGATCCGACCAGCACATTGTTTGGCGCTCCAGGTCCAGGTCCTTATTACCCACGTAATATGGAAATGCGTAAGATGACTAGTGAGGAAATCACAATTCAGAAATGAAACGAATATGTTGCAGTTATGGACGTTGAAAATGTTATCCAGGTATTATATATATAATGATATCTATTTTTGATTTATATTAACTTTGATATTTGATTGGTGATGTTTACTTGCAGATCCGAGAAGAAGAGAGTGTTTGATACTTGCCACCAAATCGGACAAAAATATTCAGTCAAGCCGGACCGAAGAAACCAGAAAACTGACCAGATGAGTATACTTTTCTGAAATTCAGATCCTCATATTCGTACGGAAGGCGATATATTGATTTCCTTTCCAGATTCTCAAGAAAACAGATAGACAGATATTCACCTTTATGTCTCTATGGAAACACGACAGGTACCCTTACGAGGGGAGAGTACCAACTTGGCGTTCATAAACCCTCTCTGCAAAGGAGGTAGGCGCTAGATGGGTTAGGTATATACAGTGTTTTTCATCGCAGAGAAAATTGATGCTTATCTGCCTGCCTCGTCTTCATTGAGATAGTTGATGAATTGATAAAATACAAAAATATATCGCGTTCCAGTTACGAACATTGGAAACCATATTCAGACTTTATATTCCATGTACGTCTCACGATTTAAATTTGAAATTAGTACTCTGTTTTAGATCCGAGCAGCACATTGTTTGGCATTCCAGATGTATATCATACCCGAAGTTATTTGGAAATGTGGATGATGCCTAATGAGGAACCAACTATTTGGAAAGAAAACGAATATGTTGCAATCCAACTACGAACACAATTATTCAGGTATATTTCAGATACAACATGCAAGTACCGCATCTAATATAGTATCCATTTTTGATTTCTATGAACTTTGATATTTGATATGTGATGTTCAGTTGCAGATCCGAGAGGCACAGTATTTGATACTTGCCACCAACTCGGAGAAAACCATCCAGTTGAGCCGAACCGAAGAAACGACAAGTGTTTCATCTATGCGACTCGCAAAGAAAACTGACCAGATGAGTATACTTTTCTAAAATTCGGATCATTAATTCGTACGGAAGGCGATATATTGATTTCCTTTCCAGATTCTCAAGAAAACAGGTAGACATATATTCACCTTTATGTCTCTATGAAAACACGACAGGTACCCTTACGAGGGGAGAGTACCAACTTGGCGTTCATAAACCCTCTCTGCAAAGGAGGTAGGCGCTAGATGGGTTAGGTATATACAGTGTTTTTCATCGCAGAGAAAATTGTTGCTTATCTGCCTGCCTCGTCTTCATTGAGATAGTTGATGAATTGATAAAATAAAAAAATATATCGCGTTCCAGTTACGAACATTGGAAACAATATTCAGACTTTATATTCCATGTACGTCTTACGATTTAAATTTGAAATTAATACTCTGTTTTAGATCCGAGCAGCACATTGTTTGGCATTCGCATATCTATATCATACCCAAAGTAATTTGGAAATGTGCATGATGCCTAATGAGCAAACAACTATTCGGAAAGAAAACGAATATGTTGCAATCCAACCACGAACGTTGAAACAATTATTCAGGTATATTTCAAATTCGCAAGTACCGCATCTAATAGTATCCAGTTTTGAATTCTATGAACTTTGATATTTGATATGTGATGTTCAGTTGCAGGATCCGAGAAGGACAGTATTTGATACCAATATTAAAAGACAAGACTAGATACTAGACTACAGGTAAGTACCGAATTAAAATAAAAAATGTCATCATTTCATCATTTGACTGAATTTTCTTCGTAGGATGGATCTCTGGACGAATTAATTTTAATGTATCATTTGTATTGTCTCTATAGAACTAATGATGTATCCAGAAGCAAAAAAGGGGCTAGTAGGAGGAGAGTAGTAGAAACCCTCTCTGCAAAGGAGGTAGGCTCCTGATGGGTTAGGTATATACAGTGTTTTTCATTGCAGAGAAAATTGTTGCTTATCTGCCTGCCACGTCGTTTTCGAGATAGTTCAAGTTGATGAATTGATAAATTACAAAAATGTATCGCGTTCCACTTACGAATGTTGAAAACAATATTCAGGCTTGTTGTAGACTCATAGTTCATGTACGTCCCACAATTGACGGTTATAATTTGTACTTAGTTTTAGATCCGAGCAGCACATTGTCTGACATTCCAGGTCCTTATTATAACCTCTATATGGAAATGTGGATGATGCCTACTCTGAGGAAACCACTATTTGGAAAGAAGAAGACTATATTGCAATCCACTTATCAACTCAACTTCAGGCTACTAAATTAGTGCTGAGTGGTGATAAATTACCGGGTAGGACAATGGCCGATATCAAAGAGGAGGAGTAGTTAGACTAAAATTTACCTTGCAGGGACTTCAAACACTTCCTGTTCGGCACGATGGGCAACTGCACCTTCTTCAGCGTCGACTGGTAGGACCCTTTCCTGTAAGAATTCTTGCCCCAGCCCGTCGCAATACACCTTCTCTCGTCGATCTGGACCCCACGGAAGGGCAGACAAGCCAAACCGACGTTCCGTGTGAGAGTGAATGGTGATTCAAGGACGATGAGGGCTATGTCGTTGCGTAGGGAGGGAGCGTGGTAGTGCGGATGAGGAATTATCTGAAAAGGTGATTTTTTTTATTTTTTTCTTATTCATCAACTAGCTGACCCAGCAGCGTAATGGCATTGTCTCCTATACTGGTAAATACAATTCATACTCATGAAACGAGACAGTGCTAATTAATAGCAAACCCATATAACTCCATTATTGGCAAACAATCAGTATTCTACAACGACGGAATCATTTTATGTAATTCATTACCTTGTGATTTGAAACATATTGATGATGAAACAAGATTCAAAGTCAATATGAAAAAATATATACTCATGACACTATAAACGGAGCAATTTATTCTGATTCGAATACTTGGAATGATTTTATTTTAATTATTATGTTATATTGACATAACTTCTTAATTAGTTTTTTTTATTGTTATATGTATGTATCATATGTTTATATATCCCTGTTATATAAACAAATATGTTTCTTGGGGTAATAAAGAACAACAACAACAACCCTAGAAAAATGTATGCCGAATCACGGAAGGCAATGGCCCACGATTCGCCAGTAATAACTTGACATTCTCTCTTGTATAAGGACACCAAGTGTTAAATATTGATGCGTCTGGATGTAGAAGATTTTGTCACGAGTAGGAGGTACAATATCTCCTACATCGTGTCTAACACCATCAGTGATAATTGCACTTAAGATATCGAACAAAGTATAAATATGCCAATGTACATCGAAGAAGAAAAATCATTCGAAACCCGTCGGTTATTTGATGGAAATTCATGGCAAATGTAAAAACTTCACAAACGATATAAGATTTCCACAAAATTCGTAATCACACGACATGTTTCGCTAACACAGTAGCTTCATCAGGTGAAATACTGATACAATGAACTGTCAGTCCCTGAGTGGGACTCGAACCAATGCCTCGGTGGGAGTTCCCTTACAAACTCAGCGCCTTTGCGTTTCCGACCGAAAGTAATAGGTTTATGAACGCCAAACAAGGATGAATGAACGAAATCGCGAATGGTGGGTATAATCATTGCCGAAACTATAACGTCTTACATCACTAATGAACCGATTCGAAGCATTTTGTTCAATATTCAAGAATTTTTTTTATCTCTTGGAGCACACGAAAGGAAATTCCTATAATGCTCGAAGAACATCGTGTGTACAGGGTGATTCACCATAAATGTCCCCCACTCTAGCTCACTTATTTTTTAACCGATTTGAAAATTTGAAAAATCATCTAGAATGATTTTTCAGAAAATTATCTTCCGTTGCATCAGAAAATACAGGGTGCTCGGAAAAAACGATCTACAGAGTACTACTTGATTTTTCAAATGGAACACCCTGTATTTCATTGTATTTTTAGATTCTCCCTGAAGAGCTGATTTCATCAATGTATCACACTTGGGGTCTATCGGGAATGATTACAGAGATATAAGGTGTTCAAATTCGAGATTTTTCAACTTTAGTATTTTTTTGTGTCGAAACTATTCATTATTGGTCAAAACGGCGTAAATGTCCCTATCTCAACTTTTGATTCACTATCTACTGCCATTTTGGAACATATACAGTGTGGTTCAAGATTCAGAATTCTGATCACCCTGTATCTGTTCCAATTATCAAATGTCAGTAGATAGTAAATCAAAAGTTAAGATACGGACATAAAAGCCGTTTTGACCGATAATGAATAGTTTCGTCACAGAAAAATCATAAAGTTGATAAATCTCGATTTTGAACACCCTATATCTATGTAATCACTTTCGCTAGACCCCAAATGTGATACATCGATGAAATCAGGTCTTCAGGGAGAATCTAGAAATACAATGAAAAATAGGGTTTCCATTTAAAAAAATCAAATAGTACCCTGTAGATCGTTTGTTCCGAGCACCTTGTATTTTCTGATGTAGCGGAAAAAAACTCTACCGAATATCATTTTGGATATTTAAAATTTTGCAATCGGTTCAAAAATAACTGAGCTAGAGGGGGAGGGGACATTTATGGTGAATCACCCTGTACCTAGGGAGGATAGGGAGAGAAGGTAGGTATTGGATTTTTCTAACTTTTGGATGTTACATTTTCGTCTGACAGGTATTGCTAGTGATGGAATGATAGCAGATATTTCTAAAGAATATTTCCCGTAAGTATCCATAGAAGGATTGGATTGGAAAGAACTATTTCACTTGAAAAAAAAAAAATGGATACATTCAAAGAAATACATACAATTCGCAATCTCTATCCGGTCAGTAACAAATGAGTTGTTACTCTAATAGTTAAGAAAACTCGTATTGATACTATCTTCAAAAAATCATCATTTCCATAATCAAAGACACTACAAGTTTTATATTCAACGTATTTAGGTGTTCTCAGTTTTCCTAACTGATTTAACATTATTTGCCTACCGCACAGTTGAATCATTGGAGTTAGAAAAGTTGGATTAAAATCATATAGAATCTCAAGCCATCAAGCGGAGTAAATGTACCTATAGTCGGACAGGAGATAATTTTCAGTCACAAAAAAAATCCTAAGACATCAAAAAATTCAGCGAACATCGTTAATTTAATTTAATCAGAATATTATACCTTTCTTGCTCTCTTGTCCTGGTGGGGAAGAGGTTCTGTATTAGTCTCCCAATTCCATTCACCTGCCCTAATTGTAAATGGCCCTTTTCCGCTGACACAATGCGCTGCTGTGATGGCCACTTGTGGATGTATAAGGGATGCACCACATCTGTAAAAAAACGAGTAAAGAACTGCTCAGCACAAAAAGTGCATAATATTTCTCAAGATTTCTTGATTCCTGGTAATTTTGAGCTTATATTTTTTTCACGTATATTGAAGAGCAAAATTTTGAAAATACGATTAAGTATTCAACGAGATAATTTCAAAATGTTCACTACTTCTTAACGCTTTTAGGTAGTTTTTCCTTTATTGTATTTGAACCCTTAATAAAATGACAATATTTAATCTATGAAAGGTTTCCTTATGAATCCCTCTCCTCTTTTTTTGTTTGACTGGCGAATTCAGATGGAAGGGACTTTATTGGGACCCGAGCTCGAGACAGTTGGGCCAAAAATGTAAATAATAAACTTTACCTATAAGTTTTTCCTTCCAGAATTCCTAGCATCCATGGAAACTCCGCAAATTCGGTGACTCTGTCTCCCAATATCCTGAATCCGAATACATCATAATCATCATCATCTTCTTCTTCTTCGTCGAGACTTATTCTGTTCACCATCACCTCGCTGATGATGTTTATTCTTTTGCCGCATTCTATTTGACAGCAAACGTCCAGATCGCCACATACCTCTTGGTTTGTACCAGCTCTTATTTCCAAAATTCTGAAAATATTAGTATGAGTTGATATCCGAACAGTGGTACAGGGAGAAACAAATCCATATCTCACATTGGTATCACAATAACTATACTGTCTGTAGGTTAATTTTTCAATTTTTTTTGGAATTTCCTTTCCTCGTATCAATAAAATTGTCAGTTTCTTTTATTTGTATTTCAGATTTACATGTGTATGTAATTTTGACCTGCTATAAATGTGCTATGTACATAAAATAGTCAACAAACTTTTATCTATCTATCTATCTATCCATCTATATATTGAAAAGTTAATTGCTTTTTGAAGAACGAATAAAAAAATTCTCGATCAATTTTCATGCATCATAACTTTCCACTGCCTTAATCGATTTTCAAATTGCATCTCTTTAGAATGAGATTCCATATCAGGATGATAGTAAAGCTGTGCAATTTTTCAAAAATATTGATAGCCTCCCGTTTGAAAGTAATATTTTACTAATTTTTCTTTCAGTTGAAAAACATCGCAACATCAATAATTATTCATGATGATAATATTTTCAATTTTTTTTCAATTATTCAATTCAATTTATTCAATGTAATAACAACAATAACAATATATTAACATAACATATTATATTATATTATATTATAATCATTCAGATGTTTGATTCAAATGAATGGATATCTTTAAATGTCTTACTGAAGTAGACTCACACTAGGCCATGTGGCCTGTTTTGTGGTGTCAGACTTAGTAAGACATTTGTACAAAGTATTGTATCTTTTATTTTATTTTATTTTTTTTTAATGCTGACAATTCGCTACAGTAAAGTAAAGTAAAGTCTAACGGAAAGTATAACAAAATTCAAATATAACAAAAATTACAGATGAAAGGAAAAAGGAAAAGGAGAGAGAAAAAGATAGACTGTAAATTTGAGATTTGAGATTCAAAAGAGATTAGACAATTTGGATTTTATTCTCTTGAATTAATTATTTATTTCTTTTATTTGAAGAGGTACATTTCACTATTTGAGAAAGAAAAAAGAGAGAAAAAAAAAGAAAAAAAAAATATTAGATATATTTATCAAAGAAAGGTGGGAATTTTTCCGGGTGATTTTGTACATATATTTTAGTTTCTTTTTTGAAAATATAAAAAGAATTGATTTTTTTCCAGTTTTTTGGAAGGATATTGAAAATTTTCGGCCCATAGAAGAGGAATGAATTTTGAGTAACCGTCTTATTGAAAAATTCCACTTTTACGTCCAGGTTCCTTATTGATCGAGTTTCTCTCGAATGCTTTCGTGATGTGATATTTCTATGTTCATGGAACATTCTTAATAAGCAGTGGTAAGTATGTAGTGACTGTATGTTGAATAAGCTGGTTTCTTGATATAGCTGTTTGGTAGGAAAAAGTCTATTTTTTTTAAGGATAATTTTCAATAGTATGTTTTGAGCAGTTTGTATTGGCGTGAGTACTGTTTTAAATGTTGCACCCCACGCTGGGATACAATATTTTATTACGGATTCGGCAAGTGATGTGTAAAGAATCATAAGATTTTTTTGTGATAATATGTCCCTTGTTCCGTAAAAAGTGTGCATTAATACTCTGAGTCGTTTTGATACATAATCAATATGTTCCGTCCATTTCAAATGTTGATCTATTATGACTCCTAGATATTTAATAGATGTACTTTGACTTAAGCTCTGACAGTTACAGGTATCTTGATTTTCACAGAGTGGTACATGCATTTTTATTTTTAAGTTTTCTGGTTGATCACGAACTGTGGGGGAAAATGACAGGTACTTTGTCTTATCCACGTTAAGAGATAACATGTTATAATTGAGCCACGTATGTACCTTTTGTAAACTTGCTTCGGCTTTGTTCCTAACTTCTGTCCACGTTGATCCCATATAAATTAGTACAGTATCGTCCGCGTAACATATTATATATCCATTGAATATTAATAATGTTTATTATTCCCCAGAAACATTTATATTCACGTTACAAGGCCGATACGTACTAAATAACTGATAGGATTGAATATTGTAATCCGTGGCGCAGCCGAGGATTAAATAATCCGTGGCGCAGCCGAGGATTAAAACAACCGAAACAATCGTCTAAATTAACTTTTCAATTGTCATCCGAATACCGTTAAATCAAAATAACTGTATGGCATTACGAAAATGAATAATTATATCTGTATTTCATTATGGAGAATTGTTCCATTGTATAAAAAAGAAGTTTTAACCATATCTGATTCAATTTTAACATATCAGTTTGTCTGGTAATATAAGTGGCGGAAATTTGATCGAAAGACAAATGATAGAAAAACATTTGATAGAAGTCTTTTGATCGAAAATCAAAAAATAGAAAGAACTTTTCACCGAAAATACATTTAATCGAATGTTTTATGATAGAAAATACATTTGATAGAAACATGAATTGAATGGAACCTAGGAAAAATCTATACATTTTAATTATTTCAAAGCGATTTGGTATTCGATCTTGTAGGGAGATATTTTCTTTCTGATCGATTCAATATGTATATATAGTGACATATTTTTTTAAGGACCACCCTGTATCTATGATCATACATAATTTTAAGGTTTTCAACCACCACAATGAAAAAAAAACACAGCCAATAGAAATTTGAGCATCAAAGTATGTATTATCATTGAGTATTAGGGCATTATCTTGTTAATAATGACTGTGACAATTCCAAACCAGTCAAAAAAACAGATGTTGTTCACCTCAGGAAAAATGAGAAGAGACCGCTTTCAAACAAGAGACCATCCTGTGAAGTGTAGAGTCTCATCTTAATTGATTGAATACTGTTGAGCAGTTTGTTTCCGAGTTCCAAAGAAATTGTTGACTCTTTTTTAACAACACTACGAATTATTTACCTGCTTCTAACATCGATGCCATCCATAACATCGACTCCTTCCTCGATGAGTCCACTGTAATCTTCTTTGCACTGGAAATAAGGCACACAAACGCAATGTTGAAAATCATTTCCACCGCTATCATCGTTTTCAGCGAAACATTTCACTAACGAAAATGTATGCACCATCAGCAGAAACGCAATTAAAAAACAGTAGGTCTTCATTTCACTTCAACCTGAACATTATCTGGAATTGTTTAATTATCGGTGGTCCACGTTTGAATGTTCATGACGTTATTTTTGGAGATTTCATGTAGGTATGTACTCCGAAAACTAATTTAGAAATGTCATAATAATCTTTATTAAATGCACTTAATCGTTTGCTAATTGCTTATCGATTCGTTCAACGAATTTTTACCTGAAAATTTTGTTAGTATGTTAATCCATGCTGGTTTCCTTAGGGTACATAATCCACTCATTTTTGGGAATTATTGTTTGTATTGAAGTATTTTTACTTTTATTCATATTGATCTTTATCGTAGCTTCGCAAAATCCATCGCCAGAATCATGTTTTTGTTCAGTGTGTCTCACTCATCACTCGTTTTTCAAGCTGGCTAAACGAGTACCTATATGAATAAAGAAACACAACTTTTTATCTGTCATAATATTTCGTGATGAATGCATTAAACTTCAGAGCGACGAAAACATAAGCATATTAATGTAAATTTTGTTAACAATACCTAACGAAAATATATAAAACAATCTCCAAATGGAAATGAATGGGTATTTGAGATACTTCTTTACTTATTGATGATAAAAACACAACAACACATTTATTTGATTTTCATGGTTGACCCGATAATTTTCACAATAGTTGAGTTGATTTCGATAAATCTTTGAATTCAGAAAACTAGCTGAAATCAGTAGACGAAAAAATAATTCATTCCATTAAAAAGTACTAGATTATTATTTATAAACTCATCAGGAACTAAAGTGGCTATTGTAATAAAAGTTTGTAATAAAAAATTTACATTTGCAGCAGTTTGCGGTGTTTTTCAAACCATCAATAGTTTTTTTCCATTTTTTGAACGACGTTTACACGGCTACCCGTTATACTAATAAATTGTGTGCCAATCTGGTCGTACTGTTAAATCAGTTGTGGGTGAGTCAGTTGAAATGATAACCTCCGCACATAGGTCATTCTAAATTTAAATATTGGAAAATAATACCCGAAAAGGATGAAGAAAAGTGGATATCCTTGATCTCTAAAACCCATAAATCCACCAGAACACTTATGAAAGCAGATAACACTAAGTAGACTGATGGCTCGTAATATTTACTATTAGATTATATTCAAAATGTTATCAGCTGCTTCAACTGGCTGTTAATTTGAGTACGATATTGTGATTGTTGATTAAACAATAACATAATAACAAAATGACAACCGACTTAGAATCTGAACGAAGATGTTCAAGTGATGATCGAGTGATTATCAAACAACAATAAATTATGTCGGAAAAGTTGGGGAAGCAATGAAAAAAATTTAAATTAACTATGAAAAATACCTTGGTGAAAGTGTGTGCCCCTGATGGGGGTTACGGATGGATTATCGTGTTTGCAGCCTCTTTAAATAATGTGAGTATACATATACAGGGTGTTCATTTCAGGACTTCCCACCCTAATTTTCTCGAAATGTGTGTATGTTTTTGAAAAATCCCGAGACACATCAACTACATTTTCGAGGGGGACATGGTTCTAAAATATTTTCAGCCCCGCGGCGTTGCCGCTTCTAACGAAAAGAAGCAACAACTTTGTTATTTCAAATGGAACACCCTGTATTTTATTGCATTTTTAGATCCTCCCTGAAAAGCTGATTTCATCAATGCATCACACTTGGGGTCTAGCAGGAATGATTACAGAGATATAGGGTGTTGAAAATCGAGATTTTACAACTTTGGGATTTTTTTGAGTCGAAACTATTCATTATTGGTCAAAACGGCTTTTATGTCCCTATCTCAACTTTTGATTTACTATCTACTGACATTTATTTGAAACAAATACAGGGTGGTTCAAGATTCAGACTTTTGATCACCCTGTATTTGTTTCAAATAAATGTCAGTAGATAGTAAATCAAAAGTTGAGATAGGGACATGAAAGCCGTTTTGACCAATAATGAATAGTTTCGACTCAAAAAAATCCTAAAGTTGTAAAATCTCGATTTTGAACACCCTATATCTCTGTAATCATTCCTGCTAGACCCAAGTCTAATACATTGATGAAATCAGCTTTTCAGGGAGAATCTAAAAATGCAATAAAATACAGGGTGTTCCACTTGAAATAACAAAGTTGTTGCTTCTTTTTGTTAGAAGCGGCAACGCCGCGGGGCTGAAAATATTTTAGAACCATGTCCCCCTCGAAAATATAGTTGACGTGTCTCGGGATTTTTCAAAAACATACACATATTTCGAGAAAATTAGGGTGGGAAGTCCTGAAATGAACACCCTGTATGTTATTACAATTTAACGAAATGGAAGCTCTAAAAGTCATCTCCACAATATCGTAAACTTCTATCTTCTATTATAATATAGGTTCTGCTATTGATATACAGGGTGTTCCTCAAAGACATGCTAATATTCAAGATGGTGATTCTTTAACTCATTTCAAGAAAAAAACTTGCCACTAACGTATGTCCTAAAAGTCTTTACTTATGAGATACAGGGTGATAACATTTTGAAAAAAAAAAATTTTTCTGTGAGTCCTTTTATCTTCCATTCGACTTCGCGGTTACGTATATTACTAAACAACCACTAAATTCGCAAATTTTTTCAAATCAAATCACAGAACTAGACTGACAGAAGTGACATCAGATATTTGATTACTTCAAAAGAATGATAAAGATGCCTACAACGCAGGTGTCCCTACTGTTAAAAACTTAAAATTTCACATCGATAATTTTCAGATTTCAAAATAATGTAATTTCTTCTCAATATTGATTCGTCCTTCCTTCTGTCACAGAAAAAAATAGTGTATTATACACGGGAAAAATATTAGATTTTAGCTCAAATCTACTACTTTTTTCCCTTGTATAATAAATACTTTTTTTTTCACTGTTTTTATTTTTCCCCTTCTTGTTCACTATAATATGACTGTTATTTTGAAATATCTTAATAATATGTAAGTTTTGTTCACTTTTTGTAATTTCAATTATACAAACAGTCGATATAATACTTCATGAATGATCTTATACCAGGAATTACTGTCTGATCATTCATGTCATTCCTATTAGATTTGAAAATTAATTATACTTCATTAGTCCATTGGCTACCTCGGCAAATTCAAGTAATCGGTATAATTTGGGGGTACTAATTTTTCTTGCTAACACAAGTACATGGTGATATGGACATCACGAAAAATCATGATTGCCATCTCAGAGTGGTAGCTAATAGAAATGGCGGTCAATTCAAGATGGCGGATCATGGCTTTATGAAAATGGCCATATATCAGGAAATGATTGTCCGATTTATCATTTCCAGAATTCGAATGGAAGGTTATAATGTGTCTTATTTTTTAGATGCTATAGTAATTTCGAGTATTTACAGCCGTTCATTGAAAAAACATGTTTTTTAATTTTTTTACAATTTCCAACAACTTTTTTTTTATTTATTCTCAATTAATCGAAAACTGAGTGCGCTCGCAAAAAAACTCTTGAAACAAATATTCTTGTCTCAACTTTTCTCTACAATTTGATATATTCATACTTCTGTTTTTTGGCATTGAAACGGCCTTGGAAACGGCTTCAAAATGAATCGCAATCGGCCGATGTTTCCTTATTTTGGTGACTGGGGTTCACAATGTATGTGTTCATCAATATTATAACTTACATCAATATCTCTTTATTATGTTCATAAGGTTCAAACAGTTACTACTCAGAGTAGAAACTGTTGAAACATCATTTATTACAGGTTTTATTAGTGATTACCACCACTATTAATCGAAATAATTGATATTAAATACTAATAATTGTTGTAATTACTTTTTGTTGCTAAGTGTGGATTTTCTGAGGAATACAGTGGAATAATTGGTAAATTCAAAATATCTGGTGTTGAGTGAAGTGTATAAACTCAGAACTTGAATCATATGAGTGTATTATTTGCGGAAGGTCAGCCTCACCCAATGAAGTGCATCAATCGAAAGAAAGGCGCTCTTGGACAGTTTTGTAAGATGCTGCTGTAATGAGAAATATTGAAACAATCAAAAATATTACTGATATTTCGGATGAATCTTTACGAAGAAAATGTCGAGCAATTTCAGGAATATTAAAGCTCTGAGGAAATTGAAGGCAGAAGCCACATCGTCCGAGGACTTACCTGAGCTAGAGTTCCTGTATATACCTTAGACAAGAGTCCGGACACAGCTATACTTCTGTCCTTTTCTGTTTTCAAAAAATGCATTGATGATTGAATAAAGGAATAAGACATATATATCGAGCTCTGTCTTTTCAATGGGCTTATATCACAAGAAAATTTTATTTCATAATTCGATAGAACTCACCCAAACTAGCTCACCACCGCAAACCGTTTCTTGCTGTGAGCTCCCTACGTTTTATAAAAAATTATTGAAATCCCCGATTTTTCGGACCTCTGAAAACGAGGCGATGATGTGACGTCAAAACCCTAATACTGAAACAAGACCATTCCAGACAGAGATGAATGATACATGATTTCTGACAGAGTGAATTTGCGCGAGGACACAGTTGAAGGAATTAATAAATCAGTTGCCTCAGTCTCCGTCGGGCGTTTGGTATTTTCTTTCAACTATGGCGAGATGAGGTTTCTACGTCATAAGAGGGTCCGTTTTCAGAAGGTACTATCATTTATGTCCAAAAATAAAACATTCCAGTTGATTTTTCGATCGAATCATGTCGTCAATCATTATTTATGTATAAAAGGATCATAATAAACATGGTTTGAGTTAAAAGTTCTACTAAGGTATACACGCCCATTCCCCTAGGATCAATGACTGCCAGAAAAAATTCTGAGGGTTAGATTATTTGTCTAACCGTTCATAGCCAATAGACTATATATATTATTTGTATAAAATGTATCAATGAAGAAGAGAATGTAATGCAATAACTGAAATAAAAAAAACTCGTGTTTCCAGTTCATCTCCGTTCCGCTAATCTCCAACTTCGGACTGATCCTGAAGGACGACTTCCACCACCTGGGCATCTCCACCACCGAGGAGTCTTTCATCGTCAACTTGAACTCGGCCTTCGGCATGTTGGCAGGCCTGGTGAACGGGCCTCTGCTCAACCGCTTCGGCTATAGGAAGATATCTCTGGCGGGGGCCTTTTGCATGTCGGCCGGCATATTCTTCCTGGCGTTCGCCGAGTGTATGACGGAGTTCGTGCTGGCCTACGGACTGATGGCATGTAAGGCACCATGTAGACCTCGATCAGAGATTGTACAGTGATTTTCTTTATTGTCCTTCATCCTTTTATTTTTTGAATAGGTCAACTGAAAAAATTGAAACTTGGGCTAATAGAATTGATGCATGAATACTATATTTTGAAGTGAAATTGACAGAAGAAAATTTCAAGATGGCGACTGGGCGCCGCTTGGAAAAAATAATTAAATGGAAAGGGGGAGTCTTGTGACACATCCTTTTGAAGCTCTTGATGAATACTTCACAACTCTAGAATATAAAGTCAATATCTTCGCCTACTACATAATGGCAGAATATTTAATGGTTGCCTGAATACATACACATTAATGTGGATATTGTATTCCAACAAGATGGAGCACCACAATATTACTCCAGACAAGTTAGAAACTCAACTAGGAAAAAAAAACTATTTGGTTGATACTTTCCCCGGTCGTTGGATTGGCCGTCAAGTTCCTACGGAATGACCAGCCCGCTTGCCAGAGTTGACACCTTTAGAATTTTTTTATGGGGCTATTCGAAGGAAAATGTGTACGAAACTGAACCTGCTTCAATATTGGATATAATAGGACAGGGAATGATGAATTTTTGTGAAATTATCGACGTACCTGTGTTCGAAAGTGTTTTTGTGTACTGTTTTTGTGTACAGAATTTCAAGGCAACCATTTCGAGGATCTTCTGCACTGAACTCAGCTTTTTTCCTCTAAAAGCCCTAAAATCATTCGTTTTCACATCAAAGATCACATGGGACTGCTTTGAAACACTCATGCAACTGGGAAAGGACAACAAAGTCACACTTATGTGGGTTCCAGGGCATGAAGGAATCAAAGGAAATGAGGCAGCTGATCGCCTTGCAAAAAAAGGTGCAGAATCTGCACGACCCATCTACAATCTAGAATCTATTTCCTATTGACTTTATATTGTTTTATCACTGCAGCCTTCAATGTTTTGGGGAATGCTCAACCTAATATGAACCTTGACCATGTGAAGGAATGTCACAACTCGATTTTTGTAACAGAAATAATACTAGAGGAAGTTCGGGAGGTAATTAAGGAATCAAAAAATAAATATTCTGCTGGCGATGATGGAATTAACAATGTTTTACTGAAAACTATCTGTCACTACATATTAGATCCTTCGACTTATATTTTGAATGAATAATTCAGAAGAGGTAGTTTTCCCTGTAGGTTGAAAATCGCAATTGTAAGGCCGCTATCCAAAAAAAGGGGCCCTTACCTAGTTGAAAATCATAGGCCAATCAGTATTTTATCTAGTTTCTCAAAATTATTTGAAATTATGATGTGTGGACGACTGGTTCCATTTTTGATATCAAACAATATTGTATCAGATATTCAACATGGTTTTCAAAAAGGGAAATCTACTATTACCTACTGCCATTTTTGCTGTCACTGAAAGAATATTGCATTTCATAGATGATGGATATGTTGCACATGGTGTTTTCCCTCGTGTTTTCCTATACTTATCAAAGACTTTTGACTCTGTGAACCATGACACACTTCTCAGCAAATTATTCAAGAGGAGTATCCGTGGAACAGCACTTGATTGGTTTTCTTCTTATGTTTGTAATAGAACGCAGAAAGTATGTATCAAAAAGATGGTACAGCAGATCATTTTTCAGGCACACAAACAATTTCTATAGGAGTGCCACATGGCAGTGTACTTGGTCCATTATTGTTTATCCTATATGTAAACGATCTTGGTAATGTTGTCAAGTGTCCTTCTATCAAATTAACAAACTATGCAGTAGACACAAACATTCTGATTGCTGACAAGTGTTTTGAAAAAATTAAGTAGAAAAACTGTATTGGTTACTTCTCAAGTCTCCAACTGGTTTCATGAAAACTCTCTACTATTAAACATCACTAAAACAAATTGAATCCTCTTTAGACACATCATAAACTCACAGATTTTTCCAGAAAACATAAATTTGAATAATAGTGCTATTTCATTTGCCAACTCTGCGAAATTTCTTGGTGTTACCATTGAGAAACATATGGGATGGGTAAACCATACTCTGTGGTAGACTCAGTAAGGCTAGTTATGCTCTGAAAGCACTGTAGATCACGATGCTCTCAAGGAGCTTACTTTGAACATTTCTATTCAATCATCAGAAGTCAAGAAGTATTTGTCATTCAAGAAAGGTCAATTTGTATTCTGGCTGACTTGAATACTTTAGAACCTTCTCGTGGCTATTTTTAAAAACTTATGTGTCAATTTTGTATACAAAAACAAACATATATTCAATGATTCCTTACATAATCATTCTTACAATACGAGACGGAAAGAAACACTTTCATTTTCACTACCATAAGACATCCTTTTTTGAGAAAGGTTGTTATTATCAGTGCTTAAAGTTCTATAATAGGCTCCCAGACGATATCTAACAAATAGAGGATATCAATGAAGCAAGTATATCCCTTTGTCACAATAAGGAAAGATAAAGAAATTTGTACATCTCTCAGAGGCCTCTTGATTTTCATCATTATTTGTATTCTACTGTATGTATTTGACTAGTATTCGCGATAGAAAATAAGCGTACGCCACCTATCGGAGTTCTTGGAAGCTGTCAAAGCGGCATGTTTACTTCATTTTCATTGGTTCACATTTGTTTTTTGTTTGTGCTTATTGGTCATATCATCAAAACGAACCGCTCAGAAGTGTTCAAGTTGTTGCCGTCAGGTGGGGCAAGGTGTTATTTTCTATCGCGAATTAAACTTGATGTAATGTTCTGTCCCTAATACTAAATAAGTTCTATTCTATTCTATATTCTGGGATCATGAAGTATTCATCAGAAGCTTCAGAAGGATGTGTCACAAGACATTTAATTTTTTTCCTAGGTGGCATCCAGTCGCCATTTTGAAATTTTCATCTGTCAATTTCATTCCAAATAATAGTATTCACGCATCAATTTCATTATGTCAAGATTCAATTTTTTTAGTTAACCCGTTCAAAAAATAAAGGGATGGTGGGGGGGGCATTGTAGAGAAGAATATGTATCTCTTGCTATTTTCACTAGTTTGAGTTCACATAAACTGTGATGTGATGGTCATGTTGGAGACCACTCATGGTATGATTTACCATGTTTAGTCTTTTGAGTCGAGTAGTTATTAACGGGAAGGCATCAGAATAGGAACACCGGCCTCGGATTGCTATTCTTTTCTCAATCAAGAGGGGTGAGAAGTTTTAGCTAGGACACACTGTATAATGTTTTCTAGAGTTTGATAGGTGGAAGCAGTTTCTCCATCTTGCAGACAGATAATAATATAATGATTAAGTTTAATCTAAATCCTCAAAAAATAAATAGCGTATACTGCGTGTCACTGTCTAACTATTTCATAGGAATTTTTCCGATATGTATTTCACATTCAAGATGTTGGAGAAAGCATCACTCAAGAAGTTTCTGAAAGAATTGCAGTATGCTAGGAAATTATGCGTAACCTTGACTTTGGCCTCAATGGTTAAAAATGTATGCTTTAGCATGGAAATCAAAATCAAGGTTACACTATATGTTGTCCTATTGTTATGATCATTCATTGAAGATGTCCGTGTGCATGGCATGATAATTCAAGTGTTTTAATCATATCAGATCAAGCACTCATAATATGTTATCTCGAGTTTGGCACCAGTATGCTGAAAATTAATATTCAGTGTGTTCCACTTCCATTGAAACTACCCTTGTATTTCGGAGTGGAATGAGAAATTTAAATAATTTATTTTTCTCCCAAACGTACTATTCAAAAATACCTCTCAAATGATTTATTCAAAATTTCATGACTTCCTGTTGAAACTAACTTTGACATCATTCAATTTTCAAAATAGATTATTGCACTTTACTTAAATTGGAAACTTTTGAAATCAATAGTAAAAACCATACTTATACCGGGTGACACAGGGTATCGGGCCACCCCTGTAACTTCTGCTTTCGTCATCGGATTTTTCTGAAATTCGGTACAGTTATATAAGCAATTATTTCGGATTTGATCACATTACAATCCAATATGGCGGACTTCCAGTATTTCTGGAAATGCCAGCAACTTTGTTTTTTCAAATGAAACACCCTGTATATTTTTACTTATTCAAGTTCAACAGGTCTTAACAAGTGCAATCTTTATTTCAAATGTCATTTTTTCGAAAAAAATTGAATTAAAATTGTTTTTTCATTTTACCTCGTGGATAAATGGGAAGTGGTCAAGACTATTCACAATGAGTCACACATAACAGAAGAACATAATTTTCTCTGGAAAATTATTTTTTGTGTCACTTATCCAGGAATCAATTCAGCCACATCACTTTTTGATCAAAAATATTTTTTTTTCAAATGGAACCCCTATGGGACACCTACCCGTTTCTCTAGAACATACATTAAGGAACAAAATGAAATATCATTTCTGTTTTTCGGTGCAGTAACAAATTGAATACATTCAAAAATCAACAACTAGTTTATGAATTTCCTTGCAGTTGGAATAATTTTTCAACTATAGGTAGGCTGTGGAATAAATGACATTTGACATCAAGATTGCACTTGTTTTGACCTGTTGAACTTGAATATGTAAAAATATACAGGGTGTTCCATTTGAAAAAACAAAATTGCTGGCATTTCCAGAAAAACCGGAAGTCCGCCATATTGGATTGTACTGTGATCAAATCCGAGATAGTTGCTTATATAACTGCACCGAATTTCAGAAAAATCCGTTGACGAATGCAGAAGTTACAGGGGTGGCCCGATAGCCTGTGTCACCCGGTAGATTATCTTCTTTTCAAAGTCTACAATATTTTTCATCAAACTAGGCAACTTCTTGTGTGGTACTCGAAGAGTATTCGTTTTTTTTTGTTTCATTCATACAAATTTGCTATATATGATTTCTGGTGAAGTAAAAATATTGTTTGAGATCAATAATGACTTCAAAATATAGACAAAAATGAGGTGCTTTTTCAGTTCAAATTCTCCTCATTCAACTATCAATTTATACAATTCTTCATTGAATCTTATCTCATTATATTAATTCAGAATTTCTTAATACCTTCGCATTTGTCAGAATATACCATATTTTGAGAAATTCAATTCAATTCATACTAATAGAACCAAACAATTGAATATCTTGATTAAAACTATATACAAGTCGGTCATGTGCAAACAATCAATTTTTTATAATAGAATGATTCCATGTAATTCATTATCTAATGAGTTGAAAAATTTACAACATAGATAACAACTATACAGGCCTTTGGTTATGTACACCAGTCTATATACTCAAGGCGACAAGCAATAAAGTACGAAAAATGTAAATCAATTCATAGAAATGAGAACACTTGAATTTTATATACCTAATCAATATAATGTATAAAATCAAAGTGCTATCTATATTATTAATTTTAACGTTGTTGAAAAAACTATTAATGCTTTGCCGCGTTTAAATATATTCAGAATTCCAGAATTCAGATTCGATTCAATACGAATTTTTGTCGTTGTGGGTTGATTGATTTTTTGTGGTATTTGCACACACCAATGCCAATATATTCACACTGTCACTAGAGGAACCAATTAGCAAACACCGACCACAAACAATTGAAAGCTATTAAAATAAACTCCAATTATGTGTGAAGGCAATTCAAATCCAGACATTTAAAAATAACAACATGATATTTACATTTAACCTCAGATTATGTCGAATTAATTCTTTAAGTTGATAAGTTTCTTGTAACGAAATACTTTAGCTAAATGAATTTGTGGAAAAACTGAGAGATCGAGCTACTATACTGTCGACTTATTTTTTATTGTTTCATTTAACTTTAGTCTTTCAATTACATTTTATTCAACCTAAGAATATTGCGTGAGCAACTTTCATTCATTTTCAAGTTTCTTGTAAGAAAATATATTTCTACTAACTTTAGTAAAACGAATTTGTGAAAAACTGAAATTGATCTGCTATCGACTTATTTTTAATTATTTCGTGTAACTGAAGTAAGTTAATCATGTTTTATTTAATCTAACAATGTTATGGATGTGAATTTTAATGAAACTACATACTCCTTCGAGTTCTTTTGTAACAAAAAATGTTCTACCAACTTTAGTGGTATAAAGTTAGTCGTCAAGAATAATAGTTTGAACTATCCCAGCTACCTCATTATTTTGAGTGACTAAAGTTGAAGATAAAGTCGGTATTCCGTATTTTATTTAGCGTAATCAAATTTATTTTGAACCAATCAGAAGGCTCCTTTTTGATTACGTTGCTTATAGCAACGGGTGACTATCGCGATAATTTTGTTCGGTCCTATCAACTCAATGGAATTGATGTGACAATTATTCTGTCAAAAATAAAGCGCATCATACAGGGCGTATTTAAATAACACCCAAAAAATTCAAGGGGTTCCTTGTGATATTCTAGCAAATAAAGTTCATATAAACATGTCATGTATCCAACTCCAATTAATTTCTTACCGAATCTCCCACGCAGCAGAATTAATCTGATGATTCTCTGCTGCTAGGGAGATTGATTATAAGTGAAAATTCTCCCTCGTCTTCGACTCAGAATAATTTCCGAAATATTCGTGTTCTCGAAAAAAAAAATCGGTAGTAATTGGAGCTCTCGTGGTATTATAAGTGAAAATCTCCTGATGCATCAACATTCTTTTCCAGCTTTGGGAGTTGGCCTCACCATGTCATCCTACACCCTAGCCATCAGCAGCTACTTCACAAAAAAAAGGAACAGGGCGTTCGGTATAGTCATGACGATGGCCGGACTGGGTCCCATTTTGATGCCTCAAATCATCAATTCTCTCTTGGAACACTTCGACACTAAGGGCGTTACTCTCATTTTGTCCGGCATTTATGCCCAAACATTCATCGCCGCCATTCTCCTGCAACCTGTCGAGAACCACCAAAAGAAATATACATACCTAAGGAAAGGTGAGACAATTTTGAACACGGAAGACGCTCAAGAAATTGGTGGCAGTGACGAGAGGGATGAGGAGAATGAAGATATCAAAGACATACCTGTCATAACTCATAAAGGAATCTACAGAAGTAGTGAGTTTTCACCTATATCATTATTAAACTAGCAACTTCATTCAGGCAGGTTTGTGGAGTAAGTATTCTTGAATCCCACACGAATTAAAACATGCATCAGTAAGAGCTATTTACAAAAATGGAAATGCTCAGGATCCAACTAACTATAGACCAATAGCTTTAATAAGCATATTTTCTAAAATTTTTGAAAAAATTTTCAAGAAACGAATTGTAGAATTCATCAACAAAAAATATAGCTTTGATTCTAATCAATTTGGTTTTCAAGAAAACAGTGGAACACAAGCAGCAGTACTACAAGTGATAGATTCAATCCAGAGAGGACTTGATTCAGGAAATTATGTGGTAGCTGTTTTCATTGATCTCAAAAAGTCTTTTGACACAGTTGATCATAAAACACTTTCAGAAAACTTAGAAACAATGGGACTCAGAGGCAATGTGAGAAATATATTGAATTCATATCTTGATAATAGGACAATCAATACAAAGTCAAACAACTCTGTGTCAAATAAACTATTAATCAATAAGGGTGTCCCACAAGGCGCTGTTTTAGGACCTATACTATATTTACTTTATGTTCAAAATATCAGTGAAATTGGTCTAGCGTGTGAATATACCATGTATGCAGATGATACAGTACTTTTATATGAAGGCAAGAATCCTTCAGATTTAGAAAATATGATAAATGAAGACTTGAAAATATTTGAAAAATGGCTCCAATCTAACCTTTTATCGATAAATACTAACAAAACAGAATATATGATTTTCCACCAAAAAAATAAACAAAAAATTCACCTCAACCTTAAAATAAAAAATGAACTCTTGAAACAAACTGACCAGATAAAATATCTTGGTATTTGGTTTGATAACAGGTTAAAGTGGGACAAACATATTGATGTTCTGACAGAAAAAATATCTCCAATTATTGGTGCATTGAGAAAATGTCCCAAACTTGATATTAAAATTGCAAACATGATTCTCTACTCTCATATACTGAGTCGTATCAACTATTTAATAAATGTTTGGGGATCTTGTTCAAAAAATAATTTCAATAAAATATCAACATTATATAGAAAATCGTTAAAAGTATTATATCGTCTCCCATTTGATACACCAACCAATCAATTGTATGAAATAACAAATACGTATTCTTTAGATGAAATATATAGAATTGAAACTCTCAAAATATCATATAATATCATAAATAAAAAATTGAAGTCGAATATTATTTTGATACGGAATTCTGAAATTCATAATCATGAAACTAGACAATATAACTTGTTCCATCTTGACGCCGCTAGCTCCCTAATCGGACAAAAAAGATTCACTCATTCAGCCTTAACTGAATTCAATAAACTACCTGATAATATAAAAAATTGCAGAAATAAAGGTATATTCAAAAATGAAGTAAAAAAACTGATTATTTCTCAGCGGACTGGATAAAATTAATCATGCAATTTTTTTTTTTTTCAAATATTATTCTTTGTTTGCCAATTTACAGTTGTTGATATATTTTGAATGATGCTATGTTTACCTATAGGTATATAATTATGTACTTCCTTATACCAGAGCCTATTCTGTCTGGAAGTTATTTGTTCAATAAATAAATAAATAAATAAATAAAATGGGCGAGTGGACTGATGGCATTTAAACTCCTCTGTGTCATTAGGGAACTAAATCAATTTTTGCTTTGTTCAAAGTTTTTGAATTTCAGAGCTCATTTCAAACAAACCGTCATGGCCGCCATTTGACGATACGCCGAATAAATGGTAATGTCAGTTTTCATGCTGTTTCGTTATTGGTTAGATAATCTTTCATTTTCACTCATGAAGCAAGGTTGTCAAGTCACCAATTATAATCAAGTTATCAAAAAGATTAGAGTCCTGTCGTTGAATAAATCACTAGATGAAACATAAAATAAGGAAGCCATGATATAATAGTTCATTCTTTACTTTTTCGAGCAACCAACATGTCTAAATATTTATTATACTCTACAACAAAATATCATGTTGATGTTGAAGACTTGGCAACAATGTGCTGAATGCTGAGAACTGACACCTTAACCCTCAAATGTCCTGTAATGTGAATTAATATGATAGTATTATTATTAACACTAATGCATTATAGGCTATGGGCCACAACAGACGAGGGAATATTTTGAGACACTTGATTTTTTATGTCTAATTAGGAATATAACCAATTCAAAATTGAGAATGTATGAATTATTGAATAATTAATATTTCTGAAGTTTCAATCGTATTTCAACAATTATACAACTGTGCTATGGTCTGTCCTTACTTACGAATACGTAACGTCAGTTATTATTACTCGCGGTGAATTTTTAGCCGTTTGAAAATTACCATGGCATTATTGTTGATTTCAGCACCTTGAAATCGAACGAAAAAATTGTAAAAATGTAATGTAATGTGAGAATGAAAGTTATTTGAGTTATGATTCTATTTAAGAACTAACAAAAAGTCCACTCGCCTAACAGTTAACTACTAAAACTATTGAACTTTGTCAATCTCAATCCATATAAATGAGGGGGGAAGAATCGAAATTTGTTGGTACTCTTGGGAGTCTGTTATGTAAGGAAAATTGTTTCAACATTTTTGAACTTCATAAATGTTATAGGTAAAATTGACTTCATCTTATATGTTTTAGTCTCGAAAGGAGAAGTTTGAGTTATGAAAATAAAAAATGGTTTGGTAAATACATCATCATCATGAAATTTCGGAGAACTCAAGAACGAAGAAATGATTTGTTTTAGACATAAAATATAGGCCACGACAGTAGTCTTGATTTTAATTATTATTCATCTTGATACTACTATTGGAAGACAACGAAATTTCCTTGAAATTGCGAAAACAATTGTGAATATTGTCACGAGTAGAACATACGGTATATCAGTAATTTCGAACCATGAGGGTTTTATAAACATAAAGTAAATCAAATCATCCGTTGACATTGAATTATAAAAACTGACCAAGGAACTCTCATGAGAAACGTGCATATCTAATAAAATGTTGTATATAAATATTGGATGTGAGGGTTCCGAAGTTAGTCTGGTCTGGGGCTACTCTTGACTTGACAAGAGTTCGTCGTGATGGTAATAATTATCATGTAAGTTGTTATTCGGTCTTTATATTCATTGTTGTTTATTCATATCGATCATCACTACCCATAATGTTTCATGCTGCAATAAATATTGTTATGTTTGAATATATTCTCATACTTTCAGTTACCCCTAAACTATTAGTGCCTATTAAAATATTACCTCTTGCAAACTATTAAGCCAAGCATTACCCCTTATAAATCGATATGGGTGCACAGAGAAAAACGGTCCAGGTACACAAGTACACTTGAGTAAAATTTAATACCCACAAATATATTAATGAACTTTTGTACCATTACAATAGGTGAAAATTTTTTTCTGATATCGACTTCCAGTGGCAGGTTAACTATGCTCCTGGAACAGGCCATCTCTCTTGTGCTTGATTAACTTTTATCGATGTGTTTAATACTCAGTATACAACAATCTACCTGACATCAATATAATTGTCCCTCAATCCTTGTTTTCTATGAGTGAAAGGAATAATTCTGCCATTATTACCAGTTTAATAACAACAGGTAACAGTTCACTTGATTTCTCTGTTTCGTCATCATTCGGCTAGTTTCGAATACCCACGATTACGCCACGAGCTGACTGCGCAACTCTTCTGCACTTCATTCAGTCTGTATCTGTACTAAGAGTATGTACCTTTGGTGTTTGCGAACACTTATGCGTGCCTTTTTCTATTCTGGAACATTTGTGTTGTGCATGTTAGTTAAGTGATTGTGACTATTCCAAAAACATTTCTCCCAGTGACATTATCACTATGGAGCGATTAGCCCCAGGTCGAGAGTTGAAAAATAGAAACAGCATAAGCAGTTCATCGACGACACTTTGAAACAGCAGGGTGTGGCGAAGTGTGGCAAAACTCTTCTTTCTTTCTTGGTGAGTAATATACCATTCCTTTTTTTCCGTGCATGAAGAAATCTTTTTGGGCACAAACGTTTTTTAGTGATATGTTTTTCTCCTTCCGAAAATGATTCTAAGCCCTCTAGTTCCTTATGTTGGTTGATCATTTGCAATTAATTGTTACATCTGATATTATATGTCCGTTTTATTCGTGGTTCTTGCCATTTATTTTTCGTTTGAAGAGGTTATATTTTGAAAATATCAAATATCTCCTATTTTGGTTGTGACCTCTCAAAATTTTTATCGAGTGTGCTCTGTGGTGTCGAAATTTCAGTAGGAAGTCACTTGTTAAGTAGTTCAAATTTTGTTGAAGATTAAAGAAATATATAATTTCAGAAAAATAAATGAATTGTTGATCTCAAGTTACTTATTACCCAAACCGAGGAGTTTTTATGGTTATATTCCACAAAAGCCGAGAAATAAATTGGGAAATATCAAAATGAGAAGACTCTCTACTGTGAATGTTTGCAAAAAAATCATATTTCTGATAGTAGGTACACGGGAAGAAATTTCAGGAAACGGATCTTGAATTTTCTTATTCGGTGTCTCTGGATTTGAGTCAAAGTGAAGTTTTATGAAGAATGGCCTTACTTGGATTGGCTCACGGGACGTTCGCTACCTGTTAAAAGTTTATTCTTCCAATGAATCTCTTGAAAATAGATTATTTGTTTGAATTTTCAAGAAAATAATGGGAGAAATTTAACACATTATATAGAGGAATTTTCAAATTTCAGGGTGCTGATGGTAATGATGTACCTGATTAGAACATGATGCCACTTGATCTGAATTCAAGAGGACCTAGTACCCCCGCGGCCCGCAGATACTCCATCAACGTCTGAAATATATTTGTATATGAGTCAGTTCGACAACTATCGTATATTGAAAATAATTATTTCAGGTTCATTCATTTATGTAGTTTGTACTGAAATTACAAATGACTAGAATATATTATATAATGTACCTATATTTTGTACAATGTTTCTTCTCTTCTATAGATAATCACCATCCCCATTCCCCATTGTGTGATACCTTGAAACTATTTTCAAAGGTATGCACATTGAACATCCCCAATATTTCAATTGAATTGCACATCTGAGATAATTAAATTATGTTCCAGTGACGAGTAATTTATGATCCCAGGACAACTTAATAATGTTTCTGGAATAATTGTATTCTTCAGTGGTAGTATAATTAAAGGATGTACCTGACATCAGTTAGATATATCTCAGAGAATATCACCTATTTTTCTGTAACAGCATGCTTTTTCACCTGTGGCAACTATATAGTATTGAAAATTGATTAAACTATTGAATAACTATCATCGAAGTGTATACCTACAACAGGTGAAGAAGTCTGTAAGATAATATAGCAATGTTTCAAAGGGAATTAATTAATGTTCAATGGTAATTAAACTGTCTAATCAATGTTATTCAACACTTCAATAATCCTGAGTCGATTTTAAATATATTCATTCATTAATGATCAATGAACTATATAATTGAGTGTCTATTGCAGGTATACCAATTCAGGTAAAATATTTTATCTACCACTATCATACTGTATATCTGTCCCATATAGTATTCAAGTTTTCAACTGTGACTATTAAATGTTTAATAACCATTATTAAAGTTTTTTCTCTGTGTGGATAACCACCGATTATATCGTAACATGGTGGCAACTCTTTTGTTGTGTGTTGTTATTCAACTTTTCAAGCTAAATGGTATTTGAAATATTGCAAAAAATTTAGGATTTCTATTTTCAATGGCTTTCTTACTTTGTCATCACCCATAATTCATGCTGCTATACTTAATACTTTCAAATAACCCTTTCTACTAGTGCCTTTGTATGAAATATAAAATTGACAAGAATCGATGAATGCAAGAAAAAATTGATGAGTCTATTATGAGGAATGAGACTCAAGGAAATAAGCTTAGGCGCCTCCACCATGTCACAACAAAAGAGTTGTCACCATGTTACGATATAATGGGTGGTTATCCACCCATATCGATTTATAAGGGGTAATGCTTGGATTAATAGTTTGCGAGAGGTAATATTCGAATAGGCACTAATAGTTTAGGGGTAACTGAAAGTATGAGAATATATTCAAACATAATAATATTTATTGCAGCATGAAACATTATGGGTAGTGATGATAGATATGGATAAACAACAATGAATATAAAGACCGAATAACAACTTACATTATAATAACCATTACGACGAGCTCTTGTCAAGTCAAGAGTAGCCCCAGACCAGACTAACTTCGGAACCCTCACATCCAATATTTATATACAACATTTTATTAGATATGCACGTTTCTCATGAGAGTTCCTTGGTCAGTTTTTATAATTCAATGTCAACGGATGATTTGATTTACTTTATGTTTATAAAACCCTCATGGTTCGAAATTACTGATATACCGTATGTTCTACTCATGACAATATCACATGACTTCGATAATATAATATATTATTTTCATTTAACCATCATAATGAGCATGTGAAAGTAGTATTGGAAAAAATAATAAAGGAACACTCAAGTAATCTGAAGGTTGATTTTTTTATCAATAGTTCAAAGATATGTTTCAGACTTAGACATGTTCATCTTCAGCTTATATAACTGTAATAAAATTCTATACAAACATTTATTACGACGAGGAATGAAAGAGTTTACTACTTTTCGACCATTAAACCAATATCGTTGCTAAAAAAAGTTAATTCTGACCTTGGTGAAAATATTCTTGAGATTTAACTGCTGGACATTTTCAGAATCGCAAATAATTGCGAATATATCTGTATTCCAAAGGAAAGATGATTCAATCACGATAAGTCATGATCAAGAAGGTGCAGGAATTTATGGAATTGATTCATCATTGATAGGAGCCAGTGTGATGTCCCTGGAATCAGGTGAGAATTCCAATTGCCATTCCTTATATCCACTAATTTTATTCAATTCATTTTCAGTTATGCTTCCTTCTTCTCCAAGACAAAATACAAAAATGAAATATCAATGGTGGAGAAGTGCCTCCACAATCAATTTGGAAAGTTCTTTGGATCTCTTCGACGAACACCCTTATAAAACAAACGGCAACCAGGGTGATAAAATATACAACGAACTCAGTGTGAGAAGAGAGAATACCAAAATATGCAAACAAATTCTGGACGGTATCGTGAAAATTTTCGATCTGACATTATTCAAAGATCCGATTTACTGCAGCATCATGATCGGGTTATCCTTGGTTATATTCGCAGAGGTCGACTTTTCCATAACGATAGTTTATATTCTCAGTGACCTTGGAATGGATACGCAGGAAATCGCCGAATTTCTATCCATTCAGGGAATGGCCGATATAATTTTCCGGTTTTTGGCGCCCTTCATCGGGAATTCCTTGAACCAGCCTCCGAGATTCATTTTAGCTTTATCTCTGATCGGAATAGTTTTTTCAAGATGGCGTAAGTAAACCTCATAAAGATACTACATTCACATACATACTTGAACTTTGTATCCATAAACAGTATATTGATGTGAAACATACTTTTTCCGTCGACCTCGTATTAACGAGTAAGTTTAATGTTTATATATGAAATTGATCGTTGATAGGGTCATGTATCTGAATAACACCGAAATAATTCAAGGGGCGATTATTCCTTGTGATATTCTAGCAAAAAAAATTTACATGAACATGTGTCCTAACTTGCTCCGTTTTTGAGATACAGGATGTTGAATTTGGAAATATTAATCTTTTTTATTCATAACCCCCCTGTATAAGCTTTGCTTGGAGACTTACGAAGCCCCAAAATTTTAAAATGATCCTAATTGGTGTTATTGAGTGATCTCAATTGGAGTCTGGAAAACTCCTACATTAAAATTTGGAGTCAAATCGAATTTTTATTGTTTCCTCAAAAATTAAGCAAGATACAGAAACCACACAGAAAACAAAAAGTTGTTATTCCAATAGGTCAATTTGATAAAAATATAAAACTCAGAAAAACTAGTGGCGAAATTTGAACAGAGGTGACATTAGATTTGCTACAGTGTAGAACTTTGGGTGGAAAAAGGGGTCTAACCTCAAATTTTATTTTGATCCCTAATTTTTTTTTATTAGTGCCATTCGATAGTCGTAAATATTTGCACTTATTTCAATGCCACCCTGTACACAACATAATATCCTTTCACTGGTTGACACTATAACTTACGATATCTACATTTTAATCGGGAATATGGATTTTACGTTAACGGGTTAGCCTTGTGAAGTGTCTGAACAGATTCTAATCCCTGTTTTCTAACAATAATATTTTTTCTCGAAATGACATGAGAGGTGGCTTTTTAATGACACTTAACAGGCATAAATGGTGTATTTTTACAGCCTAGGCAAAGAAAGTTTGTTATGCAATATCTCAAGTAATCATTTGAATCAAATTGGTAATCAAAATTGACAATGACTTGAACACAAAATGATGGATTATTTGAACTCTGCGTAAAATTATAACGAATTTGTAGAAAAAATATGTTAGCATCTGCAGGAGAACTTCTAATCTTCTCCCGAAGAGGTGAGCGAGATATTTTAATTAATAGAACAAAATCAAACTTTGACCCTGTATATCCGCTACTGATCGAGATCGGACACATATTTATACACACTTTTTTGATCAAAATGATGAGATCTATATAAGCCATTTCAGTTTGTACCTTGAAACCTGAATCACCCTGTACCCTCTAGTTGGTTAAATAACTATTGGTTCCCTGATGATTATTACATGTGGTATACCACAAGGGTCAGTTTGGGGCCAAATTCACTTTAAATTTACCTTAACTAAATATCTACCTACTTTGAAATCTAAATCATGTTGGTTATGGATAAAAAATTCAATATTTATATATTTTACATTTCAGTGTTTCTATCTATCGTTCAAATAAGATACTATTTCGCAATCGCAGTTGCCCTAGGACTTATGAAAGGCATCAGAACAGTTTATTCCACATTGATTATCCCTAGCTATGTACCTTTGGACAGGCTAGCTTCAGCTTCAGGAATTCAAATGATGTTTAATGGACTGTTCATATTTGGCGGTGGTTCGATCCTAGGTGATTATAGATTATTATAATTATTATTTTATATTTGAAATCAAAGATCTTACAATATACTTACAGAAAACTATCCGATTTTTAAAAACAAGTGAATGAAATGACTCATCAGACACTATGGGCTGTGATCATTAATTTTTCAAATTTCATCTGTAACGACAGCGACTGTCAACTTTTATTTCTGTTCGAGTTTTTTTTTTCTGAATACAGTGATGTATGACAATTTGATTTTTGGACAAAATTAGTTGAAATGAAAAATAAATACTCAGTTGTCAGTAAATAACACTGATATTCACATATATTCATGAAATATATTTCCGAAATCAATACAATGAATTGGTAGTATCTCCAAATCTCTCAATATTATGAGAAGTCTCAAAGTTTTTCGAATATATTTGTGCCACCTACTGGAGACAATTCTAAAAATGCGAAATAGGGATAATTGACATAAACAATAATTTATTTTTCAAGGGTACATAAGACAAGCAGGTGGATATATGCCTGCCATCATCGCCCTCAATTGTGTTACATCTTTTGTAGTCATCATGTGGACGATAGAATTTTTCATAACTAAAATCGGAAAAACATCGCCCAGTGGACCAGAAAATCTAGAAATGTCTAACAGCTTAATAGATAAGTCGTGACAATGCTTTTGTGATAATAATGATAAGTTTTTATATGAATAAATCGACCTGTAAATTATTTTTTTACTTGATTACGCTTTTTGAATAAAAACAGATACAACTCATAATCATTGTTTCATATCAACATTTTTCAGTTTTTACCGAATACTTGTGGTATCATTGTAGTTGAATATGGAACATATACAGTCGTGTGTCACTTCTAATGGATACACATCCCATAATTTGACGCATTATTATTTTTCGATTGTACTAATTCTGATTGTTATTTCAACCATTAAGTGAATTTTCCGATTTAATACATTTTTCCTCCTGGAATGTCGGTGGTTCTGATGTGGCTGCGAGCGAGCAGTGTATCATTGAGATGATCCTACTTGGTCATTGGTCTCTTTCTTACGTCTTACTTCAGACTCCTACATCAATAATTACGTAAGATACTGGGGTGCTTCCATGAAATTTGAGACAGAATTTATTATTTCAGAACTGAAAATTGTTCAGAAGGAATATGAGTACTTAGTGAATTAGACGTTTTGTTTTCTGTTCTCGAATCCGCAGTGATTTACAACCTATCTTATCTGCTAATATGATTTTCCGGACATGTAGGTGGTTCCATGGCTGCTAGCGAGCAGTGTATATCAATGATAGTAATTTCAATTGGTCATTGACTGTATCTTTGGAATATTTCATGTTCCTGGGAATTTAACAATCCTAACTCGATAATTACGTAAGATCCCGGTGTTTCCATGAGAAGTGAGACAAAAATAAAATTTTCAGAACTGATTTCCAATGGAAAATGAATAGTAATTGATTTGGACGTCTTGATTCCGGATCCAAAGTGATTCTCAACCTATTTTGCTTCCTTATATCATTTTCCGGAGATTGGGGTTGTTCCATGGCTGTTGGCGAGCAGTGTATATCACTGAAGATGACCCCACTTGGTCATGAGTACATTTTTGATATATCTCTCGCTCCAGCAAATTTCAGTATCCTAACCCAACAATTACGTAAGATACGTGTCCATGAAAAGTGAGAAAAAAATAAAATTTTCAGAACTGAAAATTTTTCAGGAAAAATATGAATATTTAGTGAATTGAGCGTCCTGATTCCGAATCCGAAGTGATTTTTTCAATATATTTCAGGAAATTGGGGTGGTACCATGGCTGTTAGCGAGCAGTGTATATAACTCGAGATGACCCCACTTGCACTTGGACACTGTATACGCTAGCTACAATGGACTAGCACGTATACTCCAAATGTGTAAAATGTTTCTTGATCCTAGTTTTCATCTATCTCCTAGTTTGACCTACCTGTGTTTTACCGTATTCGTAAATTCCACTTCACTTTTAAAGCAATCTCAGAAATTATTTCTTCAATTTAGATATGAGTGTGACACTTTTAAATGGGTACTTTATTTTTTATATCATATCATATTATGAAAATGAGGACTCAAAGGTTTCGCTAAACATTGAATGTTATAACATTTTTATTCCCTACTGATGTTAAATAATAAGTAATTCTAAGAATAAACTCGAGATGTGAATTCCGATGCTATAAGGAGAGAAGTCATTGATACATACCAGAAGCGCCATATGGTCTATAAATACTGATAAGTCAAAAAAAAAAAACTTGAATAAAGTTGATGTCATGACTCGCGATAAACAGTAGCTATTATAGTTCTTATTCTGTACGTCTTCGTTTAGAAAGTAGATTAATTTGAGATGAATATTCATTTATCTCTATTACTTTTAACTTTGATAATCAAGAATTTAGCGGAAAAAATCAATTTGGATACTTTGAACAACTACAGCGAATTCTTGAATTTTGGTGATAAAAAGCTACACAAAGTCAACAGAGATCGTTTGGAGAATGAGATATTCAAATCGAAAATTGATGTACTGGGTGAAGTGTTCAAGAACAGCGTGGATCTTTTTAAAATTTCTTCCAAATTGGACATCGTGTTTTTGATAGATGCTTCCTCCAGTGTTGGCGAACACAATTTCAAGAGTGAATTGAAGTTTGTGAAGAAGTTACTCAGTGATTTAACTGTGGACTATAATCATACGAGAGTTGCTGTGGTTACTTATAGCTCACCCAGTAACATAGTGAGTAATCATACCAAAATTTCTTTTCATGAACTGAAATAATTTTCAATTTCATATTCAGGTTAAAAATATTGACGAAATCGGGGAGGCATCAAGAGAGAACAATAAGTGTTTATTACTGAACAAACAGTTGAACAACATAAGCTATAAGGGAGGAGAAACTTTTACATTGGGAGCTTTCAAAACGGCTAAGGTAAGAATTCAAAATTATGTATGTGAAAAAATGTAGTACATAGATATGTTTTATAGGAAATTTTTGATTCATCAAATAGAAACGATTCAAAGAAAGTGATATTTTTGATAACAGATGGATATTCGAACGGAGGAGACCCAACACCCATAGCTGAAGAATTAAAAAAAGGTCTGATCACCATATTCACCATAGGAATACAAAACGGAAACTTCAAAGAGTTGTACGAAGTATCTTCTTCACCTGGAGAGTACTACAGCTACTTACTAGATAGCTATTATGAATTCGAGAGCTTAGCCAGAAGAGCTTTACATGTTGGTAAGGCCGAAGAAATCAAGTATATTGAACTCTGATTGAACTCAAAGCTCCCAAATTTTTTGTTGATAGATCTTAAAAGTGGTGACTACATTCCTCTAGGATTCAATAAACCTTGTGACATTTTATGTGAAGAAGGGGATTGCTGCGATCAAAAAGCGCTTTGTACCTGTGGAACTACCACTGGGCATTACTCTTGCATCTGCCAACCTGGATATTATGGATCTGGACTCAAGAATAACTGTTTTCGTGAGTAATTGATGCTCAATATTGTTTACAATGAGTGAAATCATAATTCTAAAAAAACGCATTACCCATATCATAACAATAACTAATCGACATACATTACATTACAGAATAAGAGAGTTATTAGATATAGATTCACTATACAGGAAATTCGACCGACAACGCTTGACAGGTGATAGCCTTCGTGATTTCATAATCACTGATGAGATAGGGACATATGGTCTCCAAGTGTTCAGTTCTCGAGATACAGGGCGTTGAAGTTAAGAAATTAAAATAGTTTTTCCGCAATATCTCAAGAAAAAATGGATATAATGCATTCAAATTCGGTATATGCTTACATCTTTCAATGGTTCATTTTTTGACCAGAAAGACATTCCTAGAATTTTATCCAGAGGTGCGCTACAGGGGGTTATGAAAACTTTTCCTCCCATATTTTCTACGCCACTGATGAAATTTCGATTATTTCGTTATCGAGATATTTGACCGCAAATAAAACTTTGCAGAGTAACATTCCATCTTCCTCAGTAGTAGGAAATTACAAAAATGTTTGTTGTCTTTTCATGCGTGCAATAACCATTTCTGTTCAGCTACAGAATGGGATCTGAATAGTATCTAATCTACACTCAACACCAAAAAAATATTTTAGAGTAACATTCCATCTTCCTCAGTAGTAGGAAATTACAAAAATGTTTGTTGTCTTTTCATGCGTGCAATAACCATTTCTGTTCAGCTACAGAATGGGATCTGAATAGTATCTAATCTACTCAACACCAAAAAAATATTTTTTCTGTGACGGGAAAAAAGTTTGGCATTTCATCTCTGTTGGCAGGTTATAAAATGTCACTTTTCATAAATTACTTTTTTCCCGTGGGAAAAAAGTGAGTACTTTTTTCCCCGGATATATACACTATTTATGGGTTTTGTTGTGCTATAGTTCCGAAAAATGAGTCAATAATACCGTCTCCGAGAAAGAACTGCAAGTCCTTTTATCTTCCATTCGACTTCGCGGTTACGTATCATACTAAACAACCAAGAAATGCGCAATTGTTTGCAATCAAATCACAGAATTAGAATGACGAAAGTGACATCAGATATTTGATTACTTCAAAAGAATGATAAAGATGCCTACAACGCAGGTGTCCCTACTGTTAAAAACTAGTGTATTATACACGGGAAAAATATTAGATTTTAGCTCACGGTTTTTTGTCTCCCTCCGCTACGCGTCGGGAGACAACACAACCTGGAGCTAAAATTTACTACTCTTTTCCCTTGTATAATAAATAACTATTTGCAATTTTCTACTATTGAAAATGATGAAATATTACTATGTAATCTTCTATTTTGGGTCGAATATCTCGAAAACTGTTCATTTCAGCTCAGTTGGAGGTGATGCATTTTTTGAGCAAAATTGAACAATGAATTCGAGGAATTGAAAATAATCGAAATTCAATCAGTGGTGTAGAGAATATGGGAGGAAAAGTTACCACAACCCCCTGTAGGGCACCACTGGATAAAATGTCCGGAATGGCTTTCTGGTCAAAAAATGACCCATTCAAAGATGAAATCATATACCGAATTTGAATGCATAATATCCAATTATTCTTGAGATATTGCGAAACAACTATTTTTATTTCTTAACTTTACGCCCTGTATCTCAAGAAGTAAACACTCGACACCGTATGTCCCAAATTATTATCATTGATTCATTCAGTTGAATGTTGTCAAAAGCATTCAAATTTGGTTTTCGAAAATTAATAGTAGTCACCACAACCATACAACTAGACAAGCAGATCATTTTTCTGTCAAGAAAATTGAATCAGATATTGGTAAAAAATCCATCTATCACAATGGAATGATACAATACAATTCACTGCCTAATAATTCGAAACTGATTAATAGGATTGAAAAATTTAAAAAGGAATTCAAGATACATCTACTCCTGTATTATTGACATCTTATCTCATTTTTATAGTTTTCTCGTACAAATACCTATAGTTTTCCATTGGGTACCTAACAGCTAATAAGTCAATTAAGAATCATTTTATTCGAATTTGAAAATGAAAGATTTTTCTCCAAATGACATCAAAAGTGGCTTTTTAATGACACTTAACAGGCAGAAAAGGTGTACTTTTACTGCCTAGGCATTATATCTTGTACTTTTCGGCCCAGTAAAACAAATAACTATTCTTCCTGAGTCTTATTTTACTGTCTTCTTTATTTTGTCAAATATATTTATATATTCACCATGTTCCCTGTTATAAACGAAAAACGAATGTTGTTTCTTGGGAATAATAAAGTTGATTGATTGATTGATTCTAATCACAATTCATCAGAAGTTTGGTCGATATGGTAAAAGATACATTACTCTCAACAAGATCATTTCGGGATATCTGTTTCAGCGTGTATACCTGGAACCTATTCAGATGGGCCAAATTTATGCTTACCATGTCCAGATCAGCTTCATACCACGATAGCTCCAGCTCTTGGTATGGAAAGTTGCGTATGCAAAGAAGGTTATCGGGCTACCAAAAATAATGGTTGCAAAGGTATGTTTGAACGAAATTGTAATTTTACTCGGTCCTAATGTTTTCCATTTTCAGAGTTGAAATGTCCAAAAATAACGAATCCAGAACATGGGTACTACGTGAAGAGGGGACACTGTCCAAATGTGATCTATAGTGCTTGTGGGATACGCTGCGAAGTAGGCTATTCTCTGAAAGGGACCAGTATAAGGTTGTGCGAGAAAAATGGAACTTGGAGTGGAATTGAACCAGTTTGTGAAAGTAGGTAACCACATGTTTATTGTAACCTACCCCAACATCAATGTAGTTGAAAATATATCATGTTCCGTTGTACTCTATTTCTCACATTTCACCACGTGTCGCAACTCAGATGTTGACCCTCCTATAGGTCGTAACTTTTAGCTAAAATCGCTTGGCTTTTTTGACGAGAGGTTTTGATCATTTCACCACCCAACTATATTCATCCCCAAATAAAGAGAATTGTTTTTCAAAAGTACAACAAACAATTTATTCAATCACGAAAACATAAAAATGTGCCAAAAAGGCGGAACAGCAAAGAACAAATATGAAACGAGCGAACAACAAAATCAAGATGATCGTTCTTGGTACTTACATTATGTTATGAGCAGCAGCACCAAAGTCGAGGAGATGTCACACCCCCAAAATGGCATAGTGCCACTTTGAAAGTCAGCAATCGATGAATTCAGTGTTATCCTTGATTATATACACTAGTGTGAATACTCAATGGTGTTATATATGTACTGATTTTAATATAATAATTGGTAGTGATGAATCGATTAAGGATTGAACTAATAGTGACCATGCCTTTATCGATTCCGGTTCTATTTATATTTGAAATCGATGCTAGATTCGCATTGGTAACAGCAATTACCTTTCGATATTGCTTTCCTAGGTATTATCGCACGGTAAGCGGTTTTTTGCAAATTTTAGAGGAACTGACGTCTATGAACTCCGCTGACCTGATCGAAACAATGTACTGGATGTCTTAATTTGGAAAAGTTGATTTATGATAAAAGATCTTGAAATGAACGAGAGTTCGAGTGATGTTAATTCATAGGCATTTGTACTTCTTGACACATCTTTCCTGTTTGACGAAGCTGGCCCAACAGCTTCAATGGGTCTCCTAACATAAGTTTTGCCGTGATCGTTACAACTAATTTTGCAAATTCCTGACATCTCATCAAGTATGTCTACTGTTCTTTTGATGTGCCTCATGCATTTCCCAATTGATTATGAATATGGTTATGCTATCAATGCCAATTTTTCAAGCTTGTCAATTGTTTCTACTTTTATTTTAGTTCGTACTTGCAATCGATTAGAAATTCCAAAGGATGGAAAAATGACATGTAGTCATCCAGATCTAGGCGAAAAATATGATAACACCCAGAAAAAATTTCCTGTAGATGCAGTATGTACTTTTGGATGTCCTGAAGGAAAAATATTGATAGGATCCAAACAAAGAACATGCCTTCCAATTGCTAGATGGGATGGACTCAGGACTTTGTGCAAACGTAATTTTTGGGAAAAGAAACAACAAAAAACTAGACGCTCATTTTTTTAATTTCAGCCATAAAATGCAAGAAGCTTCCCCAAGTGAAATACGGAAACATTGAACCAAATTCGTGTAAAACGGGAAAGCAAGAATTTGGTAAGACTTGTAAAATCACGTGTAATGACGGTTTCAATCTACGCGGGCCGTCAGAAAAGAAGTGTATCGGGCCTCATGGGGCCTGGGATAGTAAATTTGAAGATACATTATGTTCTGGTAGGTATTTTCTGATTCTACTTTTGAACATATATAGTCTCTTAATTTTCTCAGATGTAACACCTCCTGAAGTAATTTGTCCTGAAGATATAGTGTCTAATTCTTTACCTTTGGAGAGGTTTGGATATGTTTCCTGGAATCCACCAAATATAACAGGTAATAATGAAACTTTCCAAGTTGTAGATGGCTCTTCGCATACCTAAAATATGGTAGAGCATATTTGAGCAGTATAATTGGAATGATTGGATAACAAGGTACCACTGAGAATAATTGTAGATCCGTTAGTCAATTCAATTCATTGATTTCAATATTGTTTTTTTTAAATCTTCATTTTAATACTGAAAAAATTGGTGAGTTATATTTTTATATCATAATACATCATATTATTCATCAGATTTGAGATATTCCCAATTCTCAATTTCAAAGGATTTTAATTTTTCATGCTCTCTTTTTGGATGTTCAACAGATATAATTCAATGTTCGACGTGGCAAATAGTCAGGAAAGTAGTTGTTTTCTGTTAACTATTCAGAATGGATGTTATGTGCAAATACATATTTTTATCTGAAGGAGAATGCTCAACTTCAGAAGATTTGTATTTCAAATTATTATCGTTTGTGTTCAATAGGTATAATTCAATGTTCGTCGTGGCATATAGCCAGGAAAGTAGATGTTTTCTGTTGAATAAGCCGAGAAAGAATTGATATTTTGATTACATAAAGAATTCTGATGCCCAATATTCCTTATTTTCATTTGGATATCTGTTTAGGAAAGCCCTATAGCTCTCAAAATATTTGAATAATTCCAATGATGTTTGATGATTGAACAAATAAGGGGGTTTTCCTTACATTTTTCTGTATTCCAACCATTTTCAGATAATTCTGGTTTGAATGTCACCTCATGGATGAAACCAGCTATAGAGAATATAACAATGTTCAATTTTGAAATAGGCACAACACTGGTAACATATTATGTGCAGGATGCTTTCCAAAATACAGCTAACTGTTCTTTTCACGTTACAATCAGAGGTATAGAAATCACACCCGCTTTAGAACACAGCTGAAATATTCCACTGTTCCAGATAAAGAACCACCCAGTATAGAAAATTGTATTGATCCTCCGCCATATTTAACTGGCGATGAAAACGGTGCAAATATAACATGGGATGAACCAAATATCTTTGATAATTCCCAAAGTGTTATGGTAAATTTGAAGACTTCTAATCAACCAAAGCACATTTTCAAAATCTGCTCTTTCTAGGTGATACGATCTCACCAATCAAGTTACTTTACTGTAGGAACAACGACAGTAACTTACACTGCTACTGACTATTCTAATAACACGAATACCTGTAAAATTAACATTACTGTGGAAGGTAGCTATGAAAAAATAATCAGGAAACGTAGATATTAAATAATTGATAAATTTTTCAGTTTCTCATTGTGAGTCTTTACCAGACCCACCGAATGGGCACAGTGAATGTATGAATCATTCAAATGGAATTCAGTGTCTGATTACTTGTGAGGAAGGTTATGCCATTCCTATAAGTCAAAGTTATGATCGTAAGTTTATTGTTCACTTACTCAATTATCAAACTAAAATACATTTGTTCAGTGTCAATCTTAAATCTAAATAACTTTATAACTTACTTACTCAAAATGTAGTAGCTGCGTACTTATTTTAGAAAATGGGACCAACTTTATTTGCAGTCATGCAGATCCAATTTGGTACATACAAGAAGGCCTATTTCCAGAATGTACAGGTATGGCTTGCATTTTCTCATGAACAATATAAAAATATTATATTGGCGGAAAATAATGGTTTTTGTGGTGCTGTCTTATCCTTATATCGCCTGATCACCCAAACTAAAACTGTTCTGAATCAGGCGTGGAGTTTATTTGAATACGTTATGCGAAATCGGACCCAAGATTGAACCTTGTGGAATACCGAAGTTGATATAAATTACAGATTCATCTTAGTACCAGGTCATATTTGAACCGATGGGGAAAACTCCTCCCTATGGTGTATATATTTTTAGTAGCTGACCCGGCAAACCTTGTTTTGCTATATACATTATTTCTAGATAATATTTTTTTAGTTGATTATTCATCAGCAAACTATTACTATTTTATTTCTCACTTCTTTTTAGCTTAGCTATCTATATAAAAGCTGGTTTCTTCAGTTTTTCAAAATAATATATATACCTATCAGAATATAAGATATTCTACTTATTTCTAGTTGAGCCGTTCCTGAGTTATAAATGGTGTAATATAAGACGATTTTGGACTTCATTTTATAAGTTTAGATGGTATATAGACTAGCTGACTCGGCAAACGTTGTTTTGCTCTATACATTATTTCTAGAATAGATTTTTTTAGTTGGATATTCATCAACACACTATTATCATTTCATTTTCAACTTTTTTTTATTTTGACTATCTATAAAATCGTGGTTCTTCAGTTTTCCAAACTTCTATTCATTCACTACTCCTTTTTAGTTCGCTTGAATTTCTCAATCTTGAAGAAAGAATCATAATCTCCAAACTCGAAAACCCCAGATTCAAATTTTGCATAAAATCTAATTATTTCAAACCTCGTCTGTCATATTAGATCCGCCATATTTGGATCCGCCATTTCGAATTTCCTAATTTTCATGAATTTCAATACTGCGATTTATCCTATTCGAAAAATCGAATATCATGAAAACTGGTCCAGCCGTTCTTGAGTTATAAATGGTATAATTAACACGATTTTGGACTTTCTTTTACATAGATTGTATCAAAATCATAATGAAATATTCAGAATTGTTCTAAAATTGTTCTATCCGTCATTCGGTTGCCCCCATTTACGAGCAACCCTCAGAAGTCTTCGAGAGTCTTGTGCGAGCAAGGTGACGGGGGCCTTACCTTGTAACGTGTGATCCCAAACACTTTCTTGGGCCATCAGAAAAATGTCTGCAGTCGATGGGAATCGAACCCACGACCTACAAGCGAATGCGGATTAGAATATTTACACTCTGTCCGCACGGCTACCTCTGGCCCCCTATCCAATGCTATTTTCAGTTAAATCACTGATAGGTTATTATTCAATTTTTATATAATTGTTTCTACACTATTTTTGACAATAATTTCTAATCTCAAATTGATACTAGTTACAAAAATTCCTGAGGAAACTATTCAGAGTGGAGAAATCAGCATTGAAAACGTGAACTGTACTGAAGGAGATAACATGGAAGAGGTAGGTGCCAAATCAATCAATCAAAGCATACTTTTTGACTTCTTAATTTTGCAGTTAGAAAACGAGGTCAGAGTAATGATCACTACCGAAATATGCATTGGCAACTGCACATTGGAAACGGAAACAGAATGTGAAGTAGAGAAAGAGGAAGAAGAATCGAACAAAATAATGTCTAAACGTGAAATAGTTTTCGAAGAAGTTCCCCACAGGAACAGAACGAAGAAGCATAGACGGAAATTCAATGTTAAATTCCAAGTCAAAGGAAAATACCTCAATGAAACCAGTAACATAACACACTCCGTTTTGCCTAGCGGTTATAATGTTTCCATTCATTATAAAGAGCTGAAATTTATTTGTCCTAGTGGATTCATTCCAAGAAAAAATAGATGTGGTAAGCAGTGATTTTTATAGTACTGGTATTGGTATTGGTAGGTTGGATGGTGACAGATGCGCTGCGACCTAATTAGATCTATTGTGCCCCATCTGCTCCTGCTATATCAAGGATTTCCTGTTCATAGCAGCCCCTCGAGATTCAATTCCTTCAGGAATTTGAGGATTTTGAGGGAGTCTAGCTGTGGTATTTCTTCCACAGTCAGCTCGTGTGTTCCCAGTATGTTCAATCTTTTGTGATGTACAGCGTCACACTCCATGTGTGATGGGGTGTTTGATGGGGTGTTTCTGGTTCTTCCTCACAGAATCTACAGGTGCCGTCCTCCTGTAAGCCTAGCTTCCTTAGGTGTTCTTTGAGTCTGCAATGCCCCGTTAGAAATCCCGTTATTGCTTTGAGACTTCCTTTGCTGAGGTTTGTCAGTGTCTTAGATCTTTCTCGGTTGAAATTTCCAAGGAGATCTTTAGCCTGCCGTAGTCCTGGAAGTCTTGTCCATTGTCTGGCTCTCCAGGCTCCTTCCGCCTTCTCAAGTTCTCCTTGGAAATAGGAATTTCCAAGGCCGCAGAATGGCTCTGGTCCGATCAGTGGCGTTGAAGCCACTTGTCGTGCCAGAGCGTCTGCTTGTTCATTCCCCACCACTCCGATGTGCCCTGGCACCCAGAGGAGGATAACTTTATTGTTGCTGCCTAGCTCATTCAATTTGCGTAGGCATTTCCCATACCATCTTCGAATTGATGTAGGGAGAGCTCAACGCTTTGATGGCTGCTTGGCTATCGGATAAAATCGCGATGTCCTTCTTCCGGTATTTCCTGTCTAGGTTGACCTGGATGCATCTTCCTATGGCGTGTATTTCCGCTTGAAAAATGCTGGGGAATTGTCCCATGGATTCGAAGTATTTGGTGCGAGGCCCAAAGACTCCTGCTCCAGTTCCCTCGGGTGTTTTAGACCCGTCCGTATACCAAGTAATGGTGTTCCTTCCCAGTGATTCGATGGATTCTGTGCTCCATTCGCGCTTGTTGCTCAGCTCCACTCGGAAGTTCTTCTCAAAACTGAACTTCCTAATGATTTGATCTGTTGGAAGATCGGCGAGGTGTGCGATCTCAGTGGGGGGTGAGCCCCTTACACTGTACGTTTTCCCTCTTAGTCCGACCTTGGCTAACCTGAGATGTGCTCCATAGGCAGTTTTCCTCACCACGATGTGTAGAGGTGTGAGATCCAAAATGACCTCTAGTACTCACTGAAATATACGTGCGTGGAGAGCCAAGAGAAATTTCACAGGAACCAGAGATTATTGAAACAATAAAGTTATTTAAAAGTTCTCTACATACAACTTGCTGTTTTTCGAAACTTTGCAAGTTGATAATGACACCTAACACTTATAAGTATAACTTTCAGAAAAATGGAAAGATAGGTACTGCAAGTAATGTGTTGCAACATTCCGAATTGCTGCAAGTTGTGAAATGAAACATTTTGAATTACTGCAAGTTATAGGTTACAAACTTTCTTTTTAATCACATATTGTACAATATACAGCAGGTAATTCGACATTATCCAGCTAATAACTTTGCAAATTATATAGGTGATTGTATTTCGCAACATATAACTCGCAGCAATTTGAAAAAATAAAAGGGCAAGTAAAATTTTGGTCTTGATATTTTGAAGTGTTAATTTCTGTTGACTCTTCCACTCTTGAGGAAGGATATGTATATGTATCTAGCAATATTTTTTATTTCAGTACAATGTCCCAAAGGTACATTCCATAACGCGACAACACACAAGTGCCAGAGTTGTCCTTTTGGGTACTTCAATAACAAATTAGCTCAAACTGAATGTACCTCTTGTCCATTGAACTTCTCTACCAGAAAAATGCACTCAAAAACGATGAGAGATTGTGAAGGTATACATCAATCGATCAATAGTTCAGGTGGTGCACCGTGGTGCTATCCAAACTTAAACCTAACTTTATATAAAATACATATATCACCAACAAAAAGAAAATGGATTGATGTATAAAAATGTATTCATTTTTGCAGAACAATGTTCTCCTGGCACCCATGCAAGAAAAAAGAAATTGAAGTTTTCGAAGCGTCAGCCAAAAGTTACGATCGTAAGGACAACTTTGAAGCCCTATTGTCGGTCATGTGGAGTTGGATATTACCAGCCCGACTATGGTCAATTGAAGTGCATTCCTTGTCGACCTGGTTACACTACAACCAGCGTGAGATCGACTAGTATCTATCAATGTATTCCGATATCAGAAGAGATTTGTAGGACCAAAAATGTTTGTATCCACGGAATTTGTGCTCCCACGAACTATTATCATTACACGTGTCACTGTTCACACAACTATATAGGTGAGAAAACCGGAATACCTGAAGCTCATCAATGAGATGAAAATATATAAATAGCACAGAAAGCAGTTATGAATATTCTTGTTTGAAAATAGCAAAAATTCGAACCAGCCCAGACAAGGTGGCATTTTTTCTTACATTGGAACCCCACGTTGGGCGCCAATTGAGGAAATGTCAAGTGTGAGAATCACCACTATAAAAGAATTCAATTCAATATCACAGAAACTTTGTAGGACTAAACGAAATATGTGTCCCTACGAACTATTTGCATTACTTGTCACAATTATTATATGTAGGTATGCATGGGTATTATAGATAGTAATATTCCAAAAGTCGCCAGCTGAGAAAACATGCATAAGATGTTTTCTTGCATAGAACTTCGAAAAACTGCTCAGGCCAGTTATATTATTGTGCGAATATGTTGGACCCCACGTTGGGCGCCAAATTTTGAAATTGCTCATCTACAGATAACGGCAGTTATTTATGTAGGTAGCGGGTCTTCAACAATGATTGAAAACCACGTGACTGATTACTATGCAACCAACCTGGGTGGAAAAGAGACGCCGTATCAATGGTCACGTTGTCGTGGCACTCAATCATTGTTGAAGACCCGGTATGAAGGTTCCATATATCAGTATTTTATAATCGACGATGATTGTATTCTCCCAAATCAACTGAATGAATCTTATTATCAGAAATAACCACCACTAAAAACATTAATGAAAAATCATTAAATATTTATACCCTGACTGAATAACTTTTAGGTTCTTATTGTGAGAAAGCAATTAATTTTTGTGATTCCCAACCATGTCTCAATGGTGGTATTTGCACTAACCTGGCCAGCGGTTGTAGCTGTACCTGTAGAAATGGTTTCAAAGGAACTTTCTGTGAAGACGCCATTGAAGACTGTGAGAGCAAGTGCTTGAACAACGGAGTTTGTATCCAGGATGATATCGGAAACTTCACATGTGGGTGTAATGATGGTCAGTTGATACTCTTGAAAATATTGAATTTTGAAAATTGAATTGTTTTTTTGTTAGGCTATGGAGGAGAATTTTGTGAGATTAAGGTGAGACCATGTGATGAGAATACGTGTGACAATAATGCCACCTGTATTGAAGAAAATGGTACGTTCAGGTGCCTTTGTATAAACGGATTTATCGGTAAAAGATGCAATTTACTCCCATGTGACTATCGACCATGTAAAAGTAATGAAATCTGTCTCGATTTAGCTGATACAAATTCAACAAGAGGCAGCTTTAGGTGAGATTATTTAAACACCTCAACATCAACAGATTATAACAGGTATCAAAACACACAAAGTCGTCTCCACAATTTTAATAGTGATCAATTTACTCAATCATATCATCGTACATGTTTCGAGCCCATACAAGATCATCTTCATCAGCGAAAAGTGGAAATTCTACAACATATTATATATGTTTTATTTTGGTAGGTGTGAGTGTCCTGAAGGTTACACAGGGGAAAATTGCATGGAAAAAATTGATTTTTGTGTGAGTTCCCCTTGTTTGAATGGAGGTTCTTGTACGAACAATTTAACCGACTATATTTGTGAATGTTCTAATCTGTATTATGGACCAATCTGCGAAAATAAAAGAAATACAAAGTATTTGCTGAATTTTGAACATTATGACACAAATAACTATATCAAGCTGAGAGGTTTCACACAGAATATTACCGAGGTAAAAAAACGTGCAGAAAAAGCATAAAATAATGGTTAGTTTGGAAAAGTGTTTTCTTTCCAGATGACTGCCTGTTTATGGATGATAACTTTAGACAACTTCAACTATGGAACACTCATTTCATATGCTACTAGACAAGCGGACAATGCTTTCACAATCACTGACTATACTGGGTACGATTTGAATTAATTTTCATCAATACTTCTTGAAATCAACATGTTGAAATTTCATTCAACATAGCACTTTTCCAGATTAGTACTATACGTTAATAATAACTACATTATTACTGATGTGTTCTTGAATGATGGAGGTTGGCACCACTTATGTATAACATGGAAAAGTTTGAATGGTTCTTATGCGGTATACGTGGATGGAAAATTAGAAAAGGCTGGTTTCGGATTATCATCAGAAACAAATATTCAAGGTTAAAAACTCATAGAAATTATTTATATTCAATAATAAGAAATTAAATAGGTGCAAGTTGTTTTCATGGGCATTAATTTTGTTATGATCTTTAAATTATTTCGATTGTAGGTATGGGCCATATGATAATAGGTCAGGAGCAAGACAATCTCGGTGGAAAGTTCAGTCAAAGCGAAACTTTCATAGGAAAAATGGCTTACGTTGATATCTGGTCGAAAGCTTTGGACTACAGAGGAATTATGACGCATTTCAACGATTGCAATGAATCTTTTTTTGGCGATTTATATGCTTGGCCGGTAATGCAAGATTACATTCAAGGAAGCGTAACGGTAAGTTAGCTATCGAAAATTTGAAATGTTGCATAGTAGAGGTGTTTATATTTTCAGGTGGTGGCTTCATCTTTTTGTAAAGGTTGTGAACAGCCCAAACCTTTGTATAACGGTTTAATCGATATTGTAGACAACATTGCTTATTATTCTTGTTACAAAGGGTACCAACTGAACGATCTCACGTATTTGAAAGGAAGAAAATGCACTAAAGTCTCAAAATGGGAAGGATTATATGAACCCTATTGCAAAAGTAAATATCATCATAACATATGGATCATGCATGGCTGTTTACACCACCCATGATTTCGGTGGATTATGTATCAGACTCATGCATTCTTTCTAAAACATCGATTCAACTTTTTTAATGACTAAACAGAATTATTATAAAATGGGTGAGGGAGAATTAGAACCCTTTTTTCAAAATAAGGCTGAATGGCCAGTTGATGCTGGGTAGGTACTTCTGAAATTGACGCCAAGAAAAAAATGTATCAGGCTTTGTTGTTTCTATTTGGTACATCACTCAGTGAAATCAAGGAACTTATATATTCCTGGGACAATTTGTATTTGATACTATTTTTAGAAATTTACTGTGGATATCCTGGTTTCCTAAGAAATGGTTACTCAATTGGTAACAAATATTTCTATCAAGATAAAATACTTTTCAGTTGCTTTGATGGTTTCAATCTTACTGGAAATAACTTGATATCTTGTAGAGAAGACGGTAAATGGTATCCAGAAAAACCAACATGTCTGGGTAATATAACTAAATAGACTGATATGATGGTGGATATACTGTTCTTGATCATTATTTTTCAGGCATCCAATGCACTGCTTTCCAAAAACCGAAAAACAGTGAGCTGATAATAATATCTGAACACAGCTATGAAGACTACAGAGTAAACCAGACAAAGTTCGATATTGGAACTCAAATTGAGATAGTTTGCAATGAGAGGGCTAATCTGACGAATGAAAATGTACTAACATGTTTAGAAAACGGTATGAATGGTACAGAGTTGGGCGTGGAAGACGCATGGATTTTGAAAGGACCACACGATTTCAGTCACTATAATGGCGAGTGGTCCGTATATTTCAATCAAATTGTCCTGACCAGGAATTGTTTAAGATTGACTTTAAATGTATAGATGTATGCAATCCAAGAATATTTCGATAGTAATTCATTGAATGTTTGCGAATTTAGCTTCACTGCAGTGTTGAGTAACACATATTCATGTATTCTTTTTCACCTAACAAGAATTTATATATAAAACTGTTTAATTTCTGGAATACGAAGTCCACATGTGTACATCACAATGATGCAAAATTCATGATATCGCAGTGCCTCATCATGTCATCTTAGAGATGTCATGTCGCAGATGTATTTGCTTCTGTACATCGCATCAGCGAACATTCGTAATATCGCAGTTGCCTCATCGCGATATCTCATCAGAGATATGTCATGTCGAAATCTGTTTGCTTATGAACATCGCAGCGATGGAACGTTTGTGATGTGTTGGCTGGGAGGCGTCATTTGGGTGACATTAAAAAAATTGTTAGCAGTTTGCGTTTTATCATTTTCAAATCCATGCGTCAAACCTTTATAGCACACACCTATACAGGGTGTTTCAAAAAAACCTAACCCCCTTGCTAGGGTAGGTAGAACATTGCAAAATAAATTGGGTTTGCCCTGTGAAAAAATGGCGTAACGGCATCCGTTTTCATGATACAAGGTGTTGAAAAAATTATTTTTTTACACATTTTTCACGATTATTCCGAAACTACTGGCAACATTGTAATGAAATTCGGTATGGATGTTTCTTTAAATCTGACACATTGCATGAATTTGTTTATATATCTCACTCTCATAGAGGGCGCTAGTTACACGGTTCGTACCGAGTAGTTTTGAACATAACTTTTTTGAGGTTAGATTTTTCAATCCAAATATGATATGAACTTGAACGTCATTCAATTTTATACCAAAAATGTACTCCTGGTGGAACTCGAAACTATGTTCCGTTTTCGGAATATTTCGATTTGAAAATAATGGAGTAGTAATGATGCTGGTATAAAATGAATTTTATTGAGTTCAATTACCTATTTATTCAGGTTCAAAAACAATAAAATTATTCTTGTGCTGAAGTTATTGATGGAACAAAAATCATAAGTAGAAAATTAAGAGATATTCGACTAGAAACATGAAATATTGAATCAGTTAGAGTAAGTGTTCAAAATATCCTACGTTTCGAGGAATACACTATTCTTTATTCTTTTTTTAAGACTGTATTATTCTTCTGAACAGTTGAGGATCAGCTGTTAGGTCATTTAAGTGATGTTCAATTAGGTCTCACAACTCTTGACGTGATTTTACCTATCAAGCATAGACTTTCTGCAGTTTCTGCTCAAGATACAACAAAACTGTGTAATCCATGTTCTTAGTCAAATCTGTTTCGATGTTTTTCTTGTGATTCATCGTTAAATCAATGAGTTTTGCATCAGAAATGAATTGTTGTTTTCGGTTTTCAATAAATAGGTGATAATTATTCATAATACTCACTCTAATACATAGCTTAATACCAGCAACAGTTACCACTTCATCATTTTCAAATCGAAATATTCCGAAAACGGAACACATTATCGAGTTCTATCAAGGGTACCTTTTTGGTGTGAAATTTAATGATGTTCAAATTCACATCAAATTTGGATTGAAAAATCCAACCTTAAAAAGGTTATATTTAAAAGTACTCGGTACGAACAGTGTAACTAGCGCCCTCTATGAGAGCCAGATATAAAAACAAATGAATGCGATGTGCCAGATTCCAAGAAATATCCATACAAAATTTCATCACAATGTTGCCAGTAGTTTCGACATAATCGTAAAAAATGTGTAAAAAAATATTTTTTCAACACCTTTTGTATCTTGAAAACGCATGGCGTTACGACATTCTTTTACTGAGCAAACCCAACTTATTTTGCAATTGTTATGTCCGACCATAAAGAAATGCCAGAGAAGAAGATGTTAGCTGTCTTGTCAAGCAATGTCATACTTACCTGTCATGTGACATGTTATCCCGCGCTTAGATATAATAAATACTTACTGTTTTAATAATAGCATTTTGCATAGTAAAATAAGCATTTCGATACACGAAGGAATATTTATTGTATTCTCTACCTCCAAGAATCCTAAGGGTATTTGTGTACCCGTCTCCCCAAAACACAACAGCAATGTTCTACCTACCCTAGCAAGGGGGTTAGGTTTTTTTTTAAACACCCTGTATAACATAGTTTATGAACTTTTGGATGATTTCCGTTTCAATTTTTAAATATGGGGTCATTTTATTGAATATCTACATCGAATATTCAACAGGTACTTGGGATAACGAGCCACCCATATGCCGTTCGAAAGAAGAACCAGCGGTTCCGAAATCAGAGTGTCCCATAGCTCAAATACCCAAACCTCCGAATAACGGTTTTATTGACCAGGATTCTTTGTATGCAGTCGGAAATGGTACTTCCAATCATGTCGAATATAGATGTAAACCCGGATTTAAACTTTATGGGGAAAACGTAACGACATGCATTATCGATGGATACTGGTCAGAGCCCAATATTTCTTGTAACGGTAAGAAATAGAATTCAAAAGAAGAATTAATATAAATGATATTCATTTTTGCAGCAATTGTTTGTGGAAATCCCCCTGTCTTCAGAAATATGATGATTAAGGAAAATTTGAAAAAATCATCTTACAAATTTGGTAATATGTTGTCTTATGTGTGTGATGAGGGTTATAATATGTTTGGTACTAATATGGTGAGGTGTATGATCAATGGAAAATGGTCAAGAATGCAAGGAAAGTGTATCAGTGAGTATAATCTATATCTATATCACAATTAAAAAAAAATCTAGCAGGACAAACATATTTTAGATTCTCGATCAATTCTTTGTCAAAATATAGAGAAGCGGTCAAAAACGGCCAGTGCTGTAATTTCTGAATCATTCAAGGTCGGATTTTGAAATTTCATGGATAGCAAGTATACCAATTCGCGTTTTTTTGACAGAACAAATTTTATGACATCACTTCCGGTTCAACCGGAAGCAAACCACAACTTTCAATTTTTGAATAGGATATGCACCATATAGGTATATTTCGACATTTCGATGAAAAAAATGTTTCTAGTGGGTGTAAAACAATTCCCTCAATCCGAATATAAAATAATATACAGGGTGTCCTATTTGAAAACCAAAAGTTGGGGTTGCTTTGTTAATGAATGAGTAATTATGGGTATAGTATATGCTATCCACCAAATTTCGAAATCTGACCTCGAATTATTCAGAAGTCCCAGGACTGGCCGTTTTTTGTGCACTTCGCTGTATAGGTGCGTTTTCATAATATTTATTTTCCAGAAAAATCATGCAGAAAACCTAATGTGAAAGAAGATACAGAAATCGTGGGTAAATCATATTTATATGGAGACACAGTTAAAATAACTTGCCAAAATGGTGTTACCTATAAATTGGTTTGCAATAAAAAAGGAATATGGGAAGGCGTGAGAGATGAGAGCTGTTAAAAAATAGAATCTACATCTCGCTCTTGAAAAAATGAAGTTTAAATTTCTTGAATGAATCTAACATTCCCGAAATCGGTAATGAGATTGTCGTGTTGTATACTTCCTTATATATTAATCCTTATATAGATGTAATAATTAAATTTTATATGTTGTAAGTAATCGCAGTAGGTATATTATTTCAAAGTGTGTTGTGTTAGTGATATCTTATCACCATTTTCCTGAAAATGTTCAAACATTATTTCTTTAGAAAACGGTAGGTGATTTACCATAGAGTTCTATACATTTTCATTCGAAATTTAAACACAACAATCTTTTATCAAGCTTTTTACGTTAAAAATCGATAAATAGTCTTTTATTATACAAGCGAAAAATGTAGTAGATTTTAGATCCAGGTTGTGTTGTCTCCCGGCGCGTAGCGGAGGAAGACAAAAAAATCATGAGCTAAAATCTAATATTTTTTCCCGTGTATAATACACTATTTTTTTCTGTGACAGAAGAGAGGACGAATCAATATTGAGAAGATATTACATTATTTTGAAATCTGAAAATTATCGACGTGAAATTTTAAGTTTTTAACAGTAGGGATACGCATGCATGATGCGTTGTAGGCATCTTTATCATTCTTTTGAAGTAATCAAATATCTGATGTCACTTCTGTCAGTCTAATTCTGTGATTTGATTTCAAAAAATTGCGAATTTAGTGGTTGTTTAGTAATAAACATAACCGCGAAGTCGAATGGAAGATAAAAGGACTTGCAGTTCTTTCTCGGAGACGGTATTATTGACTCATTTTTCGGAACTAAAGCACAACAAAAGCCATCAACAGTGTATATATATGTGATATATATCCGGGAAAAAAGCACTCACTTTTTTCCCACGGGAAAAAGTTATTTATGAAAAGTGACATTTTATAATAACCTGCCAACAGATGAAATGCCAAACTTTTTTTCCGTCAGAAAAAAGTATTTTGTGAGATATAGTAATTTATCAGAAGGAATTTCAATTCGCTGTACTTGAGTCCAAACGTTTTGTATTTTATTCTATATATATACTCTGTATCTATCAGGTCAGTGATTTTACAGCTAAAGTAGAGATTGCAAATTGTGGAAAGTCCAGTGTTACAATCATAGCTAGTTAAAATTTTGAGGCATAATTAATGTATCCATTGATACACAAAATTTAATTATTTAATGATTTCTGAAGATTTTTAAAACTGACTTTTTTTATCAGCACTTATCAGTGAATTCACCATCATGTTTCAATTCATCTTTGTTCGAGTCCAGCTGTCACAGTCAAGGTCACAGTTTTCACTCTTTCTGTCACTGTCACTGTCAAAATAATTTGTTGGGTTAGGTTTTTCTGTGGTTGGTTATGTAAAACGGAGTCTACTCTTCGAAAAACTAGTAAGCAACTAAAAAAATGATTTTGTTAAGAAGTTCGAGACAATTTTTATGTAACAGTGGTAGAAAACTACTAAAGGAAAACAATAATGTAACGCTAGTACGAACTATCACAAGTAGAACAACAAGGAGTGGAGAAGATAGTCATCCCCCAAAACCAAAACCATGGCCCTATAAAGAAAAAGGTTACAACCTTTTCAGTTATCTATATGATAAAACGACGTCTAGGTTGGACGAGAATTCAAAAGTAATGTGTGTTACCACATATCCATGCAAAATCAATTCAAAGTATTTCATTTCTAGATAATAGTTGTGGAGGGTCCTGTAGCATCTGGCAAGTCGAAATTTGCCAAGCAACTTGCTAATGAATTTGAAATGTTGTATTTGCCAGAGGCCAATCTGGATATGATGTACATCAACAGCTATGGATTTGATTTGAGAAAATTAGATGCTCAGTTGCCAGATAGTTGTAAGAGCTTTGATGTTATGGATTTCTTGAGAAATCCCAAACATGGACATGCTGCCAAATTCCAAATAGAGCAGTATATGGTGAAGTATGGAGATGAGAAACTGAGAAAATAGAAGTGAAACTCAAATTCAATTAATCTTTTACAGGCTTTCACAATATATAGATGCTTTAGCTCATGTCCTAAGTACAGGGCAAGGTGTTGTATTGGATAGATGTGTTTATTCAGACTTTGTATTTGCTGAGGCCATGTACAGCCAGGGATACATATCTAAACCTGGTAGGTAATTTTTCTGTATTTTGAGAAACTATAAATATCAAATGGTATTTTTTCCAGCATATAGAAAGTATTATGAATTTCGAGATAATACTATTGATGAACTCTTGAGACCCCACTTGGTCATTTATTTGGATGTCCCAGTACCTACAATTCTGGAAAATATAAAGAAGCGTGCTATCAGTTATGAAAAGAATTCTTCTGTTCTAACTCCTCAATATTTAGGAGTTATGGAAAAAAAATACAAGCAGAATTATCTGAAAGAAATCAGGTATGCTTAATAATTATTGAATAAATATACCTTCAGTTTGGGAAGGTCTATATGGATATTTTTTCCTCCAGTAAACATGCTGAATTGTTGGTTTATGATTGGTCAGATGAAGGTGATGTTGAAGTTGTTGTTGAGGATATTGAAAGAATTGATTTCAATAGGCATGATGATCAAGATCCTCATTTGAAAGATTGGGTTTACAGATTGGAAGAAGAATGGGGTTGCATAAGACATTTGTGAGTATTCTCTTTGACAAAGAACATTATTTAGATATTGTCATATTTTCAACCTTCTGTTGCAGGTATGCAGATAAAAAACATAGAATAATGAACATACCAATACCTTGTTTTGAAGTACCTGAGTTGTGTATTGATGCTTTAGAGGCTGATGTGTTTCACAAAGTTATGGCTGAGGTAAGAGAAGCCTAATTCACTGAATACTCTTCTGAAATAATTAGAAAAATCATTATGATAGTTTTTGTCACTATATTCTATATTTTTCACAGGCTCCTGGTGAACAGTACATGGAAGGATACAATGCCCATCTGGGAGATAGTGGTTTATTGTTTAGATCCAAAGCACCACACAGACACACTTTGCCCATGATTGAAAGGAGGTAGTTTATATACCTTATTATCCAATTTTTTATTAATGTCAATTTTTTTTACAGAACTATGAAATGAAGTAGGATAATTTTTTATGTATGATTGAACAAGTATTACAAATAATATAATACCTACAGTTTGAACATTATGTTTTTGTGATTTGTTAAATAATATTATGTCATAGTCATCAAACAGTTCCATTCTCCAGTTTCTTTCTGGATCTGTGTTCTGGATTCATTAAAATGGAATAAAAAAGCTAAGTTATATTTTGATTGAAAATCCACTTTTTCTCCTTACCTCCTGTTTTCAATTGCCTATCCATGTAATAAAAAAGGGAATAAAACAATCATAAGTATTTCACAGTTTTTATCCCATTATGCCTGAAAATGTTAATAATCTACTTGCTAACTTTAGTATAACATTGAAAAAAAATCATTTTTTTCTTGGAAAAGATAATTGCAAAATACTGTACAATCCATCTGCAAGTCCAATTGCAATGAGTAGAGTTGTTATACTCAATAAAATTACATCTGGTGCCCCATTCTTTTTATAAACTGGTACTCCATCGTCTATTTGAAATCTCTCATATTTCTTCCTCATGCTTTCAGACAGGAACCTCTTGGACTGCTTTGGAATAGGGGATTTTTCTGTAACCTAAGCAGTGAAGAGTATTATTCATCAGTCCCCTAAGTTCATTTATTTTCATATTTACTATGAATAATAATTTCAAATCTTGCCAGAGTAGCAAAACATGAAGTATTATTTTTAACTCAGAGGACATCCTGTATATTAGCGATGAGCACATCTCACATTATTGATAATAATCAGGTAGTAATTATTATTACATAACATTGTTAGTATAAAAACTGTTAGGATAATTATTGAATCAGTACATAATATAGTGGAGGTAAGTAATATGTTAGGAAACGAAATATTTCAATAAACCTTCACATTATGATTTGAAATTTAAGATAGAAAACTCACTTGGGTACATATTTTAGTTAGATTGAACAACTTTGTCGCCATTGTGTTGCTGCAACAATAAATAATTGCAATGAGTTGAGTCTATTTTTAATCAACTTCAATCCTATTTCCATTCAATCAATAGGGGGTAGGGGTATGGATGTGAGACATTGGGATTAATTTTCTACTCTATAAATAATACAATTGTTTCAACTTTTCCTAACATTCTACATTATTTTCTTGAATGATGACAATGTGAAAATTCATGAAAATAACTATTTCCATTTTGGACGATTTTGTAGAAATTTTTAAACGAAAAAAAAAACAAAACTACAACTTGATAATTTGTCTTGAAGAAACATAAATAATAATGATAACATAAACGATTTTATATTCTTGATTCTTCATCTTTCAATAGATTTTTGTAATTTGTGTAGACATAAAGGATTAGGTTTTCCAATTTTTTGTATTGTTTCATGATTATTTATTTATTGAACAAATAACTTCCAGACAGAATAGGCTCTGGTATAAGAAAGTACATATAATTATATACCTATATAAGTAAACATAGCATCATTCAAAATATATCAACAGCTGTAAATTGGCAAACAAAGAATAATATTTGTAAAAAAAATGGCATGATTAATTTTATCCAGTTCGCTCAGAAATAATCAGTTTTTTACTTCATTTTAATTCAGTTAAGGCTGAATGAGTTAATCTTTTATGTCCGAATATGGAGCTAGCGGCGTCAAGATGAAACAAGTTATATATATTGTCTAATAGTTTCATGATTATGAATTTCAGAATTCCGTATCAAAATAATATTCGACTTCAATTTTTTATTTATGATAGTATATGATATTTTAAGAGTTTCAATTCTATATATTTCATCTAAAGAATATGTATTTGTTATTTCATACAATTGATTGGGAGAACGATACAATACTAACGATTTTCTATATAATGTTGATATTTTATTGAAATTATTTTTTGAACAAATCCCCAAACATTTATTAAATAGTTGATACGACTCAGTATATGAGAGTTGAGAATCATGTTTGGAATTTTAATATCAAGTTTGGGACATCTTCTCAATGCACCAATAATTGGAGATTTTTTTTTGTTAGAACATCAATATGTTTGTCCCACTTCAACCTGTCATCAAACCAAATACCAAGATATTTTATCTGGTCAGTTTGTTTTAAGAGTTCATTTTTTATTTTAAGGTTGAGGTAAATGTTTTGTTTATTTTTTTGGTGAAAAATCATATATATTCTGTTTTGTTAGTATTTGATAAAAGGTTAGATTGGAGCCATTTTTCAAATATTTTCAAGTCTTCATTTATCATACTTTCTAAATTTGAAGGATTCTTGCCTTCATATAAAAGTACTGTTTCATCTGCATACATATGGTATATTTACAAGCTAGACCAATTTTACTGATATTTTGAACATAAAGTAAATATAGTATAGGTCCTAAAACAGAGCCTTGTGGGACACCCTTAATTGATTTATAATAACAATAATGAGAATATTTTATTGAACAACAATGTTCAAATGGCTATATGGACGGAATTCCTATTGTAAATTGATTTAAAATAACAGGTGAATTGAAAAAAAAATCCATTGATATAATGGCTTTAATATAACAATCATATCTCTTACAAAAATGTTATCAAAAAGACAGTAATAGATAAATTTCATAAATTAGATACAATGAGAATCATTTATAAAACTCATTTTAAGATGGTTGAAACTGAAAATGAATAACTAGGAAGTTACCAGTCCACTTGTAAATCTTCCTAACAACTATCAGACATATTTTGAACTATCTTCAACACACTTGGCCTTCTGATGTTGTGGATTTGCTTGATGGAATGCTGATTTTTTCAAAAATTGAAGTTCTCAATGGCATGTGGGGTGACAACAAATTTGGGTCTCCAAACATTGTTAAGGGCAACTTCAGCTCCTTGACTCCACATTCTTTATTTGTATATTCTCTTAGTACATAATCAGTACTGAAATCATGGAACAGTCTAGTGTCATTTATCCGCACCATAACATTGTCCACTCTCAGAAAATGTCTGAGGAGAACAAAAAAGGAACTAGGCATAACTCTCTGGAAACAAAATTACACACCAATATTATATTTCTAAGACATGCCCCATCAAAATCAATAAAAATATATTCAATTGATCTACCCCCTTCTTGAATATTTGTTACTCACAATTTTAATATTGCAGGAGGATATACCATTATCATGCAATTCATCTTCATATAGCATAAGTTCTTGATAAAACAAAATTTTCTCCTTTTCCTTTAGTTTTTCTATATCTATTCTCTCTTCAGTTGGACTTACTTTTGTTTCATCAGATATTGTCCCTCTATAATCTGAAGAAAATGTCCAATCAAATGGTTTGAGTTTTTCTGTTAAATTTTCTGGTGCTCTACAAATCAATGTAAACTGGTCACTTCATAGGATATGTATTTATTCAATTATTCTATTACAAGTTGGAGTGATTGCAATTAGGTACCTTGATTCTTTCCATGTGTCTGAACAGGCCACTTTGATCTGGTGTTCTTTTCCATTACATACCATTTTTAGAGCCCCCAAGGCATTGAACTCTATGGAGACACCAGACAAATGTGATAGAGTTAGTTTGTTATTAGGAAAAACCATCTCTGGCAAATGAGGTAATTGTAATTCTTTCTCAAACCTAATAAATGAAATGAATAGATGATAACTGATTACCAAGACAATTTCAGTTTCTTACAAACAAAGAAGACACTGTTCATTTGGAGTAGAGTTGCATACATCTTTAGTTGGGCAGATTGAATGAAGAATGTGTGATTTTGTATACTTCATTGTCCAATCATTGATCTTGTATTCTTCCGAATCAACTGGTAGTCTTTGAATTTCAATTTCCCCTTTATCATTTATGGTACACATTTTTTATATCTGTTGCTATAATATGAATTACCTTCCAATAAAAGAGTGCAGTTCAAAAGGATAGTTACCAAGTGCTAAAATATGTACACGTTTAGCTGCACTTTAAGCAGTTTCAACTTTTGAATCATAAAGATTCGTAGATTCGGCTCTTTTCAGTATTTTTTAACATTTTTGCTTTTGATTTTTTGGAGGGTTTTTTGATTTTTTTTGTTTGTTTTGATGGTTATGACAGTTTTGACATTGAAATATTGAAAATTGAAATTTGTTGACATTTGACGAGAAAATCATAAAAAAAGAAGAGTGATACAAATTGACATGAAGGAGCTTAGATCCCTGTATGATCTAAGTGAAGGAGAGGGTTTTATAATTTGTTTGGTTGCTTTTCTGAAATCTCCAAATCTCTTATGCGGCATCTCTTTTCAATACCTGATTATTTATATAATAGAAGGAAAAAGATATATTCTGGAATCTTCCAGAATAATTCATATTTATCAGTTGGCTATACTGTCCACGAGGACGAGCAGTTTGTTAACTCTGATGTTGAAATTAACAAGCAAATTTGGTAAGGTGTTCAATAAACGTGAACGTGTGCCGGCACTATTTTCACGAAATATCGAGCCTTTATTCGAAATTTGATAATTAGTTATTGAAAGCATCAATTTGAGTTATCGAATTGTGTAATTTATTTGTAATTAGGTATCTGGTATTGAAATGGCTGCAATGTCTGTGATAGGAATTGACTTGGGAAACGAGTCATGCTATGTTGCTGTAGCTAAAGCTGGAGGAATCGAAACTATTGCAAATGACTACAGTTTGCGGGCAACTCCGTAAGTATTATAACATTTTGCATGTACAAAATTCTGGAACTTGAGTTTCCTGATTCAAAGTTGATGAAATTTGGAATTGACACTTCATGGCAACCTTGATTCTGTTTTTGTTCCCTTTCTGTATTATTTGCCTCCAAATTTGGACGAATTACTCATAATTTGTGGGCGATTCAGGTTGATAAATTTATTTATAGGTCATTTGTTGCCTTCTCTGGGAAGAATCGTATTCTTGGGGTTGCTGCTAAGAACCAGCAGGTCACCAACATGAAGAACACTGTATATGGCTTGAAACGACTTCTGGGAAGGAAGTTCAGAGATCCTCATGTTCAAAAAGAAATACCAATGCTCCCCTTCACTGTTGTTGAAGAAAAAAATGGGGGAATTGGGATAAAGGTAAGCTGAAACATCTTGAATTCTTAGTAGTCTTGCTTGACATCCTAGCAACAGTGAGAATTTCTATGAATACCTACACCCAGGAATAGTAGTCCAAAACCCAAAAAAACAAGGCACAATAATCATAATAAGTAAATTAAATTAATTACTTTTATCATAAATATTGTATGATTTTCAAGTTTTGATGATTTGGAATTGGAGAAATGAACATTAATTTATATTACAATGAACTATCACTGGTTTATTTCTAACATTTTGTTTCTGGTTTCTCATTATAAGATTGACCAAATATTTTATTATATACAAAATTTGAATTCAATTACTTTAAAAAAGAATGAATGATGTCCACATTATGTTATTTCATGTAACTGAATTTATGAGTGATAATTGGAATAATCAGGGCAAGAATACCAACCTGATCACAAAACAAACATATTCTTTGTGAACATCAGCAAATGAAGATGGTACATCTGCTCAAAATATAGGTATTTGAAAGGACATTTCACAATTTTTTTTTCAATTATTCTATAATCAGCAAGAAAAGATTATATTTAATTCAAGGATACTAGGTTTGATAGGGTATAATTTAACAAGTTTATAGCTCAGAACTATTCTTGAAAAAAACACTTTCAAAATTAGTAATTATTCATATTTATATTTTCTATTCAGTACTAGTCAAAAAATTATGTTCTGTAATTTGTGTGAGATATTGTCTTTTCCACTCAAAATTATCATTATATGAACATTTTGGTGCCTACTTGTATTGTGAAGAAAGAAGAAACAACAATTTTCTGCAAGAGATAATGGTCTGTTCAGATGGCCTTTACATAATATACTTTGATAAATGCCAAATGTTTATGTTAGGCATCATGCATATTGTATTTCCAGTTGTATAAATTTAATAAAATGCATGCAATTTCATTATACATATTGGTTGACAAAATTACTTTTTTATATGACCAATGAAAATGTATGGATGAAATTTAAAGACCTTGTGGTTATTACCTTGATAATCTTCATCATTTCCCAGAAACAATGTACATGTTAATAACAGTGAGCATAGAATGATAAACAATTGAAGGTTTCTCAATCAATTTGATAATGAGTTATCTTTATTATTTATATTGAAGCAGGTATTCACATTGTCCAAAACATTTCTTCATATGAAATAGTAATGCATCTCTTTCACACTTACTAATCTATATATGAATATGAATAAAATATAGGTAATTTTAAATACATGAACAAATTGTTGAATAAATGTAATGCTGTTTATCTGAGTTGAGCTAAATTTTATTATTAATTTTTTAGTGAGACTGTTGGAACATTCATGTCATTACACAATATTGATACTAATAATAATAATTATTCTTTATTGAATTGAATACACATGAAATGCAATCAGTAATACTCAAGTCTACTTGCTATCAACCAAGGTCCTTCAGCCTTTGAATATACACCAATATACATACCGGGTGATTCTCAAAATCGGCTCACCCCTATACCTGTCTTGTTTCTACAGATAATCCTATGAAATTCAGTGTGTAAGTATGGCACATTATAAATGCATTATTTGATGTATTCAATTGTTTTCTGTCACTTCCGGTTTAACCGGAAATGGCTCATTTTTTCAATTTGAATGGGACCCCTGGTTTATTTTTACTTATTTCCATAGAGAAATCACATTATGAGTACAATTACTCTAACTTATTATTTCACAGTAAAGATCTGACAAGTGACAATAAAAAATTTCATCATTAACAATGGAGCTTGATGGCCATCACAATAAACTATTATAGCTTTTAGGCAGATTATGGTAATGAATACTGATTCAAAATATCGATTGTGGTATCATGTGCTCCTAAAAAACTCCCTTTTCATATGGTAATGAGCCACCCTTGTTCCTTTTTCTATTTGAAAATTTTAAACCAATCTCTGTAACAAATGAAAAGTGAAACTTCATCAAAAGAGTTTTTCCTTGACAACTTGATTCAAAATCAACTGTTTCAACTCATTCCCGGCGCTCTAGATTGGAAAATGAAAATTCCAGGATGATAAATGTCAAAATGGTGGCAAATGGGGTGTCATTGTACTCACAATGTGATTCTCTATCGAAATAAGTAAAAATATACCGGGTGTCCCATTTGAAATAAGAAAATAACAGCCATTTCCGGTCGAACCGGAAGTATTTAAAAACAATTGAATACGTCATATAATGCATTTTCATGTTCTATACTACTCACACAGTTAACTTTTTTATTTGTAGATACAAAAAATGTATACATGAATTGAAACACACCTCATTAAGGGCTGCTGTATATAAAAGCGGTGAGGCTCTAAATCCGGTAAATTACAGACCAATAGCTTTGATGAGTATTTTTCCAAAATACTCATGAAAGTTATAAAAAAGAGAATTGTTGATTTCATCAATGAAAAATATGGGTTTTACTTGAATCAACTTGGTGTTGAAGAGAAAAGTGGTACACAGTCAGCAGTTTCACAAGTAATCAATTTTATACAAGACATACTTCACAAAGGAAATTATGTAGTAGCTATTTTTAAAACCTGGATACAGTTGACCACAATATTTTCCTGAGAAACCTTAATTCAATGGGCATTAGTTGTATTGGAAACAATCTCTTGAAAACATATCAAGAAAAAAGATTTATCAGTACTAAAATCAATAATTGTGAATCTAAAATACTATATTATATGAACAAAGGAGTTCCCCAAGGATCAGGGTTGGACCCAATTCTGTATCTTTTATACATTCAAAACATCTCAAAAATCAATTTAATAGGAAACTATCCCATACATGCAGATGACACAGTACTTTTATTTGAAAACAAAAACCCTGTAATTTCAGAAAACAACATAAATGAGGATTTAAAGAAAATTGAAGAATGGCTTTACTCCAATCTCCTTTGTATTAATTCTAATAAGACACAATATATAACTTTCCATCACAGAAATAAACAAGATATTGATTTGAATACTAAAATAAAAATTGAATGATTCAAACAAACTGCCTATACCAAATACCTTGGTATGTGGATTGAAGAAAAGTTAACATGGGACTAGCATATTGGCATGCTCAAAGACAAAAAAATCTATAATTAAATTCTCCTATAGTTGGTGTCCTAAGAAGATGTCCAAAACTTAACCCAAATATAGCAGAATCTCAATTTTTTTTTATTACTGCACTTAAGACCAGTGGCGGCTCCTCAGAGGAGGCAACGGAGGCTGAGCCTCCTCAGAGAATTTCCTTAAACTGATATTATCTATACTTTCTCATTAAAAGGACACCAAAATACATGGATTTTGATTTTAGTTCCTGTTTTTAGGTAAATATTTTTGAATTGGCAACAGTGCTTGCCCACGCATCACACGTTGAAGTCTGCAAATCACGTGTAAAATATTCAACTTGGCAACATCTATAGGAGGCTAGACTCCTTCACAATTCAAAACCCACGCGCGCAATGCAAATGCCCGAATACGCCCGAATAGCACGTGTTTGTCGTGTCGCGTCGCGAATTGCGGACAATCCAGCGCGAGTACATTGTTTATGTTTATGTTAGGTTAATGGTTAGGGGCTCTATAAATTTCTGAAAAACGATTGCGATTTAGTGGAATACTTTTTGGTGAACCCATTCGGTGCTTTGTCTTATGAAAATAAATTGATTGTGGAAAACAAACAAAATCGTTCATTCAATTCTGATAATTATAAAAAATATATCTGGTTGACGCGATCTGAGGTAAGGATACGCTATTTTGTTGGTACTGCGTATTATTTTCAACCGATAAGTCATCATGTTGGGGGCGATTAGGATATAATGATTTAAAAAATTTGCCTCGCGGATTGGATAGACACTGCAAATCACAGGAACACATCTCTTCAAGTATTAAGTTCAGGTTAACTGGTAAACAGAATGTCATTAAAGCTATTGATTTGGGTGAGTAGAGAGTTGATTTTCACAATAAATCTCATACCATTCAGCCTCCTCTGTCATGAAAGTCACGAGCCGTCACTGCTTAAGACTCTTAGGTCTTAAATGTTTAAATGTTAAATCCTTAGTGCTAAAAGTTTTTATATAGTCATCCTACAACATAAGCCCGTTTCTATTTCAGGTAAATTATTTGAACGAGGAACATAAATTTTCTCCAGAGCAATGTCTAGCCATGTTGCTCACCAAACTAAAGGAAGTCGCAACTACCGCTCTCCAGACTCCAATAAATGATTGTGTTATTTCCGTACCCTCATACTTCACTAACAATGAACGAAAAGCCTTACTTGATTCGGCTACTATTGCAGGTATGCATAATATTTCCCCAAAACTTTAGCTTTATTGTCCTATAATTATGTTCAATCACGTATCAGGTATGGTATAATATTTTGGGGTTTCAGTAGTACAGCAACTCAAATCTTTAATATGACAAAAGAGATGCATAAAAAGAATATTTAACAAGAAAATGACTGATAGCTGTAAACCTTTATTCATAGGATAAAAAATAATGACTGATATGTCTCATAATATGTGAGTCAGTAATGTTTGTTGTGGGAAACATGGACTTATTTGCAGGATATACTAGAGATCATCATGTACATCATATGAGACACAATTATCATTTATTGAATATGAAAACTTGAAAAAATATACCATTTACTGTGATACAAATTTATAATAAGCTACCAAAATCGCTCATATTATTGCTTAAAAAAAAAACTCAAACTTGAACCGAAAGATATTATTATATCAAAATCATATTATACAATAAAATATTTCTCTGATAGTTGGCAACTATAGATTGCATTTTAATACATCTACATCATTTATGTGATATTTTTATGTCTGAATTGATGTCCTACATACACTTTTGTAATATATCTGTATTGTATTTGTACTATTATCATTTGATATTCTTTTGTTATTTTTTGTGTACCTATATATTATGTATTGACAAGTTCTACGTCTATTTTTTGGCTTTGATTTCAAACAACAAATAAAGATTATCTATCTATTATTTTCTTACAACTGTCAAAAAAACTGCACTTTTTGAATATTTTTATTTGCCAAAAGTGTACAATTTCTCTATATCAAAATACTGTTTAATTATTTTACAGAAAAGTGTGAAAAATCTTCACTTTTTTCATGGTTTTCGCTAGCCACACACCACACACTTCGGTTTTGCGTTATTTTAGTTCAAACATACTTGTTCAACGATCAAAACAGCCCACGAAAGATGCAGTCTATGGGCTCCTTCACGGGATTCAGCAAGGCAGCAAGCGAACAAATCAAGGCAGGTGACTTAGTATTTCGTATGGAGTGCCAATGCAATAGAAATGGGAGCGGGAAGAAGGCGCAACGATATCCTCACGTATTAGATAATAATACGCTCGCATCTCATGTATGATTTGATCAGCATAGCTGAAATCGAGCGGGATGATTCAAATTAGGTGTTATCAATAAAGTGACATGAAATGAGTAAATGTACCTGATGATAATTGCGAAATATCATTTCATCTTTTACATCATAAGTTGAATGAGGTTGTACTCCTTTTTGACAGTTGTAGGAAAATATTGTATGTTACACGTGCGTAAAGTATTTTTTTTATTCATAGGAATTGCTGCATGAATAACTAGTAATTGTGACATGAATAACTATTTTTGCATTTTGTGGAGGGTCTTACAACAAAGACCGGTCGATGTTGTAATTGAATAAAACAAGCTGTGGGTGAGATATTTACGATTTTTTTATTTTATTTGAAAGGCCCATTTATGCCATTATTTATGGAATATGACATCGTTCAAATGTCCGCCGCGTCTTCGAACGGTAGCACGCATCCGAGAGGTCCAATTTTCAATGACTGCTGCATAAATCCGGCTGAAACTGGGCATCGGTCGATTGCGGCTTATTAACATAGGCCTCGTCGCTATAGATTATTTTTCGTTCAAAATCGGGGTCCTCTTCCAAACGTTCCGAAGCCCACTGAGCGAACAAACGGCGTTGCCTATGGTCATTAACTTTGAGCTGCTGGGTCAGTTGGATCTTGTACGGGTGCAGGCCCAAGTCCCGGCACAAAATTCTTCAAGTCGAAGTCTATTATCGGCCGATCTGGCGATCCTTTGACGTAAGGGTGTTGGTTGTTTGTTTACCCAACCGGTTGTCTCGAATTTGGCTACCAAACTTTGGAGAGTCGACTTTGAAGGGCCACCGCGTCTGCCGTAAAATGGACGCAATGCGAGCAACGTTTGCACTAACGAACACTCATTTTGATAATAAAGTTCAATCATTCGGACTTTCTGCTCGATCGTGTAACATGCCATGGTAATTTGGCATCAGTGACTGAATAAAATACAACTGATTTGACAGATGCCCCCAAAAAAACATGGCCGCCACACACTGTCAACATCGACTGGTCCTTGTTGAAAGACCCTTTACATTGTCCTAATGTATCGTTTTGTTTCAAGGGTTAAACGTACTAAGGCTATTTAATGAAACGACAGCCACTGCTCTGTCCTATGGCATTTACAAACAAGATCTCCCTGCCCCAGAAGAAAAACCCCGTAATGTTGTGTTCGTCGATTGCGGGCATTCTTCATTGCAAGTTTCTGCTTGTGCCTTCCACAAAGGCAAACTGAGAATGATAACTACTGCTTCTGATGCCAACTTGGGCGGCAGAGATTTTGATTTGCTCATTGCTGATCATTTTGTGGAACAGTTCAAGACCAAGTATAACATTGATGCTAGAACTAATCCAAGGCAAGGGATAACTTTTTCAATTTAGGATTCCACCAATAATACTTATTTTCTTCATAGGGCATTTTTACGGTTACTGGGCGAGGCGGAAAAGTTGAAAAAACAAATGTCGGCCAATTCCACTACTCTGCCCTTGAACATTGAATGTTTCATGAATGACAAAGATGTATCTGGCACTATGAAAAGAACCGACATGGAAGAGATCGCCGGTCACTTGTTTGAAAGAGTTGAAATCACCTTGAAACGGTGCTTGAGTCAGTCAGGTGAGTTCACAAGTTACCATCATGACAATGGATTCCTCATTGCAGTGAAATTTCATTACTCATTACTAACCTAGCAAGTAACAATCATGTGTGAACCATTACTTATCTGGACAAATATCAAATTCATCTGCAATTATATATTTCATTCATATGTACTTTTGTTGTCATTTATCTTAACTTATTTATCACTTCTGTCATTTATCTTTATTCAAATATGTCAATGTATAACAGGCTGAAGGACTCCGGTCGGTGGCCTTTTGGATAACCAATAAAGCACATTTATTATTATTATTATATTTATGAACATGGCAAAAATGAAAACTTGAAAAAATACATTGTAGATTATATCATTTTTATCTCTTGTTACAATAATTATGTTTTTCCACCACTACCTCTAGGACCTACCATTATTTACTCCTTTTCAAGGCGTAATAGTTATTTATGTATCAAGGGCGTAAGGTAGGCGTTTATGGCCTGTGGCGTGAATGATGGCCCGATGGCGCTAGCCGAGGGCCATTACACGCCTACTTTATTTATTATTTCATTAACCTACATCAAATGATCAAAATGTTCTCCGTTGTTCTCCAAGCATTTCAAAACTCTTCGCCGTTTGTTGTCGAAAATGTTCCTCAACGTTTCCGGGCCAATATTTTGGCAGCAATGTGTTATTGAGGCTTGCAGCTCTTCAAGGTTATTATTGTCTCTCTTGAATACTTCGTCTTTCAAATATCCAAAAAGGCTGAAATCCAAAGGCGTCAAATCTGAAGAACGTGTTGGAAATGAAGGATTAACTCCTCGACTTATCACACTGTTGTCATAAAATTCTTGTAGGCATTCTAAATTTGCACGTGTGGTGTGGGCAGTGGCCCCATCATGCTGAAAATAGCCAACTCGAATTTCTCCATCATCAAGTTGATTGATGAATGGTTCTAACATCACTTGTCTGTACCTTTCACCATTGATAGTGCTATCGAAGATAATCGGTCCATATATTCGCCTACGAGAAACTGCTAACCACACCCCAATTTTTGGGAATGTAGTGGAGTCTCAATGAAATTGTGGGGATTCTCAAATCTCCAAAACCAAAAATTTTTTGAGCATGTATCCCGACAAATGAAACCAAGCCTCATCGCTGAAAAATGCTAGGTCCAATAGCTGGTCATCGTTGAGATTATTTTGGAACCATTGGCAGTACTCCAGACGACGTGGGATATCTATTGGCAGAAGTTGCTGTAGTACACTGGTCTTGCAAGGGTGCATATGCAATCTTTTCTTGAGCACTTTATTGCATGTACTTAGTGGCACACCAGATTGTAGAGATAATCTCTTCAATGACGTTTGGGGATTTTGCTCAACACGCGCCCTTAGATTTTCGACAACTTCTTCCGATATTTGGGGCCTTCCTGTTGATTTCTTTTTATTAACTTTTCCAGTTTGGATGAATCTGTTGATAACTGTTCTGATGTGGGCTTTCAAAGAAGATTCTTGAATCTGTACATTAGGATATTTCGCCAGGTAATCATCCTTGCAGGCTACTACCGAGTAACTCCATCCACCATTGATTCATGTGCCATTTCGACAATAAGACATTACAATAAATGTATTCTGCTCCGAGGAATAAGCCATTCTCTTTTCAACACGACAATCACGAAGTAGAAAACAGAATCGTTTGAAATTAAATTCGAATGTGTGAATCTCCATAAATGAAAGGCGGCAAATGGAGGAAATATTTCAACGGCTACTACGATGTTACGATCATTTATAGAAACCCTGTAATAAACCTTTCTAGGGAATATAGGCTTTATTCATCATAAAACTTATGTGAAAGTATCACAAATAATAAGACGTCAAAATGTCAGAATATCACCACATAAATAACTATTGTTTTGGTTTTTAGGATTAACCGTGGACGAAATCCATTCCGTGGAAATAGTCGGCGGTTCCTCCAGGATCCCATCGATCAAACAGCTGATCGAGAAGGTGTTCAAGAAAGTGCCGAGCACCACTCTGAATCAAGACGAAGCAGTTAGCAGAGGATGTGCTCTGCAATGCGCGATGCTATCGCCTGCTATCAGAGTACGCGAATTCAGCGTCACCGATGTCCAAGTACGAATACGTTTTTTTCTAAGAAGATTAAAAAAAAAAGTTGATGATTGCTACTCGCAGACAAAATGTCAAATCACAAATCTATTGATACCATTGGATGGAGTGGAAAAAGTGACAATGATAAAATAAAACTTATTTTGTCATATCACTCCAAATGAAGTCAGAAAAAAATGAAAGGAAATCGCGGATATGTTTTTTTTTTCAAATATCTTCGGAAGCATTGGGAATTTCCAAACTTTTGAGGCGGCATTTTGATCAGCATAAAATTGCGCAACTTTGTCCTAATTTAACCGACTTTTTATCTTTTATGGTAACCAAGATCCCAATGATATATTTGTATATAACTGGTTTGGTAAACAATCAATATCCTATTGAGTTGAAAAATATAAAGGGAGCAGAAAAATTGAAGAAATTTGAAGAAATATCTACTCAGTATTCCGTACTAATAATAATTCACAATTTGATGATACTATTTTCTTTTTTTTTTTTGAGAAAAATTATTGTGCAATAATTATTCTGATTCATTATGATATATCTGTTTTGTTGGATACAGTGTGGTCATTTAAGTGTGCAACATATGGGAATCTTTTTAATGAATTGCACAACCAAAATACAGATAGTGCCGAAAGTTGGTGCATGTTCAGTGATCATTTTAGGTGCACTCAAAATGGTTGCAAGTCAAACAGCATACCGGGTAGGTCGAAAAATATAAAAATTGTTCAAGAGTAATGTACCCTTATTTCAGAAAATACAGCAAAATGTTAATGAGAAAAGTTGTTTGCAATTGAAAGTTATGCCAAAATACCAAAACATGGCCTCCTATGACATATTTGAGTTTAAATTTTTTTCGTTAATATCCCAATTTGTAATTTTTTTTATATTCACCCTAGACACTTCCATAAGTTAATCATAACAAAATCAGTTGATCATACCTTTGTTCAAATTCAAGCATATTTGTGCAATTAACTTGGATTTTAATTTTTTTAGGGAATCAAAAACGTTATGTTTGTTGCAAAGATATTTAGCTCAACTTGAAAATTTCGCAATCCATATTTTCAACAAGGTAATACGTCATTAATGATGATTTGCAAATTCAAAAACTTTCTTTGATGTGAACATTTTGTATTTGAAATGTTTATGGAAAAGCTGTACAAATCAATCAACAACCATGATAACATTGAGACAGTTTGGTGACATTAACTTCTCATCTAATGATGTTTTACCTTGTTGAAAATATGGTTTGCGAAATTTTAAAGTTAAGCTGAATATCATATCGTTGCAACAAATTAAAGTTTGTGATTCCTTAAAAAAGTTAAAATCCAAGTTGATTTCACAAATATTCTTGAATTTGAACAAAGGTATTCTCAACTGATTTTGTTATGATTAACTCATGAAAGTGTTTAGGGTGAATTTTAAAAAATTACAAATTGGGAAATTATTAACGAAAAGAATTGAAAAACTAAAAAATGTCTTGGGAGGCCATGCTTTGGTGTTTAGGCATAACTTTCAATTGTTAACAATTTTTCTCAATAGCATTTTACTGAATTTTCCGAAATAAGGGTACTTTACTCTTGAGCAATTTTAACTTTTTTTGACCTACCCTGTATGCTGTTCGACTTGCAACCATTCCAAGTGCACCGAAAATGATTACCGAACGTGCACTTTGGTTGTGCAATTCATTAAAAAACATTCCCATATGTTGCACACGTGAATGACCACACAGTATATATGTATATCCCTATTATAAACATAAACAATAATGTTTCTTGGGATAATGAAGACAATCAATTGAAAATATCTATTTCCGGATATTTCAGGTTGGTTTATCGACTTTTTTTTCAGGCTTATCCAATTACCGTGGCTTGGGATGCAAGTCCTGGCGGTGAATCTGCTGGTGAGATCGAGGCTTTTCCTTTGAATCATGCCGCACCTTTCTCGAAGATGTTGACTTTCTACAGACAGGAGCCGTTTTCTATCAGGGCTAGATATACGGGCAACATACCTTACCCTGACCATGAAATAGGTACAGCAAATTGTTGATTTACTGGATCTTTAGGTCCGGAAATTTCAAGAGAATAGTATATTGTGCACTAGATTTGTAATTAGCGTCCGATTTTATTCAAATTCGGTATCTGGTGGTTCTCGGGGTAGGAATAAAGATTATGATTCGTTCGTCGAAATTAGGAAATTCAAGATGGCGGACCCAATATGGCGGACGAGTATTGTAATTATGATCCGACTCTCTTCAAAATTGTTATCTGGGTGTTTTCGGGGTCGGATATTCATCAGAATTTGGAAAGGCCGGGAATTGGAAATTCAAGACGGTGGAACCAATATACCGGACGAGTTTTGTAATTATATACCGATTCTATTCAAAATTTGTAAGTGGTCGTTTTTGGGATCAAAAATTAGGATTCCGTCGTCAAAATTATGGAATTCAAGATGGTAGATCCAATATTGCGGACGAGTTTTGTAATTATGTTCCGATTCTATTCAAAATTTTCATCTGGGGTTCTAGGAGTCGGATATTATGATTCTTTCGTCAAAATTGGGAAATTCAAGAGAACTTGAAAGAAGTTAAAATAAATGGTAATTTGGAAAACGAAAGAAACACGCTTTTATAGATAGCGAAACTAAAAAGTAGAAAATAAAATAATAATAGTGTCTTGATGAATATTGAACTGAAAAAATATATCATAGAAATAATGTATACAGGGTGTAAATTTGAAAACTTTCAATGCGAATATCTCGCGAAATAAAAAAGTTTGGGAAACGCCGTTTGGCACAAATGCTACAGAGTTAGGGGGAACTAGAACCACCATACTTCAGTAAAGGGATGAGTCACCCCGTCGGCGCGACACACTCCATCTTTGAAATGTCAAATGGCACTACCTCTTTTGTGATACCTCAAATGAACGGTCTCAGTCAGTAGTATTCACCTGTACAAGACTTATTTTCCACCCACTACAGGGTGAACGGAAAACATAAAGTCTAATAAAATAAAATGCAGAATGCCGATATATTTCAAGAGATGTATTCCGAAATGTTAGAATGGCATTTGAACATCGATTATACTATTGCTTACAACAGAATGGAATGCATTTTGAACATCTGATCAAATAAAATATCCTATTAACACAATTCATTTTATTTTATTCGACTTTATATTTTTCGTACACCCTGTAGTGGGTGGAAAAAAGTCTTGTACAGGTGAATACTACTGACTGAGACTGTTTATTTGAGGCATCACAAAGAGGTAGCGCCATTTGACATTTCAAAGTTGGGGTGTGTCGCGCCGACGGGGTGACTCATCCCTTGACCGAAATATGGTGGTTCTAGTCCCCCTTAGCTCTTTAGCATTTTTGCCAAACGGTGTTTTTCTAACTTTTTTATTTCGCGAGATATTCGCATTGGAAGTTTTCAAATTTACACCCTGTATAGCAAAACAACGTTTGCGAGGTCTGCTAGTTGACTATAAAAGCTGTGGACCTTATTAGTAGCAGCACAAACGAACAAACCTTATATCATTAAGTCTTGAAGTCCTTATAAAGTGGTCCTTGACGTTACTGATAGTGTGACAGTCATTGGTACCATCACATCGACCCAAAATATAAATTCTTCTCTCCTTCCTCCAGGCACTTGGGTGATCAAAGACATCCGGCCGAACGCCGACGGCAAAGCGCAAAAGGTCAAGGTCAAAGTGCGCGTCAACCTGCACGGCGTGATGACCGTGTCGAGCGCCTCGCTCTACGAGGCCAAGGAGGCCGTGGAGCCGGACGCGCCCGACGACGACCGATCGCCGCCGAAGGAGGAGCCGACGGGCGGCGAGCCGGCGGAGGCGGGCGAAGAAGCGCCCATGGAGGCGAACGGTGGCGGTGCGACAGGCGGTGCGGGTGCTCCTGAGGTAGGCTCCGGCTCCAGCTGGACGAAGAGAATATCCGGCTGGTTTGGCGGGGTACGCATTCTGGCCCGGCAAACTTTGTCTCGTTCCGCTGGCTTTTTTCGTTTTTTTTTTTCGTTGTTTCTTCGTGGTCTTCCTTCTTCTTTGAGCTTTTCCTTTTGTCTTGTCGTTTTTTCTGTGTCTTGTGAGATGTATTGGCAATTCCCAAGGTCATCAAATAACGCGTCGCTGACATAGCGATGGGGAATCCTTTGCCATTCCTTATGATATCATCGCCTCGTCATCTAATGACCTCGAATATACAGGGTTACTGGTAATTCGATACATTCCTTGGGTGTACCGCAAGGGTCAGTCTTGGGAGTAGCTTTTATTTTTAATCTACATAAATTCAATATCAAACTTGGAATTGAGAGGAAAACTTAAATTATTTGCAGATGACAAGACATTGATTTATTTCTCCAAAGATTCAAATAATAAAGTTCATAAACTATCTCTCAATTATAACAAATCCTCATATATGTACATAGCAAAAAGAACACTGGCCATTTCGAATAGAACACTATCCTTCAACAATAAAGTCATCAAATATACAGATGTTACAAAATGTTCAGGTTTCTATATTGATGAACGACTATTGTGGAATAAACATATAGATCATTTGAGAAACAAACTCAATCCCATTACAGGCAATTTATTCAAAATACGAAATTTCATTTCTTCTAGATACTTGAAGAGTATTCATTTCTCTCTTATTTACTCAAAATTTCAATACCCAATATCTATATGGGGAAGTACCAATATTTCACGTTTGAGTCCTCTAATGAAATTACAAAATAAAACATTGAAGTCTATTTTCAATTTAAATTTTCTCGAACCAACCATGAATTTATACAAACCTAGAGATTTATTAGATCTGACATCACTATACAAACTTGAAATATGTTGTTTCATTCAATTTGTCCTATATAAATTGAAAATTTCTAATTTAAATTTCAATGAAATTAATTCATTACATAATCATGGAACAAGACAATCAAATTTACTAATAGCAAATACGTATAAGTCAAATATCGGCAAGCAATCCTTTTTTCACACAGGAATCGTTCTATACAACTCATTACCAAATCAATTGAGGAATATACAGGAAGCAACTAGATTCAAAATTAACTTGAAAAAATATTTGCTTCAGAGACTTTGATAATTCCGTTTCTTATTTGAATACCTACTTATGAAAGACAACGTTGATATTGCATGATTATTCGCTTTTTTTTACTTGTTTGTATGTTTAACATTATTTATATTGTTTATGTATCCCTATTATAAACAACTATGTTTCTTGGGGTAATAGAGACAATCAAGGTGGTAAGGAGTAAATTAAACCCTAATATGCATTATGCAAAAGTTGATAGTTTTTGAGATATTCAATTTTTTTTGTTTCTCTCCAAGAGGTACAGTTAATGGGTTTGAAAGTTAGTTTCTCGAAAATCTGCTCTACATTTTTTCAAACTCAACTAAAATACATGATCAACACTATGGTATTATGTTTGGAATGTCGAAATTACAGAAATAATTTAGACCATAGATATATTGTAGATACAAAGTCGTATTTTTGTTTGTGAATTGTGGATTTTAACCACATTCTAGCGGTACAAATGAAACTAAAAATGCTCGATACGGATTTGTTATTTCAAAGGAATAGTATAAAACACACTCGAAAAATGCCTATCAGTATTTGTTTTCGGCAGTTTTTATTTTCGTTTTTTTGCTCGAGGCATCCCAATAACATAACAAATGTTCATTACCTCCATCATTGGGCCGAAGAAAACCCTTGTTTAACGAGAAAAACAAGTTTCCAACGGAAGTTTTTTGTTGATGTGTTGATAGAACGCATTGACAGTTATTCAATAGGACCACATTTTTTCCTAGATAATTTAAACAGGGCAATGTATGAACATTTTCTACGGCATAATCTACAGGAGCTTTTTGTGGATGTTTCTCTCGCCATCAAAGGACGGATGATATTCCAACAAGACGGCTGTTCAGCGCATTATCGGCTGATCGTTCGGCAGTTCCTAGAATTCCTAGATGAACGTTTTTTGAACAGTTGGATCAGAAGGTCAGGTCGAATAGGTTGGCCAGCGCGAAACCCTGACCTAACCCCCCTTGATCATTATGTGTGGGGTGATATGGAAGGGCTAATTGATGGAACTCCAGTAAATACCCGGGAAGAACTCATACGAATGATAACCGACGCTGCCCTGCACATACAAAATGATTTGAAAACTAGAATAACAAAAACGGAAATAAGAAGACGCTGCCGAGCATGTATTCGTAATAGAGGTCTCTTTTTGAACAGGATTTGTAAAAAGTGAATACTAGTATTAAACGTTTTTCAAGTACGTTTTTACTATTCATGTAAAATAACAAACCCCTATCAAGCACTTTTATTATCATTTGTACCCAGTTAGACAGCTATTGCAGTAAGGAAGTTTTAACAAATTTTTGACAAATGTGGCTTAGAAATTTTTCTAAAAATGGCCTCTGCAAAGTGTTGAAATTCACAATCAACAAACGAAAATACCACTTTGTTTTTACAATTCATTTATTATATGAATTATTTCTGGAATTTTTCCATTCCAAACGTAAGACTATAGTGTTGATCATGTATTCTAGTTGAAGGGTTGAAAAAATGTACAACAGATTTTCGGAAAACAAACTTTCAAACACTGGAAGTGTACTTTTTGGAGATAATCAGAAAAAGTTGAATATCTCGAATAGTATCAACTTTTGCATAAATCCATATTAGGATTAAATTCACTCCCTATCACATCACCGAAGGAATGTATCGAATTACCAGTAACCCTGTATAATTGAAGACTTCTGAACATTGTATTGATATGAAACTATACTAACACCATTGATTTTTGTTATTCATTTATGAATCCACAACATGCACTACTATTTTACTAACCTAATTCACGTTCATTTCACTTTCCAATATGATTCACAAAACCTAATATTATTTTTAAGTTATATTCATCAGTTTATAACACTTTTTTCTATCTTTTGGAGTGCACGAAAGGAAATTCCTGTAATATTTTTCAGTCGTCGCTCTGACTCGAACTTTTTCCGCACTGAATCTTTTTTTTGTCTTCATTTTATGTAATCAATCAAGAATATACACTCAGTAAAAATTAAGCCAAATTGTTCGCCCTGTAGTCCGATTTTTGTGAAATTTTGACCAAATCGTACATTCATGTATCGGAATGTTAGCCTGAATATTCCAAGAAAAAGATGGTGGCTTGGTGATTATACATAGAAACAAAAGTTACTCTTTCATCCTAAACTTTTTAACGCCCTGCGGCAAAGGTGAGTGGTTAATCTTAGCTTCATTATGTTTTGGATTGAAGTGTGATCCCTTAACACATTTTTGATTCACGTCGATATCTTTTTAAGGGAAGATACAAGTGTTTTGAGAAAGTATGGAATTTTTTAATTTTCATGAACAATAAGATATTGATGTGAACCAGAAATTATTGTGTTGAGGGATCACACTTCAATCCAACGCATAATGAAATAAGTTCAACTACTCAATTTCGGCACATGGCGTTAAGAAGTGAAGGGTGAAATAGTAACTTTGGTTCTTTCCCGTATAATGATCGTCATCAGCTTTTCACGAAAACTAATATTTAGGCTAACATTCCGGAACATAAATCTACGATTTCATCGTAATTCCACAAAAATCGGACAAGGATTGAGAAAGTTACAGGGTGAACAAAATAGGTAAATTTTTTGGTGGCCGGTTTTTTGCCGGTGAGTGTATATACACTGAGTTTCAATCCAGTTTTGAGAGAGAGAGCACGGAAGAGAGCGAGCTTTGTGAGAGTGAGTGCTAGAAGAGAGAAAGGGAGATGGAGAGAAGTTTGTGAGAGATATTAGCCGAGAGAGAAAGTGAGATAGGGATATGCAAAGAGGAAATGCTGATGTAGAGTGATAAGTATACAATATATTAATGTGATGAATAGTGAAATTGACATATATCAGAGATCATTGAGATGTGAATGAGTAAGATTTATGAAACAAATAGTGGGACTTGGTCAATGAATGATGTTGATATGTATGAGATGAGATATAATATGAGGCAGAAAGTGAGAGATAGAAGAGGAAGTAATATTGATATGACAGAATGCAAATCATATTTTTGAATTGAAACTTAGTCATTCAAATGTTGAACAAATCAGATTATTCAATTCTTCAACCATACATACCAGGTTCATATTTCTACCCAGGTCATTTTTCAGAATATGTTTTCCATTTCCAAAAATTAACCGCCTCACTGTATCGATGTTTGTGTTTGATGGTCCAATTGATATTTTTTGGATAATAATCCATTTTCCGACTTCCAGGAGGGCAGTGATAAGAAGAAGAAGCAAACGCTGAAGAGCGTCGAATTGCCCATCGAAGCTTTGACCACCGGATTTTCGCAAGTGGAAATCAACCATTTCACCGAGCAGGAATTCAAGATGATCGCCTCCGACAAGCAGGAAAAAGAAAGGGCTGACGCGAGAAACGCCCTGGAAGAGTACGTGTACGAGCTGAGAAACAAGGTTTGTTACACTAAACCGGTTTTCTTGAAACACAGTTGAAGAGTTCCATATTTATCTCTTTCTCTCCTGATATTTTTGTCGTCCAAAAACAAAGTTACTCTCTTCTACACCGTCGTGCAGAAATAACCGGCAACTAAAACCGAAGCGGAATGGCTATTCTGATTCTGATGATTTTTTCAAAACTATTAGTTGATTCATCAGTAATGATGCTGTAGTAGGATTTTTCATTCAGATCTGAACTTTCTTCCGAATGTTGAGACACCCTGTAGAGCGCAGCAGCTACAATAGCGAATATCAACTGGATAAGTGACGATTTCTCATCAGTCATAGGTGTTTATCACTCAATATTTCTAATAGAGAGCTTTCGACTACACAGTCATTATCAGTGCACGGAACCAATAACATTACCAGTGCAAGGCCATAAAATGATGAAAACATAGATAGGTCGCTGGTTCAAATCCGGCTCGAAGGACCACAATGTCGAGGTGTCGTGATGCCTTCACGTATTTTATCTGGACGTGGTCACGACTTGGGTTTTTGTTGTTGAAATTATTTGTTGATTCATAGATTGATTCGATTTTATCGATGCAAACTATCTGTCTGTAATGTCAGACTATCTGTCTGTAATGTCAGACTCTTCAACTAACACTGGGCTGTTCTGGTTCCTCTCAAAATCCTATATTATGTATATTTATAATGCCACTTGACACTGCCTACCTCTAAAAACTCAAGTATCGGTACTATAAGTGTGGTTGGCGGAACAATTACCAGTGTTGGGCCTTGAAAACTGACCATGAATCATAAAAAAATCGATATTCCCGAAGGTGTCCTCCGAGGACGAGCTGGCCCCCTTCATTCTGGAGAACGACAGGAGCGCTCTGGTCTCGCAGCTCGACGACATGGAGAACTGGCTGTACGAGGAGGGCGAGGAGTGCAACAAGCAGGTGTACGTCGATAGGCTGGCGCAGCTGAAGGCGATCGGGGAGCCGGTGCAGACCAGGAAGATCGAGTCCGATCTGCGGCCGGTGGTGGTCGAGGATTTCGCCAAGTCGTTGCAGCTGTGCATGAAGGCCATGGAATTGATCAGGTAAATGACATTGTTTTCTGTTTTGGGTCTTTCATGAACTCATTGATATATTTCTCCATAGATTCAAATGATATAAAAAATAAAAATATCCAACTTGAACTTTACTGAATTAAATACAATTCATACTCATGCAACGAGACAGTTGAATTCATGATTAGCAAACCCATATAACTCCATCATTGGCAAACAATCAGTATTATACAACGGAATCATTTTATATAATTCATTACCTTATGATTTGAAACATATTGAAGATGAAACAAGATTCAAAGTCAATATGAAAAAAATATATACTCATGACGGAGCAATCTATTCTCATTTGAATACTTGGAATGATTTTTATTTTAATTATTATGTTATATTGACATAACTTGTTAATCAGTTTTTTTTTTAAATTGTTATATATATATATATATATCATATTTTATGTTTATGTATCCCTATTATAAACAAATATGTTTCTTGGGGTAATAAAGAACAACAACAACAACAATATTATCATGGACATGAAAAGTGATTTAGAGAAAATATCCTCTTGGTTACAAGTTCATAACCTATCAATTACAATATAAAACATTGAAGTGTATTTTCAATTTAAATTTTCTAGAACCAACCATGAATTTATACAAACCGAGAGATTTATTATATCTGACATCACCATACAAACTTGAAATATGTTGTTTTATTCAATTTGTCCTATATAAATTGAAAATTTCGAATTTGAATTCCAATGAAATCAATTCATTACAGAATCATGGATCAAGACTGTTGAAGATTTATATTTATTAAATCCCTTTGTATTTTTAATCCCTTTGTATTATGTTCGCGATGTTTTGATATTATTGTTATGGATATAGTAATATAGATGAATTGAGTGTGAGTGCACCATTTATTAGCCAGCTAGCCTATTAGCCCTTATAAGCCCTTTATAAGCCTACGATTTGCCAAATCACCTACATCGCTCAAACCTTAACAAACATGTTTTGGAAAAGATGGTTACATGAATACCTGCCTACAATTATGACTAGAAAGAAATGGCTGAAAGAAAACACACCATTGAAAATTGGTGATTTAGTTTTGGAAATCGATGAACATTCTCCGAGAAATTCATGGCCTATGGAAATGGTTACAAAAACATATCCTGGGAAAGATGAGAGAATACGAGTCGTCGACGTCAAAATCAAGGAGAAGACTTATAAACGATCTGCTGCCAAACTCATCCGACTAGACCTGGTTGAAGAAGTATAGTAAGATTACATCTTACTGAGGTGGAGAATGTTGAAGATTTATATTTATTGAATCCCTTTGTATATATAATCCCTTTGTATTATGTTCGTGATGTTTTGATATTATTGTTGTTATGGATATAGTAATATAGATGAATTGAGTGTGAGTGCACCATTTATTATCCAGCTAGCCTATTAGCCCTTATAAGCCCTTTATAAGCCTACGATTTGCCAAATCACCTACAAAGACAATCAAATTTATGAATAGCAAATACGTATAAGTCAAATATCGGCAAACAATACATTTTTCATGCAGGAATCGTTCTATACAACTCATTACCAAGTCAATTGAGGAATATACAGGAAGCAACTAGATTCAAAATTAAGTTGAGAAAATATCGGCTTCAGAGACTTTGATAATTCCATTTCTTATTTGAATACCTACTTATAAAAGACAAGGTAGATATTGCATGAATATTTGCATTTTTTGTTTACTTTTTATATCATTATTATTTCATAATTGTATGTATAACATTATGTATATTGTTTATGTATCCCTATTATGAACAACTATGTTTCTTGAGGTAATAAAGACAATCAATCAATGGGGGAGGCCACTAATTTTTTAAAATGACATTATCGTGAACTCTATAATGAAAAACTACCAGTAAATTAATTTTGAATTTTGTCATTCATGCTAAGACGATGGATATTAGAATATGTCCATTTCGAAACACACAATTCCAGCCCCATTTGAAATTTTGTCATTTCATTGGTGTGACTTGTAACGTTTCTCTAGATAGGAATAAGAGTTACACCACTTCTCCAGATGAAACTTTACTTATATAAAAAACAATCAATAATATTTTTCACTATAGAAACAGTCCTGTCTACACAGGGCGATTGAATTTGAGTAATAATATTCACACAAAAACTGGTGCGACGTCTTATTCCCAACACGCCTATTGTCCTTGAACTGACCAATCACACTGCAACACTGCAGAATGACGTGGTATCAAAGAAAGATAGCTACAGCTAGGGACTAATACGTCAGGGACTAATACGTCACGACTCCACCATCATATTTGGCTGTTTGAAATATCGAATGAAATATGCTGATTTCAAAACGATATAGATTCGATTCCCTTCAACTTTAACTCATAATATTGATTGTACATCAAACGTAAATCATGATTCGTCGATTGAAAGAGGTTTGCACGGATTTCTTTTCTCAGTGGTCTTCCCCATTATGACACCCAAAAATGCGTATCAAAACAGCTAGAGTCTAGAGACAGGACGCAACAAGCTCATCCAGCTCATAGGTGAACTACTGCTCATCTTGAAATCAGAATTCATTCAGTCAATTCAGTCAACCCTGGTATACAGTCTATGAACAGTCTCTTTTGGTGAAATATATTAAGCTTTCAGTATACCATTTATATGTACCCTACCTTGCAAAGATTATGCTGGAGTAGTAAACTCTAAAACTAGAGGATTGTTCATCTTGGTATAGTTGAATCAGGAATTCCATAATATGGAAATTACGTATGATACGCCAATGACCTCAATATAACCTAAAACACAACATATGTCAAAAATTTAGTGTTTATCCCCAGAATTGAATGAGAATGGAACTATATAACTGTTTCACAAACACTTTAGAGTGAGAGGAGACGAGGATCTGTCTGTACCCTGTTAAGATGACTATACGGTCGATTTCCATCAAGGGACCCTACTCTACTCTTGCCGGCGAAAAAAGACTATTATCAGTTCTATGACCTCAAAAATTTGCGAATTTCACAAAGCATGGAGGTTCCTTGAATGACAGTAGTTTCGGCTGAAGAATTCATCCATTCAATCGAAACCCTCCCGTTCCAGGACGAAAGACCCCAAATACGCCCACCTCACCGACGACGACCACCGCAAAGTCGAAGAAGCCTTCAAGCACTCGTACCAGTGGCTCGAGCAGAGCCGCTCCAAGATCTCGTCTGCCCCCAAGCACCTGCCGCCCCCCGTCACCGTAGCCCAAATCAGACAAGAAAGGGCGGCCTTCGAGCAGAACGTCAACGCCGTGCTGAACAAGCCGCCGCCCAAGGCCGCCTCGCCGCCCAAGGAGGAGCAGCCGAAGGGGGAGGGGCAGGCCAATGCGCAGGCCAATGCGCAGGCGGACGGACAGAGCGAGAAGACGGAGGATAATATGGAGTGGTCGCCGACGCAGTAAAGGTCGTGACACAATGTAGAGGAGTAGAGAATGAGGAATGAAAAATAAGGAATGCAGGTCTGCTATTGGCCAATTCGATTCTATACCTTTTCAACTACAATTTCGGAATCGGTAAGTTATATTTCTGAAATTGAGTTTACCATTTCTGAAATCGAGATTAATTTTTCCGAAATATACCTCACCGATTCCGAAATAGAAGTTGAAAAGGTATAGTGCTATTCCTTATTCATATTCCTTAGTCTTTTGCATTGTGTTTGGACCTTGATGGGTCGAGGACTAGGTGTTTTTTTAATTGAATTTAGGGAGATGTGGGGTCAGCGTAGCGGGTTTGTGGGGTTGGGTGTGGGGATGAGGAGGTCGCGGCAGTATCGTTGAAAGTATGATGGCTGCCCACAAGGACACTATGGGCTATTATTCCGAATTCAACTGTCAGTTGTGTCATTTATTCCTCAGGATGTGTCACGACGAGCTTACACTATCTATATCGAGAATCAGCCGCAAGAAATTTATGAAAATGTGCATGCTCATATTGGTTTGAAATATTTTCGACAATACAGTGTTGCCGTTTCTACTAGAAAGTAGCAAGAATTTTGTTAATTCAAATGGAATAACCCTGTATTACATTGCAATTTTAGATTCTACCTGGAGAGCTGATTTCTTCAATGTATCACACTTGGGGTTGAGCGAAAATGATTACAGAGATATAGGGTGTTCAAAATCGAGAATGTTAACGTTTTTTTGTGTCGAAACTACTCATTATTGGTCAAAATGGCTTATATTTCCCTGTCTTAGCTTTTGATTCACTATTGACTATTGACTGTTATTTAATTGAAACAATTAAATGTCAGTAGATAGTGAATCAAAAGTTGGGGATAGGGACATGTAAGCCGTTTCGACTTATAATGATCAGTTTGGACACGAAAAATTCCTAAAGTTGAAAAATCTTGATTTTAAACACCCCATATCTTTGTAATAATTGCCGCAACACCCGATGTGTAATGGGTTGATGAAATTGGCTCTTCAGTTGGAATCTAAAAATGCAATGAAATGAAATACAGGGTGTTCCATTTTAAATAGCAAAGTTGTTGCAACTTTCTAGTAGAAGCGGCAACACTGAATTGTCGAAAATATTTCAAACGAGTATATTTACTATCGCTTGTATAATAAGAAGCCATTCTTATTACTCATTTTAGTAGGGAAACCAAAAAATTCAATGTTTCCAAGAAAATGCGAAAAATGGTTTGGCATTTTGGGAAAGATGATCTTCTTTTTAAATGAAACGTAAAAATCATTCTCACCATAAATGTTCACCTTCTCTCAAGATAGTTGAAATCTTATCTATAGAATCTCATAACTGGTTTTATTCAAATTTGTGATCAAAACGAATTTCGTTTCAATTTAGGCTAATTCTTCATCAAACAGGACTTGTTTTTGCGAAATTGAAGTGAGCCAAATGGACAAATTTATTTTGATTAATTTGGACTTGAGGTACATAAAACCAGAATATCTCCGAATAATTAGAAAAACTGAAAAAAAGAACTGCGGCAAATAACGTCATGCCTCGCGAGAATCATATTTTATTTACAAAATGACAGTGACGTCATATATCGCATATAGAAATGGAAGTGGAATTGACACTATTGTGAAGCAACAGGAAATACCTTGGTAAAAATATCCAAAAAGTCACAATACTGTTTATTTATGGTCTCCACTTCAAACCACCTGAGTAGTGTATTTTCTTGTTTTCCGTCTATTTTATGTATGCATTCAGCCAAGCATTCTGTACACACCTTCTGAAAATATATAAAATCTGAACTATACCGCATTCGAACGCGTCAAACGTCTGTAGATCGTCTAGCCATTTTTTTTCTCCCGCCAATCAAATTCTGCTAACATTTTCCAATACAAGGTGTCCAGGGGCCCGATTCTCGAATCCGTTGGAATTCGTTCCCATGGGGAAAACTTGGTATTTCCCATGGAAATTTGAGATGATGTATTCTTGAAATATTGTATGGGAAACCATCCCTACACATTTCAAGGGAACTGCTTCCCATGGTAATACCCACGGGAACAACATGTTTTCCATAGGATACAATCAAGAGATACGAAGTTATTCTAATTTGTGATGGTAACTGAACCTTAGTGAAAAATCGGAAAAACATATGTATGCAAAACATGGCAAACATAGATGAAATATATCATCTAGAGGCTTTACAAAATTTGGAAGTGGCGGAAATCCTTGCTAGAAGACTAAGAAGAAGGTTTCTGCGTATAGTAGGGACCAATTGAGTGTTTGCTGCATACTTCATTGGAAGTATTTCGTTTGTCCAAAGACATTACTAGAAAATTGATAGGTACTTTAGAATCCTTGTAAATGAATTGGGGGTGAAATTTCCCTTTCCTCAAGTCTTCAGAGGCCCCCATTATATCTATTAAAAGTCTTGTCTGCCCTTTGCTAATACTACCACAAAGTGGTTTTTTAATATTGTTTGTATCCATATCCATTTCGATCAGAGAAAATATAGTAAATATACAATACACAATAATCTTACCGTCGCGAAATAATATATTATAACCTCAAAATTAGTCAAAATCAAAATGTCAACATTTCATTTTAATCATCCACCAGTTACCAACATAAATTCCACTTATTTCATTGGTGAATTCATGTAAGTTCAAGAATTTGTGCCCAATAATGCACATACCCTGAAATATGAGTGTCCGCGAACGTGGTTAACCACACTTTTTGGTATAATTAAAAATGGGGATCATTTCCAACTTTAAATGTTTGATCAATGGTTCCTGAAATATTTGACCTGATCATCTATAAGCAGTCATCATACTTTCAACGTCATTGGCGCGATCCGCTGACGGATGACAGATGTCAAATGCCACAGTGTTGCAGCGTCCTGTATCCGTTATATCCTATAAATCTGCGAAATTTCGGTCGAAGTAGGATTTCGACCGTATGAAAAAGAGGCGTTGCCAAGTTGCCACATTTTTTCGAGAATCGAAACTATGCTTCGACTAGTTAGATGTGGCCGCCATACTGATATAACAAAATTCGAATTATGATTAATATATCTGATATATTACATTGATACTGACTGATCTTACATATAGTCGAAGATTACAGGGTGGATCGTCAGTTATAATTGTTATCATTGCTCTGATATTTGTTCTCTTGAATATGATACCAACAATTTTTGTGACATACCTATATTCAATGAGAAACATTGAAATTCATCCTGAGCCTTCCCAATGAATTTGAAAGCTTGCAGGTTATCTGGAACAAATTTGAGATGATGATTGAAACATTTTCCTGTTATAGTAGGAGAGCCGACTGCAAATTTCGACCTACATCTGATGAGGAAATGTTATACAGAGAAGTGCACAAAAACGGCCAGGGTCTATTCTCGAATGTCGAACGAAATATGTAGTATGCGACATATGTCGATAGAAATTGTCGCACAACGTTTAAGAGTCTTATTCTCGACTGCTCTCGACTTTAAACTCGCATGAGACAAATTTTGTCGAATAGCATGAACTAGCAACATCGAATTAACGATTCTCTAATGTGTTCTGTGCCAATGTGGTGTGGTTTCTTTGTTCTTTGTTGTTATTATGGAGGTTATGTCAATGTTATGTTGAAATAATAATGGCAGTGAAAAGAAAAAAGTTATTGTGCTTCATCTCAAAAGGAAACACTCAACTCGATGAAAGAAAAATAGAATGAGCCACTTTTATCTGGCAAAATACATGCAGAAGACTCATGTCCCTGTACCACAAATGGTTCTAGCACTCAGCACTAGCAGTGCAATGGACTCTCACTTATTCCTTACCTAAATGTTCTTATATATTTTATGTCCGATAAAAATCTGAACGCATTATTCCTATATACGATCTCTCGTGGCCGTAGATGATTTTCTTGATTTTCCAAATATTCCATTTTTATTAATGAAGCTGCCTTCCTCAAAAAAACAAGTGAAGAAATCAGTCAAATATTCAATCTCGCATTCGACATCAAAATGTCGACTGCTTAAGACCACTCTACAATTTGTCTATCGAAAATTTTCGAATGCGTCATTCGAGAATGAGCTCTCACGTTTTTTGTTCGACAATGTACGAATCTCGCATGCGACAAAATGTCTCACCATTTGAGAATAGGGCCCCAGGACTGTAACTTTCGTATTATTCGAGATAGCAATTTCTGTCATGTATTAACGAATTGAAACAAAAAGCAAATAACAGGGAATAATGCCCCCTTTGCAAAAATCCGAACGTGGTGCGATTCAAACTGATCTGAGTTGATGGCGAAAGTCAATACTTCCGAGAATATTTCGCCCACGTCGAAAGTTGATATCCGATGGACCAGGGTGTATGTGTGTTGTAGTACTTGTAGTCATAGTGGAAGGAGAAGATGGTGTGCTCAACAGAAAGCTCAAACTCGTCTTGTTCTGCGCATGACGTCAACTGGGATATAACTGTCATTGTTATTATTTGTTTTCGTGATTGATGTCTCTTACTTCAGATATTATATAAGTACTAAAATTGAATGAAATAATTTCGAAATGCCTACTTGTTTCGTTTCTGGTTATGGAAATACCAATACCAAAAGGCACAGATATTGAATTTTTATGCTTTTCCAAGAATGGAGACCTAATGAAACGATGGGAGCTTGCTGCCAACAGAATATAAACTCAAATAATGGTACCTACCTTTTATTCCTTATATCCTCATTCCAACATATTATCATCACATTCATATTACAGCTCGTATTTCTTCAAAACATTTCCATGCAAAATGTTCCCAAACAAGTGCGAAAGTACAGTTCTTGAATTACACACCTCAAAAAAATCACAAATATTTGAAACTAGATGTCATTTTTACAGAACATCTTCCACATATCAAGTCAGAAATAATTGAAAATGAATTCAAAACTCTCAATTTTTCACAAAATATAAATTGCAGCAAATATTTGAATAACAAAACGGCAAAAAATGATACTCCTGCTGTCGATGTCGGAGCAGAAGAAACGTCAACATCGTTGACTGCTGAATTTGAATCTGTCAGAATCGACACGGTAGTGGATCATTCAAATGGGATTGGCAATGCATGATAATTCGTATGTATTTGCTATTTGCGATTGCGAATTACCTCAAGATCACAATTTCCAGAATCAATGAAATAGTAAAATCGAAGGAATACGAACCTGTTTACCTATATAAATTGAATTATTTCTGTACAGATCGAAAAACTTATGGCGCATATGGCAACGGTATCTGTCTGTGACTAGCAGCTGATATTGGTATCCCAGATGACGTCACATAATATGCGCGTAGGCACACCATCTTCTCCTTCCACTATGGTTGTAGTGCTGCGCCACATGTGTTTTACACTGGTCCATCGAATATTATCTTTCGACGAGGGCGAAAAATTCACGGAAATATTGACGCTCTGCCACTAACTTAGTTTGAATCGCGGCACGTTTGGATTTTCGTGAATTGGACATCATTCCTTTTCATTTGCATTTTGTTTCAACGTGTGACGGAAGTATGTCCGGAATAAAGGCAGCAAATAAATCGCTGTGCTATGGATTTGCCTCAGATTAAGAGGTGGTACAGGTAGGTTTTTGAGATCTATCATTCAATTGGTATCGGATGGCATAATTCTTATACAGTGTCATTCATAAAGTCGGCATCATATGGGAAAAACTTTTATTAATGACTTATTTTGGAATTCCAGGTGGACGTTAAGTTATGCTTCAAAAAAGATGGAAAATGGCCTACTCAATCGGGGTCACGTGACTTTCGCTACATGTCAAAAGTGACATTTTTTCAAATTTAATCGCTGAAAGTAGGCTTATTTGTTCGAATATCGAAAAAGTTTACTTGAAAAAGTTGTTTCGATTCCAATTCTACACATTATTCTCAAATTTGATCTTTCTAATGCAACTTTTAGATTTTAATTTTTTTTAAATTTTTCGAAATTTCTGAAATATTTGAAGAATTGTTAATTCCACGAAACTACTTCATACCAGTAGCTTTGTCATGCTACTTACTTTCATTTACTTATTATCCCTGATTATGGACAGAAACATGATTTTCTTCAGAAAATGATAATACCCGCTTACAAATTCTGTTATGTTTGATGCAAAGTTGATATATCGTCAAGCATTTAGAAACGAAATTCATTTAAACTGATCTTTTCAGTACTGAAAAAAAAAATTGAATGAATTTCGTTTCTAAATGTTCGACTCAAACGTAACAGAATTTTGATGTTATGTTTGCATCAAACATAACAGAATTTTGATGCGGAGATTATCATTTTCTGAAGAAAATCATATTTTTATCGAATTTACAATTTTTTTAATATTACAGAAATTTCGAAAATTTTCAAAAAATATCGAAATCTAAAAAATGTAATAGAAAGATAACATCCGAATCACATATGTAAAATTTAAATACAAACAACTTTTTCAAGTAAACTTTTTCGATATTCGAACAAACAAGCCTACTTTTAGCGATTAATTTGAAAAAATGTCACTTTTGACATGTAGGGAAGGTCACGTGAACCCGATTGAGTAGACCATTTTTCATCTTTTTTGAAGCAAAACTTAACGTCCAACTCGAATTTCAAAATAAGTCATTAATAAAAGTATTTCCCATATGATGCCGACTTTATGAATGACACTGTACATATGTATAGTTAGTTATCAAATCGCGAACTTGAGTTCGAATTACCGCATAGGAAAGTGTCATTTTCAATCATTTTGCTCAGGATAGTGATTGATACTGGTGCCGTTCGATGATTCACGGTGGAAGACACATTAGACGTTTCTGGAGAACGTGATTTGGGATTATTCTGAAAATTTGGTGCCTTGGATTATCAGTTGTGTTCTATCGACCTAAAATATTCAGGGCGCAGCGACGTTGCCGCTTATATTGGAAAGTAGCAACAACTTTAATTTTTTTAATGAGACACCCTGTATATTATTCCATTTTCAGATTCTCCCTGAAAAGCTGATTAT